TTCGACAAATCGCAGATCGAACTCATAACAGACGTCTAGAATCTTCGTTGCCTTCCGCCTCAGGAGTCATAGGTAGAGTAGTGAGCGAAAACGATGTGACATATTAGGCATAAGATCTTATCTGAGTTCCACGATTTGCTACTTTCTCTGCGATTGAGAAGTAGATGGGTCATAATTTCAACTCTCTCTGCGCTTAATAAAGAGCCTAAGCAAGCTTTCAAAGCACATGTGAAATCATATGATTGTATTTAACAGTGTCGTAATTTATATTAACCACTAATTTATTATAAGAAAATATCAGCATCCGCGTAAGGTATCATGGTTTATATATATTAAAAAAATCCAGATGCCAGTCACATGTTTCAAACATTTATAATTAAACTTTGGTGAAAAGCTTAATAACATTTCTGACGCTCATTGTTACAAGTCCGAAGCCTTAAGAACAACGCTAGATCGTTCGGGTTGGCCACGTGAATGAATTATAAAAGGTTGGCTTCCTCGGTTGATTGCGAAAAATCGAATGTCGAGTTACACTTTTCGGGAAACCCTTCAAAGAAAGAAATGTGCTCGAGACATTTAAAGGACATTTTTAGCAGCGAGGTGATGGTATTTTTAAAAGGCAAAACACCTTAATCGTATCGTTTTGTTAACGTATCGTTTTGAAAAAATCAATTATGAAGAAAAATAATTAAGTATTTGTAATTTTTTTTACAAGGTGAACGACTACATCAAGAGCTATTTTTGTAAGCAGCAGGCAGTGCATAAACACATACGTATACAAGAGACTATGGAAGTGCGTCGCCGAAGTTAGTTTCAGTAACCTCACTTATCGGACGAAGGAGTGTAAATTCGGCCACGCCAGTCGCATACATATGCAGCGTGTCGTTACCATCGCGACAATAAATGAACACACGTCTAACGCTACTTGCCAATAATCATAAAAAAATATTAACGTTAATCAAAATCCATAATTAAAAAAAAATATTTTTTAAACAAACTAATTAATTAAAAAAGAAACAAAATTTTTAACATCCTATACAACTCGCGCCACAGCGTCGTATTACAAGCCTCTCTGTCTAACAGTATGTTTTGTCTCTTTTAAATTCATTCAACCCATTCATATGCTTTGTGACCTTTACAAATGAACCTTACGTTACGCTTTTATAGGTAAGGGTGTTCTAAAATTCTTTGTTTTGGAAAATTTAATAACTCTGTAAATATTGATGTTTAAAGAATTTAAATGTTTAATACGACTTTAAAAAGTTATCCCCTATATGTGTGTTCATTTATTGTCGCGATGGTAACGACACGCTGTATATTAATGGCAATAGTTAATCTAATTTAAGTTCGTTAAAAAGATAAATATAAATAGATAGATGCAAAAAGATTTGTGTAGACGTTGTTTAGAGTTATTACTTATCCATGACATTCATAATTTTTCATATCTTAAAAATTATCTATGGAACACAAAAATACTTGTCCCGTGTGGGAATCGAAACCACGACTCCCGACAATGAAACCAAATACCGTAAAATATTACCTTCTAATTAAATTGTCTATTACTAACGAAGTAACTGTAGCATAACAGTCCGGGCGCTTTAATTTAGAATAATGGAAGAACTTAAGTTCAATTCCCGATCTCGGTACCATAAAATCTATAATTGTAATTTACCATGTCCTTGGCGGTGAAGGTTTTTGATGTGGATAGGTTTTTGATGTGGCATTCAGCCGTTTAGCCTATTGGTTTATGCGTCTGGTCACGAGTCCGGAAGACGTGGGTTCGATTCTCGAAGCGACGAGAAACTTTTAGTCCTTTTTTAATTTTATGTGAAAACAATGTTTCGAAAATATATATCACATTAGCCAAGCGGCACAACCCTAAGAACTCATGATGAACCATGTGTTAATACCCAGAACAGACTACAGACCCAAAAATTAGAAAACTGGAAAAAGAAAACACTACACGGAAGACTATTATGATTTAGAACAGACCCATATAAACAGAATAGCCTCAAGTAAATGGCTTAAAATAGAGAGTTATTATTAATATTAAAAATCTTTAACAATACGTAAAACGCATGACCTGAATAATGGGTTTCTATTGAATAGTCGCCATTGTAACCCGAACTGTTATACGAATCACGTTTCTTCGGGTTAGAAACTCGCCTGCAACCTGCAGTGTAAATAGAACAGGCCGGCGCCCGGCGCATGCAACGCACCGGCCGCTAGGTACCGTTAACTTTAGCACCGTATTCATTGTAGGTGCATGCACAATTACTTCGAACATATACTGTATATATGCAATTGAAATATTGGCATTGTTAGTTGTTTGAAACATATATAATATAGGTACATCGAAAAGTGGAATGAATAAATAATAAAATACACCAATTGGAACTTTTTTTTAATGGGAACCTGGCAAACGCTCGAATGGTCAAACAGCCTACCTAATCTTAAAAGATAACACGGACATTTCTACATCTATTTAGTTGAGACTGCGATTCAAACATTTAAAAGGTTACCTCACACCCACGCGAAATGGAAGAGTGTAAATACTAGATAATTATATAGCACAAATCAATTTCACACTGTTTTCCGTAAAAGAGTAGTACTTTTGTAGGCCACCCGACCCAGTCAAGCAACAGCTGAAGCTGCGGCGTGGTCAACTACCTACAATAAATTAAAAAAAAATAATTCAACTCGAATCTAACTGTGGTAGGGCCACGCGACAGTTTAGACTGTTGCACGAATATGCAGGTCTGTTCGGGTAAGTACCACTCACACTCTCACGATCTCACAAAAGACCGACGTGAAACGGAAGCGTATACTTCTGCATATCATAGGGTGAGTGAGGTAGCCAGGGCACACTTTATTATAAGGAGGCAATGCATCTACAACCCTACGGGTGTTGCAAATGTCCATTGGTGACGGTTATCACTTAACATCAGGTGAACAGACAGCTCATTTGTCACCTTCTCACATAAAAGGAAAACAATTTTGTGAACAATTATGGACAATCTAGACTTCAACTAAATTATTACCATAATATCACTGCCAACCTTTTTAAATAAAAATGTTTTTTAATTAAAATAAAAATATACTCTTATCATAATGTGTTTTCATACATTATATTAGTAGATTTTTTAAAAATGTTTATAATTGTTGACTCTGTAGCTCAATGGCCAAGGTATTTATTGGCTTTGGTATGGGGGGTCGTAGGTTTGAGTGGTAAAACAAGACAACCATTTGTGTGAGTCACAGATAGTTACTTTGCATTCGAGTGTTTGTCCACATAACAATTTTATGTAAACGTCCTTACAATACAGGATAATGCTATCCTAAAGTAAAGAACAAGAAAAAAAAAAGAAAGCAAAAGAAAAGTGTTACCATTACCTTATTTCTTGTTTCTTTGTTAAAAATGGTTTTTTAAAGGCCGCTTTTGTTAATCTATCTATCTCGATTTGGTTATTAGCAATAGGTATTTGACATAAACTCCATTATAATTATGTCAAAATTCGATCTCTAATAACCAAATCTATCTGTAGATAGAATTTTGGCCATAACACAATCTATGACATAATTTATATTTGCCAATTTTCAGACTTATTTATTTTCACAATTTTACAAATTCTTCAGTTAGGAGAATATTATTGTTATACTGCTTTAATTAAATTCAATTTACCTGAAACAATATTACTTGAAATTTTTTTAATATGTTTTTTCGTTACTACATCACTTTCTTTTACTATAATAAATTTTAAAACGAAAAGAAATTTTTAAAATTATATGTCTAATGTTCAAAATCTCTTCTATAATGGAGAATAATTTTTAAGAAAAAAAAAAACGACTTCAAACCGGAAACTTAAAAACATTATTAATGCCTATAACATTTGAGGATTGCTCTCGATTTATCTGGGATATCATCATCTGATCCAGGTTTCCTTATCATGGTACCACCCTTGGATATCTCTTTTCTAACAAAAAAAGAATTATCAGAATCAGTTCATAAACGAAGAAGTTATCAATGAAGACAAAAAAAATAAAAATATACAGCATGTCGTTACCATCGCGACAATAAATGAACACACGTCTAACGCTACTTGCCAAATCATAAAAAAATATTAACGTTAAACAAAATCCATAATTAAAAAAAAATATTTTTAAACAAACTAATTAAGTAAAAAAGAAACAAAATTTGTAATCTCACCACACCATCACATTATAAGCCTTTCCTTCTAACAGTATGTTTTGTCTCTTTTAAATTCTTTCAACCCATTCATATGCTTTGTGACCTTTACAAATGAACTTTACGTTACAGTTTTATACGTAAGGGTGTTCTAAAATTGTTTGTTTTGGAAAATTTAATAACTCGGTAAATTAAAACATGTAGAAAAAGTACGAAAAGATTGTCGCCGCTGTGGGAATCGAACACAGCCGTTTAGCTCAGTGGCTAGAGCGTCAGGCCGCGAATGCCGAAGACGTGGGTTCGATTCCCACAGCGGCGACAATCTTTTCATACTTTTTCTACATGTTTTAATGTTCAATCTTAAGTGCAGAGATTAGCACTATAAAAAACTTTAAAACTCGGTAAATATTGATGTCTAAAGAATGTAAATGTTTAATAAAATTTTAAAAAGTTATCCTCTATATGTGTGTTCATTTATTGTTGCGGTGGTAATGACACACTGTATATGGTCAAATTGGTTAAAAAAGTTTGTTAAAAATAGGTGTTAGTCACAGCAACATTCAATACATAGTGTACTAAAATGTCACTATGAATATCACCTACTCTGCTTGGCCTGCGCAATTGTTATGAATAATGATAATATCTTTAATACATTAATAGATTAAAATATACATACAATTAATTAAAAAAAAAATTAGAGAAAGGTATCTCAATAATGAGCATAAGTAGGTCATTAGTCCTTTTACAAGACAATAATATTGGATAATTTTATTATCTTATAAAAACTAATGAGATATTAGAGAAATTTTCTTACCGTAGTCTATCAACAACAGCTTGACGTTTTGGTGGTAAGATCATCTCTTCCATTGGCTGCAGCATGTTTGGTGGATGCTGGGCGGGCGAGGCACCGGGCAGAAGCCCGCCCGCGCCACCACCTCCCACTAGGTGCTCCACGGTGAATGATATGACGCTCCTTTACCTCTGATCCTTCATTCTAAGTCTTTATATTAGTAGTTCAAGTACTGCAACGCACATGTGATAGCACTATGAGAAAGTAACAGTTCGTCCTAAAAACCCTAAGTACGTCTTTCATATTGACACTGTAAATCTCTTGATCACTTCTCAAAGACTGTACTTGGTTTAAATTAAATTTCACAGTACAGAACACACAAACTGTTACAAAGGTACAAGCTTTGAACAACCGGTGACTAAATGTTTTGGAATAGAACAAGTTGTGAAGTCACACTGCAACTATCCGTCGCAAAAATACAAATTATTTGGTGTTCAAGATTGTCAGATATATAATATTCAATTTCTATTTAAGAAGAAGAGTAATAGTAAAAAACCACTTCATTATTTATTTACCAAAGCTACACAAACAGATCAAAATTTATCCACAATTACGACCAAACAGAACAACTTCCCCAACAACAACTGACTTAACTGACGGAAAGACGATCAACGACGCTTACCCTTCCCAGCTTATTTCAATGGTTTTTGTCAAAACTATCTGCAATAGATACTTGCATTTATGCCGTAAAATATTTTTTTCAACTAATAGCGTAATTCATGATTCTTGAGAAACCAGTATACATTCTATAAAAAAAGACTATATAAAGTATTAATATTTCAGAAGAAAAAACAGCAAGAATATATTTTATTTCAATTCTAGAAGAGTTTTGACATTTCGTAACGAAAATGCGTCAAATTATAGCGCAATTAGGAGTCTTTGTGTTAATATTATATATTTGTGCCATTTGCTGTTGCAACTTTAGATCCGTGGGATCCCGACATATCAAAATTTTTTTATCAAAACTTTTAAGAAATTTAACTATTCGGCGACGAAATGCAACTAGCGTTTTTGGCACCTTGTCCTTAAAATATCAATATATTCAGTAAGTCATTAAATAAGCAATATAACATGCCAAAGAGTGTTAAAACTTATTATTTTATGTATTCTGATGCTTAATATGTTAATTTTTTTAAGTATTGTGTTGAGATCTTGTTAACATATTAATTTGTAAAATAATATAAATCTGAGGAGACCTTGTCTTGGATTGTTTTATGTGACGTCATGTTAGTCGAATTGCTCACCTTTTTTCTTCCTTAATAAGGAAAACCAAGGGTGTTGACGTAGTTGTGGGCCATCAGCTACGTTGTATCTCCAAGATTTGAGAATCATTTACAAACGGATTACGTCCGATAAGCTTCTTCTTTACGTGTCGATGACAAATCATATCTTTCCAGCCCAGAACTTGCCACTTCGACAGCACAATTTGTGGCATCCATCAGATCCTGCTGCGAACAGGTGAAAAGGCAGGCAGGACAGGACATCAGATGGGCCTTGGACTGAACTGCTCCACACATACAGAGTCCAGGTCTGAGTTTTCTGAGAGTCCCCACCTGAACATATTTTCCGATAAGCTATCAATGCCGTTGCCGTAGATCTAATGACAAACTACGATTACAGAAAAGAAAGTAACATTATCTGTATATTATGTCGTTCTCTGTATTGCAATTTGAAATTGACAATGACATCTTTCTTACTCCTTCAGACTTCGTATCGTAAGAAGTTCGTAATTTAAAGTCGTACGTCACGTCAGTCAGCTCGTGATTGTTTTGATATTCTTAAAACAACAGAAAAAAGGAAAAAGAAGAAAAAGTAATTATTTAATTAGTAGAATAGGGTTAAAAAAAGACCAATATTATTCCCTAAGGATGTCAGCGTTACGAGCGAGAACATGCATAACTATACAATACGCTAGGAGGTTACTGTATCAGCCCATAGTTAATACAAAACACGTTAATGGGATCAATTTCTTAATTAATAAACACCATGGTATTTTTAATATTTCATATCTTTTGAACATTTGCCATTTCAAGTTCCATTCATGTTAATTAATATCCTCATAATTATTTCAGGACCATTTTCACAATCACATTTAAGTTTTAGTACGGTGTCAGATCAACAACAGCACGCAGAAGCAGCTAAACCGACCCCTGAGAAGAAAGAATTTCAGGCCGAAACTCGCATGTTACTAGATATTGTAGCTAGGTCCTTATATTCAGAAAAAGAGGTGAATACTGCAAGTTATTATGTTTATATTTTTTAAAGGCATAAAAGGCAAGTCACCAGTGTTATGCTGGTCAATTAATTTCGTAAAGTTGGTCAATCAAGTTGCATAATTTTGTTTTGCTGTTTACACAATCCTAAGTTTCCTATATGAGGTAATTATAAAAAAAAATTTTTTCAACATATAAATTTGTGTAACAAATATCGATTTTTTATTCATTCAATTATTTGATGAATAGCAATATCCAATTTAACCGTTTCTCCAATTAATAAAAATATATAACTTATACATTTACTGTATGTTATTTATATCTACATACTATACTTGACATTTTATAATTGCATCAAAAACTTTAATGACTTAAATGTTGTAGGTATTTATTCGAGAACTTATATCCAATGCTAGTGATGCCCTAGAAAAATTTCGATATCTTAGTGTCAGTTCAGCACAAGATGCACCACAACTGGAAAGCACTGATAGAGGATTAGAAATAAAAGTTATCACTGACAAGCAAAACAGGACCATAACATTCCAGGTAGTTTAAATTTAAGCTTTTAGTCTTAAGTACCTAACACTTTTTTTAAACTTCCTATTATTACTGTTAACTTCCTTTGTTGAAACATCAATATTGCCTTTATCTATAAAGTTATAACCAATTGATTTGTTCATACATCTTTTTATAACTAGTGAGGTCATAGGTTCTGGCACATGATGAAATCTTTTGAATTTTGGCTACAAAAATGTTTGTTACATTCTAATTTCAAATGTAATATGAAAATAAAAATTTATTTTAATTATGAAAAAATTTATTTAAATATAGAGTATAGTTATAGACCGGTTATCGCATTGCATCAGTGCAGTTACTCAACAAATCAGATTTTCCACCTACTGAAAATTTTTAATATAGCCAAAAGATTTGTTCATTGCTCAATCAAACAATAAGCGCTATGTTGAAGGCTTGTATTCAAAATCACTGGGGTCATTTTTAATAATCTTAGTTATGTTTTAGTAAGTTCCTTTTGGTATATAAAAATGGTTATTGTTTAAAAAAAACATGTAAATTTTTTCACAATGAATATGTGACAGAACTTATAACCCAACGAGGCTCATCTGGGGAAGTGCCACAGCCTCACAGAAGATTGAATTGTTGTGGAAGTATTATACTTTCACGTTTCATGTTGTGAGTGAGGTAATCAAGACATATGTAGAGGTTGGCAGTGCATCCACATCAATTCTGATGTTGTAAATATCCATGAATAGTAGTCATTAACCACTTACCGTCAAATGAACAGCTCCCTTTCAAACATTTCACATAAAAAAAATCATGTCCTTGTTCATATACATCATACATAATTCATAATATTTTTATTATGTTTTTCTAGGATAATGGCATTGGTATGACTAAAGAAGAGCTCGTACAAAATTTAGGCACTATTGCTAGATCAGGCTCTAAGTCTTTTATAGAGGAGATTAAAAAACAAGGGGCAGAACAAGCAAGCTCAATAATAGGCCAATTTGGTGTAGGCTTCTATTCTGCATTTATGGTTGCTGACAAATTAGAAGTTTACACTAGAAGCAGCTTGACTGGATCCCCTGGATACAAATGGACCTCTGATGGGTATGTTTCATTTATCTTGGTGTTACATGTATAACATTCCATACAAGTTAAAAAAGTGATTTGGTCAATTTACGAGAATTATTTTATACATGATATGTACTTGAATAACCATCTGATGTACAGGTCTGGGACTTATGAAATTCAAGAAGTTGAGAATGTACCAATAGGTACTAAAATAGTAGTATTTCTCAAAACTGATTGCAGAGAGTTTGCAGATGATGGAAGAGTTAAAGGTAGATATTAAAATTATGCTATGGTAATTTTTAGTCATATTTTTGGTGTTTCATAATAAGACTACTTATTTTTCAGATATAATTAAGAAATACAGTAACTTTATTGGAAGTCCCATAATACTTAATAATGAGCAAGTCAACTCCATAAAGGTTTGTTATGTCATTATATGCTTTTGATTCTGAAATCATGGTATCCTACTTAAGCTACTTTTTAAATTACTAATTTTAATAACTCTAATAAAACAATTGTTTTCTAAGAAGACGTATATTTAAGGCTCAGTAAATTTGTAGGTTCATATTATATGTTGTAATATTACAGCCAGTGTGGTTAATGGAACCAAAAGAAGTAACTCATGAGCAACATGTTGAATTCTATCGATTCATAGGCAACTCATATGACAAGCCGCGATTCACATTACATTATAAAACTGATGCACCTATTAGTATTAGGTCCATTTTATATGTGCCTGAGGGAAAACCTGGTCTTTTTGAAATGTCTCGTGATTCCGACGTTGGAGTAGCATTGTACTCAAGGAAAATATTAATTAAATCAAAAGCAGAAAACATCTTACCTAAGTGGTTAAGATTTGTGAAAGGTTGGGTATTTTATTTCCACATATAATATACTAATAATTTTGTGATGTTTCTAGAGTTTTCTGTATCAAAAATGACATATAATTTTTTTGCTGTAGGTGTTGTTGATTCAGAAGACATACCACTTAATCTCAGCCGAGAACTGTTACAAAATAGTGCTTTGATAGTGTAAGTTAAGTTGGTAATATTGTTTTTATGTATTTTTTTAATTTTATTGTTTTTTTGTGCTTATAACTTGTACATTTGTAGAAAACTCCGAACAGTATTGACAAACCGATTCATCAAATTCATGTGTGATATGGCTCAAAAAGATCCAGTTGGTTTTGATGCTTTCTACAAAGATTATTCTTTGTTCTTAAAAGAGGGGATTGTCATGAGCCAAAGTCCTTTGGAAAAGGTAAGTTTTAGTAAAATACAAGAATGTATTTTATTTTTTACTAGGTGCAGCCCGCAACTATGTCTGCATAGAATAGGCTGAAGGCTAAACATTCAGACAGAAAGAGATATACTTGAAATATGTATATAAATTATAGCCTATGTCTTATTCTGATGTATAAGCTATATTATTTTAAAACTTCATTTAAATCTATTCAGTAGTATTGGCGTGAAAGAGTAACAAACATCCATTCATACATAAAAACTTTCGCCTTTATAATATTAGTAAGGATTTTTAATTTATGATAAGCCATTGGGTACTATAGTACCCTAAAATCATTTTTGGAAAGAATTTCTTTTCAACATAATATGTTCGATTTGATACTGTCAGTAATAAGCATATTCCACTCCATAGGTCCACTCCAGCGATTAATTTTCCAAATTGATTGATTGGATAAATTTTTAATAACTTTTTAATAATATTCTTTTTTTCAAAAGCATTGCCTTTCTGTAATAGAACATTATCCTTTGTTGTAATGACGTTTAACAAATATTTATTTCAGGACGAGGAGCCATGTCCGAAAATCTTATTTGTGTGATCCACAGGTTTCATAAATTATTGTCGCGTGTAGAGATCGGACCAACGATTGACAACTGCGCCACGGAGTCGTCTGACATTTTATATTCATCTATTCAGTTCACTAATCTATTTTTCGATATTTATAGGAGGATATTGCTAAATTGTTACGTTTCGAGTCATCCAAATTGGAGGCCGGCGTCAAGACTTCACTCGCCGATTACTGCTCCAGACAAAAGGAGGATCAGAAGACTATTTATTATCTGGCAGCACCTAAGTAAGTCCATACTATATAAAAATAAATAGGAAATATCTGTAGTTGTAGCTCATTTGTAGTTTTAGTATTATGACATAGGAATTTGTATCCTTTTAATGTTATTTCAGCCGGCAACTTGCCGAAACGTCTCCGTACTACGAATCGCTTAAAAAACGTGACCTGGAAGTGTTATTCTGCTATGAAATGTATGATGAACTGGTACTCCTCGAACTCAAAGAATTTGGTCGTCGCTCATTGGTATCCGTGGAAAACGATATGCAGAAAGACTCGACTGATAAAAGTGATACGATTATTGGTAAGATGTTTTTCGTTTAATAGTTTTTTATATGTATAAATAATTTAATGGTATGTAATTAATCGGTGCTTTTCTTTGTTGTAAACAGGTAGTGACGACTTGCAAAACAGTCAAATTAATGAATTAGTATCTTTTCTGAAAACAAATTTGGACGGGAAAGTATTTGAGGTCCGGACCACGCAAAAATTAGATACTCATCCCTGTGTGATCGTAATACCGGAAATGGGCGCTGCCCGACATTTTATTCGCACACAGGCACAAAATCTAACCGAAGAAAATAGATTTGCCTTATTGAGACCACAATTGGAAATTAATGCAAAGTAAGTTAATAGTTATCTAACCCTAGGTTTGTTTATATGGAAAATGTGTGCATAAACTGAATGGAATTTGTTGAAAATTGTTACATGATGTTAAAATCTAAAATTAATCTATTTGTGAAGTCTCCATAAGTGCTATTTACTAACAAATTTACAAACTTTTTTGAATACTTTAAAATGTGTATATTCCGATCGGAGATCAAAAATTCGACATACGGTGAGTTACATAACGTGTTTCACTCAGATAGTGCTGCCCTGCATCTCTGCTACTAAATTTGGGACCGACTCGACCATATTTACATTACAGGGACCGACGTCCCGGTGTTATAAAGATTGGCAGGGTAGTCACAACATCAGTGCTGCGTATAGCTGTTCCGTTACCTGGTTTCAAATATAAAATAGACCCGTACTATAATGGGCGCATCAGTTTTGTGAATGTGATGTCCGCGAATGGTTATTACACAGCATAGGGCCAAAGGGTTCATCGTTTGCCATTTCGACAGTAGAACAAAGATAACCGACATAGCTCAGTGGGTTAATAAGCTGAAGTGACGATGGGCCGCCCATATAGCTCATAGAACCGCTTACCGTTGGGGAAAATGGTTAGTTGCGGAAAGTAGGTTGGTGCGGGGTCCTCACTAGATGGAGTGACCACCTGAAGAAGTATGTAGGAAGTCGATGGATGCAGGTGGCTCAGGATCGTAATTGTGGCAATGGATACAAACATGCTGAATAGATGATGATGAAATTTAAATGTTTATTATCATCACAAATCACCATCTATAAGTTCATCCATCACGGCCACACACAAAGACCGTGTTCCGAAGTTCTTGAAGTTTTTGATCTTTGTAAATTCTAAATTTGTTAAAATAAATTTTAAAGGCATAAAAGAAAAAGCACTAATGTTTGGTAAAGCTAATTGGCGTGGGTACTAGGACAGCTCGTATGTCCGAGAAAGCACATAGTCCGGGCGCTTGATTTTAATTCAATACTTCTAGAAACCTGAGTTCGAACCCCGGTGCCGGCACAAATGAATTTATTAATTTTATGTCCTAACTTATCACGTGCTTAACGGTGAAGGAAAAAATCGTGAGGAAACTTTCATATTTTCGAAATAATAACCAAAAAATGTTTTGACCGCAAATCTGCAGTGGGGCCGTGTGGTCGGCGTGGTGGACCATGCCCGCCTATGGGACATACAAAGGCTAGGTTTTGAATGCAAACTAATTAATTTTATATTAAATTTATAAGCCTGGATTTTATTAATGCTTTTTTTTTCTTTTCAGGCATCCGATAATCAAAAAGCTACATAAACTTATTTCTTGTGATAAAGAATTGGCAAATATGGTGTCCCAGCAGCTGTTCTCAAATGCAATGGTTACCGCGGGCTTAGTTATGGATCCAAGAAATCTAGTCATTCATATCAATGATCTTCTGGTGAAAGCTTTAGAGAAACATTAAAGACATTAAAACAATGTAAATATACACAAATAGATTGCTTTAAATACTTTCCTTAATGTCGTTTTTTTCCGAACGAAATTGTTTTCTTTACGTGTAGGTATTTTTTTTAAACTTTCAACGTATGCAACATGCTATTATTAGGCATTCGGGTTATTCGGCTGCTTACTATACAATTTGGATTCTTTTTATGGGAAAAGTTGTCAAACGAACAGACGGTTCACCTGATGTTAAGTAAATACCGCCGCCCATGGACATCTGCCACACCCGAGGGTTACAGATGCGTTGAAAATTGGGCTCCGGCTACTTCACTCACCAGAGGAAACGGTATTCACGTGGTATACGTACGTGATATTCACTTAACATCAGGTGAACCACCTGCTCGCTTGGCAACTTTTCACATAAAAAATAAACTTCTGTCTACAAAAATTTTCTGTCTACTTCTCTGAAGTAGTAGTAGCTAATAAAGAGAAAGTTATAAAACATGTGTAAAATTAACATAAGATTGACATTTTTTTTACTAAATCTGTTGATTTTATTAACTACTCGGAAAATGAATGGTTAACCTAGTGCAGAATGAATGGTTCGTAATTTTACGTAAATTAAACATGGTAAGTTGAAAGTTTGTCATACATATAAACGAATATACGTAACTATAATTATTGTATTAAGGCACGTTCTATAATTATATTTAAGAATTTTATAGATAGATACGGAGCTATATTTATACTAAGTATATTGTATTTTCTAGATTAGAACCTTTCATAAAATAGAAATTGTCTCTTCAAAACTATATTTTTTTTGAAAAAATTGAGTCAAACCCGCAAGCCTGTCACCTGTTGGTAAATGGCCACCGCCAGGACCCTTGAAAATTCGGAGATAACTGCGTTGCGGGTTTGGCTTTGAGGTAGGAGTAAGCTCTTCTTGAAGGTCCTTAAGTCGTATTGATCCGCAAATACTAATGGCGACAACTGGTTCAACAAAATAGCTGTACGGGGCAGAAAAATGCGTACAAAACGCACAGTGGTGGTGGTGGAACATCAACCGCCAAGGTGGTTTCGATGGTGAAATTCAGCAGCATGTACTCGTATCAATCCGAACAATTCCTAGGAGCACTCGTCGTGATAGGTATATCCGATAGAAGCAAAGAGATGCAACACCTCTTCGCAAAGCCAAATGTTTGAGGCAATAGGACAGGATCCGATCGTTTACGATTCGAACAGCTCTTCTTTGGATGCTGATACTAAGGTGCCCCAGCCCTGAAATTCAGCAGCAGGTATCAGATGCTTTCAAATAGAAGATAGATCAGCAGATGCTTTCAAATAGAAAGAGCTGGTACTGACGTGCCCCAGCCCAGGCGTCAGAACAGTATTCCATATGCGGCCGAATCTATGACTTAGCCCTACGCGCCCCTAATTCTTGCGCTACGTAGGTCACCGAGCTTTGTAGAAGCCAGTTTGGCCTTTCAAACAATCGCGAAATTGACCGCTGTGTGATATTTCAATGCCAAAAATTCTGGCTGAGTCTGTGCCAACAAGGAGAATGCCTTCAAAAGAAGGAAACACGACGAAGGATTTCACGCCAAAGCTACTCACGAAGTTTCAGCCCAACTATGATATCTTTTGTGTTGGACAAATCTTGGTAAAATTAAAACATGGATTTCTTTCATAATAATGTATTTTCCTACAATCAACATCCGTATTATAAAAATTACCAAATGAATGTATGCATTTGAAGCTTCTCATATTTACTGCGGCGGTACCTATAGAATAGGCCAGCTACCGATGTGCATGTGCACGACGTTAATCAAAATAGTCTTAAACAAATTAATGTCAGTCCAAAACATCATTACCCTATCCGATAGATCGGAGTTCCTCAAACTTTTTTGTGTCGTAGACCCCTTGCCATGTTTTTCCGTGTTGGGTAGACTTACCTGATATTGATTTCCTGTAAATTTCTAACTGTAGTGAAGTTTAGTGTTAAAAACTTAAAGTAAAAACACATGTTAATTTATACATTTATTAATTGAATTTAAATTAAAACTACTCAAAATAAAATTTTGTATCTGTTATTTAATGTTGTAAAATAAATATTTTCAGCACATATTTTCATTCTTAGCACTTTCCTTTTCAAGATTCAGGAAACGAATAAACGTATTTGTCCCACATTCGTATTTATAGAGTGACGAATTGAACAAGTCAGTGCAAGGTAACGAAGCTCTGAGAACCTAAAACATCATCAACATGAAAATCTAAAAACCTGAGTCGCAGGACTCAGGTTTTTACAAGTTCAAAATGTATTGCGACCACAAAGCGAATACCAACATCCTACAACTTACACAATTTTATAAACATATATAATAATTTTTTTACTTCATAGGTACTTTTATAAATAATGTATATGTTTTGATATTATAAGATAGTATGATATATATGATGAAGTAAATAGGTACTATCAGTGTATGTGTTGAGATCCACTATCGTCGACCCTCATTTTTATTTCATGAACCCCCAAATTTTTTTTCGCTGACGTAGACCCCTTGCAGTTGTCATAGACCCCTAGGGGTCGATATAGACCACTTTGGGAATCACTGCGATAGATGGTAATGCTTCTATCGACTATACATATAATAAAAAAGCGTGTAAACCATCTGGACGTCTAGTTTTATTCACATGTAGATTACATAATGTTCTTAAAACTTCCTTATTCGTGATTCTGGGTAGTTTGCTGTTTTCAGGATCTAGATGAGAATTTATGGTAAAAGATACCGCAAAATGATGTGCTTTTTCCTTGGCCATTTTAGCAAGACATCCGTTTAGCCTCTTCAAAGATAGCTTGCCGTAATGCAGAACTTAAAAAATCCCTTCTTTAAACTAACACCAGGAGCTTTGTGTAGTCGTTATTTAACCCCGACAAGGATAGAAAATTTTATTTATTCTCCAATCATCAACACCTAAGGAGATGATGGCAAGTCATGTGGTGTGAGTGGAGAGTAAGTGCAGCAAAACAATTGTTAAGTATAACTTTGAAGTCAACGTTACACTTACCTATTTGTTCAAAAGATTACAGTGCAAGCCTCTAATGTTTGAGAAGTACACTTGCAATGACAGTAAGTGTATTCGCTGGGAAAACTTCCTTTTTAGGATTTCGTAACCAAAGGGTAAAACGGGACCGAAACATCTATATCTCTTTCTCATGAACCGTGATAATTAGACAGTTGATGTGTTTTTGTTGCCGCTATAACAACAAACATTAAAGTGGGGCTCTCATACAATGGACGTGATAGTTATAGATAAACGATACGGTACCCTTCGTGCGCGAATCCGACTCGCACTTGGTCGGTTTTTTTTCTACTGTGTTTGTATCGGTTGTGAAATTATTAAGTTAAAAGATTACAATTGAATGATGTTTAAAATTAAAAATCCATTTGTAAGCTTTGTTTGCGGTTAATATTTTCTTTCTTTTATTTCATAATGATAAAAATAAAAAAAAATCAAGATATTCATGCTCTTTACGTTTTTCATTAACATTTTATTATTTTACCTAGATAAAAAATAGAAGAGAAAATCGGATTTATTAATTATCTCTATTCATTATATTTTTATAATTATGTTTATCCTATTTTTATAGTTTTCGATAATTTGTATTTTCGAACTTCCATTACAAAAAGGTAACAGTTAACACTGACTGCTGGGAGGCGCGCGGTACCGGTATTTTAGGTTTGTCTTGTCGTTTCACGTTTGTTACTGTCGTTTGCTTGCGCCATTGAAGTACAAATTTTATGAAAAGAGCGTTCTGAACTCCACTTAATTTCACGGCGTTTTTTCGAGATGATATTTCTTACAATATTGTAACTATAAAATACAGACAACGTTACTGTAAGGCATATCTTGATTATTAATTATCGGTACAAACTCGAGCATCATCGATGTAAAACATTTGTCGCTTTTGTGTACTATTTAATAATTCAACCATGAGTACCACCGACATTAGTCAGTTAGACAATGAAAATGATACTAAAACTTTAGATAAAAAGCAGATTGAAGCTGAAGAAAAAGAAGTTATGCTCAAAAGCGAAAATTTGAAAACGGACAATTCAGACGATAAGAAGAATGAAGGTGAAGGGCCAGTTAGAGCGGCACTTGCTGGTGAAGTAACTGAACAAGGGAGAGAGGTGAAGCCAAAGTTTATTCCTATAGGAGCCATAAAAATGCCTGGATTCTTTACAAGAAATTCTGATAAAGACAAAACAAAAGTACGTAATTTTTGTGACATCCTAGAGCCAATGTACTTTACAAATCCACTATTTCCTTCTTATATTAAAGGTATGAAATACCTTTCATCCTATCTACATACTTCCTTCATTTAGTTTCAACAATGTGTCACGCCGAATGAAATGGACGTAAATTATATTTTAAAGTTACTTTGAATTACAGTGTTTTCAGGAGTAGTATTCCAAATCTTTTTGCTGCATTTGAATCTGTAAACAACTATAAATAATTTTATTTATGTATAACTCCTTAGGAGGGGTCGTCCTACACTTCCTCGCAGTGTAGGACGACCCCCCACTAGATGGAGTGACGACCTGGGCAAATGTGCGGGAAGTCGATGGATGCAGGTGGCTCAGGATCGTACTTCATGGCAGTCTATGGGGGAGGCCTATGTTCAGCAGTGGACTCAAACAGGCTGAAATGATGATGATGATGATAACTCCTTTTATGCATGATTTAAGTTACTAATATAATTATGTTTTATAATTCATATTTATGTACATATATTTAACAATTCTTATTTGAATGATTAAAGTTAAACACATATGAATGTAATTTCATCATGTGCATTATCTGCATTAATTCAATTTCTTTTTTATTTAATTCTTTACAAATATTTAATTTATATAGCATAGTTTTATTTTTTTTACATTTTTAGGAAGATGAGAGTGGTATAGAAAAGGACACAGAACATGAGAAGACATTAGAAAAGACAGACGAAGATCTAAATCCTAAGCAACATCTTGGTTTCTTGCAAGCATTTACAAAGTTTTTGCAACCCAAAGATAATGGTCAGTATAATTACTCTATCACATATTATTTCCTTAACTTATAATGCTTTATACCATTGCATTAATAAATTTTTGGAATATTACTCTACCTCACTACAGATAAAGAAAGAGATCAACCGAAACGCTTTGGAATTTTCGATGTTAAATATCCTAGGATGTTTAAAAAAGGCAACACTAATCAAGAAGCAACTCTTGCTTCGATGGAAACATTGGAGGATAAATTAGATCCTACCAATGATGGAATGGAAAACATCAAGTTGGATGTTGCAGTAAGTCTATATTTAATAAATTTTGTTAATTTTTTATGAATATCTGTAGGATCACAGTACATATTTCATACCATATATTTGTAATTATTAGATGTACAATCTGTCCTAGATGAGCCACACATTGCTAAATTGATTTACATAACTCTTTTACTGTTTATAGTTTTTGAAACATTTTCTTAAATATTTGTTATATCCTGCAAAAAAAAATTACCATATACAATGTGACGCTACCAATGCAACCATAAATCAACATACATATAGAAGATAACTTTTGATAACTTTTTAAAATTGATTTAAACATTTACTATCTTTAAACATAAATATTTACCGAGTTATTAAATTTTCCAAAACAAATAATTTTAGAACATCCTTACACATGAAACTGTAACATAAAGTTCACAAAGGATATAAATTGGTTGAATGAATTCAAAAAAAGATAAAACATACTGTTAGAAGGAGAGACTTGTAAATGTATGAATCAGTCAGTTATGCTACAAATTTTGTTTCTTTTTTATTTAATTAGTTTGTTTAAAAAAAATTAAAATTTTGTATTTTTATGATTATTTGCAAGTAGAGTTAGGAGTGTGTTTATTTATTGTTGCGGTTAACGCCATGCTGTATATACAGCGTGTCGTTACCATTGCGACAATAAATGAACACACATATAGGGCATAACTTTTTAAAGTTCTATTAAATATTTAAATTCTTTAAACATCAATATTTATTGAGTTATTAAATTTTCCAAAACAAAGAATTTTAGAACATCCTTACCTATAAAAGCGTAACGTAAAGTTCATTTGTCAAGGTCACAAAGCATATGAATGGGTTGAATGAATTTAAAAGAGACAAAACATAATGTTAGAAGGAGAGGTTTGTAATACGACGCTGTGGCGCGAGTTGTATAGGTGTTACAAATTTTGTTTCCTTTTTACTTAATTACTTTGTTTGAAAAATATTTTTTTTTAATTATGGATTTTGTTTAACGTTAATATTTTTTTATGATTATTGGCAAGAAGCGTTAGACGTGAGTTCATTTATTGTCGCGATGGTAACGACACGCTGTATATGGGTATTCTAATAAATGTTCCAGTTGGACTGAAAATTATGTTATCTCATCCTTTAAAGGAGCAATTCTTGTATATTTATATATATATATAATCGGAATCTCGAAAACGGCTCCAGCGATTTTCATGAAATTTAGTATGTGCGGAGATTCGGGGGCGAAAAATCGATCTAGCTAGGTTTCATTTTTAGAAAATGCCCTTTTATCCCTGTTTTCAGGGAATGAAAAATATCATTCGAATATGACGGTAAATTTCGCCGCAAAAAAAATGTTATAATCGCTAGGTCGGTAATCGGGCGGCCCCAAAATAGACGGCCTCGGTTCGTATCACGATCATTTATACACTTATTTTTTTACTTTTTTTTCGATTCCAGATCATTTCTTTCTTTATCTTTAATTTTTTGTCGATTTGTTTTAAAGTTCTTTCTTTTGTGAAAAACACCAGTTCACATTTTCTTAGTATTACATCGGTAAGATCGAAAAATATTATGCATAGTTCATTACTTAGTAATTTTTATCTAAATGTAATTTCCAAAATACATGATTTACCAAAGAAAAAACAAAGCAAAGCTCGGTCCTCCAGGTACTACCTCCAGGTTCATTATTCTTAACATAATTTTTTTTTTTAATATTCAGGACCAAGAGGAAGGTAAAGTTGCAACACGACTCCCACTTAAAGAAAGGATTAGACAAAAGAAGTTCATTATTGGTAAACACAGTATTATGATTTGCTCTTATAATAAAATTTATAACATCCTGCTCTGTAATATGTATTAATACTGTTAGTAATTAGTAGAGTAGTTAATAATTTACTATTTTTCATACACAGATGATATTATGGTGTGTGCAGTAATTGTATTAGTATTACTGGCAGTTATTGTTGGAATAATTGTGGGTGCCCGGGCTGGACCTCCTAATGATCGACCTCTGCGTCTTGGACGCTTTATAACAACATTGACCACTTGCGGCCCTGTTGAAGGGTAAGTAATTTTGTTAACTAGCTGTTAACCGCGGCGACGCCCGCGCGGCCGGAATATCTTGTAGATGGCTGAATGTTTTTCTACTTAGTTACACTTATCATTACCTATATTTTGGACAATTCACACAGTATCTGTATAATTTATAGCCTATGTCTTATTCTGTTATGTATAAGCTATATTATTGTAAAGTTCCATAAAAATCCATCCATACATACAAACTTTAGTCTTTATAATATTATATGCTTAATACAATTTTAAAAAGATATCCTCTATATGTGTGTTCATTTATTGTCGTTGTACCGAAGATTAGTAAGTATATAAATCACTTATTTTAAGTCCACATTGATCAACTAAAACTATGAATTTTAATGCCTATTCTTGCACTTAAAATAATGCAATCAAGCTAGTGTCTTAATCCTAAATATGAGTTTCTGAGTTGTTACTTTGGAATTTACTCGATATTATATATAACACATTAATTTTCTTGTAACATTCTGTTTTTCAATATCTGCATGGAACCAGTTATGTAGCGCGCACGAAAACAGCTCATGAATATATAAACCACAATTTAGGGACGTCTGGCAATTGACTGCACACGGCTGCCTACGTCGCGGGTATGGATAAGTACATACAAGAGGCGGCACCTCTTGGCCCCCAGTGTCGCGTATTGTGTAGCCACCGTTACAATTACGTTTGAATGGGAATAATTGAGTGGTGCTCAATTCACCGCCAGCTCAATGCAGATAAGCCAGGATCCGGTGCTATACCGATACACGTTTACATGTGCATCATTCTATTTGGAGGATTTTACTTATTCTATTGGGTTGTTCGGAAAGTAATTTAGTTTTTTTTTTTTTGTGGAAATGAAAGACAGTTTTCGTATAACACTTCTGACAGTAGACTTCCCAATCAATCGTTGCTCAAAATCAAAGCTCAAAAAAATACGATTCCTTTAAAATCCCACCAAACAGAGAGCATCACCTTTTTTTGGTGAATATCACCTTTAGAAATGGTTAGAGCCGGTTCATTTTTTTGCTCCATGACCTCTTGCGTTTGACGTGTTTGCGTTTGGGTTGTACCCATTTTTCGTCCCCAGTGCGATTCAAAAACGGACCATTTTCGTGACGTTTGAGAAGCGAATCGCAGACGACAATGCCGCGACACAGATTTCTCTATGTGAGAACATGGGGAGAACCTTGGGACATAGAGCTTCGAGGATAATCCCAGACCTTTAAAGTGGTCATAAACTGTTCAATTTGATAAATTTAACCTCAATCCGATCTGTTGTTATTCGCCGTTTCGCATCAATTAATTGCCTTTATCAGCTTCAACCGGCCTTCCCCAACGTGGTGCATCTTCGACATCAAAATTGCCGGATTGAAATTTAGCGAACCAGTTCTGGCACTGGCCTACTGTCAACACACCTTTTCCACACACATTGGTCAATTTCTTTCTGGCTTGAACAGCATTTTACCCTCTCTGTAGTAAAACGATGTGTCGAAAATGTTGCTCATCGCTCTACTACTGCGTAAAATTAATTGGAATTTTTCTCACACAAGCCTTGCTATATGAGCTCTCAAAGCATATAAAAATTATACGGCTTAAATTTGAAGTTTAAAATACAATTAAATACTTTGTCGGGAAAAAACGATATTACTTTCCGAAAAACCTATTACATGTATGTATGTATTTTTACATATACAGTAGGAGGTGGGATAGGAGCAAAGTGTTTTAAGATTGAATATTGCGTATACAGCTCTGGTTTAAATTCAAGTTTATTAAAAAGATGATGGATCGGATAAATTATATGTTTCAATTCAAATACATGTCTCTGAATAATTTGGACTACATTTATACATGTACGAAAATTATTTTCCCGGAAGTGATCATTATTTTGTTGTATGCTTTTGTTATTCGAAACTTCACTTGTATTGTAACGCGTTGATTCAGTTTCAATATTATAATTTGTAGAAAAATTGGACGATAAGTTTTTCGCCACTGCGGGAATCGAACGCACGTCTTCCGTATTCGCATTGCTTAAAATGTGAAAAAACAACATAGATAAAATAGGTTGAGATTTTCGTATTTTATCTACATCGTTTATTCGCATTTTTTCTACAAATTAAAATTTCTCATCTGTAGTACAGATAATTAGCACTATAAAAATTTAAATTTCAGTTTGATCATGTTTATCGCATTGACGCGTTGGATGCAGGCCGCTAACGACCGGTCGAAGTGGAAGTCAGTGGGGGAGGCCTATGTTCAGCAGTGCACGTCCTACAGCTGATACGATGATGATGATTATAAAATTTAAAAAAATGAATAAGTACTCTGCGACTCCAAAACTCGTTCATACTGACTTGCGACGCAAGCTTCATTTTTTTTAATTTTCATTTAGTTTCCTACACATATTGACTTTTATTTCCGACATTTAGTGTTATATGTTACGGTCAAAGTGGATTGGGAAACATTCTTTTTAAGCTTAAAAAAAAGTTAAAAAACATATCTTTTAAAATTTTCTCCTATTGTTGCAGCATCTATGACGAGGGCGTGTACAAATTCTACGGCATTCCGTACGCGGTGCCACCTATCGGCGAAAAGAGGTTCACGTACGCTCAGCCTTTGAACAACATATCGCTATGCTGGAACGGTACCCTGCAGACCCACGAACCCACTCCGTTGTGCTTGCAACTTTTGGAAAACAGCACCATCACCGGCGAAGAGGATTGCTTAACATTGGACATCTTCACTCCGCAAGTGCGCTACGACTCACCGCTGCCTGTCGTTGTATTGATTGGTGCCAATTCCCTATCTGGCGGTATTAGTCCCGCGCAACCCTCCGCCTTGTATGCGCGGACCAAGGAGGTGGTATTTGTAAGACCCAATTTCAGACTGGGAGCGTTCGGATTTTTAGCACTCGACATTTTATCAAACACAAAGTACCCCCCTACTTCTGGAAACTACGGGCTGAGCGACTTGTTGGTAGCGTTACAATGGATCCAATATAACATCAAGCACTTCGGTGGGGACGCAGAGTCCGTCACTTTACTGGGACATAGGGCAGGCGCTACTTTAACGGCTGCCCTTACTACAGCGACCAAAGCGCAGAAGCTCTACTCTAGAGTCTGGCTCTCGTCGGCCTCTGTCATATTCCCGGGTGAACCTCTACAGCAATCTCAGAGTAACAATGAACAGTTCAAGCAGATAAGCAAATGCAGCGACGCAGATTGCCTGAGGCGCATCACGCCTACGGAAATACTGTCCGCCACCCCGGACACCTGGCTCGGCAATAACATCGATTCGTTGCCCGTCGCCAACGAGTTGAAGCGCTCTTGGCTAGTGCTAGACGGCGACTACCTAAGGGTGCACGCGTACGAGAGCTGGGACGCGCAGAGGGAGGCCAAAGAGAAGGGCAAGGAGAAGGTCTTCAAGCCAATGGTGTTCGGGACGACGACGCACTCGGGCCACACGGAACTGCTGCGTATGAAGCACATGAATTGGACGGCGGAGATTGTCGAGCGGACGGTGAACGAGAGCTACATCGGCGAGAGGAATCTGACGGCGTCCGTATTCGAGCACTTCAATAAGACGTACGAGGGCCTGGTCGAGTTGATAACGTCCGTCCGCACACTGTGCCCGTTGGTGAGTCTCGCCCGTTTGCGCTTGGCAGCGCCCATGTACGTGGTGACAGGTTCCGGCGCCGGCGGCGGAGTGCTCGGCTCGGGCATGGCGACCGTCGACTCGGACGTGGAGGCGATACTCGGCACTTTCGAGTCGGAGATGCCCGAGCAGCGGCGATTCATGTCGGCCATGCAGCAGTTCTTCTATTACTTCGTGTGGCACGGGCGCCTACCGGGCCCGGAGACTGGCCTGGTCGCAGTGGGCCAGGACCTGCTACCGCTTCACGGTCTACCCGCTTGTGACCTGCTCATACGCGAAGACGTCGTGCCGAGATACGCCCACGTGGACTAATTAATGGGCCAAATCTTATTTAGTATGGGAATTAGCCGTTCTGCTGTATGTGTGTTTTTTCTTTGGACTTACAACCGTCTACGTCTTGCTTAACTCACCCCTCTCCCAATTCCCTAAGGTTTTTATTGAAATTTTGTACCTACATGTAGTTATTTGAGTTTTGTACTTATTGTGCACGTATTATTAGGTTAAACGCTTAGAAAAGGAACTGTCGTGTAGTAGCTATAATTATTATTATTGTATTATGTATTAGATTAAGCAGCAGTTTGTAAGGTGGATCATTATTAGATCTGATAAGTGTAATTTGTGGACACGCATATTTAGTGCCGTTTAGAATCTCATAAAGATAGGATATTTGTATTGCCGTTTATTGCTCTAATCAGATTTTTTACTGTTTTGCATTTATAAAAATAATAGTAAGACTGATTTTAAATCGAAAGACAAAATAAAGATCTCAGGATAAGCAATGATTTTGTCGGTTAAATTTACGTATTTTTAATATCTTTGAAATTGAGATAATTTTTTCACTTTTATACCAGTAATAAACACGGTTGTTTCAGATTGTACAAGTAAATGAACTGATATTAATAAATACTCGTAGTTATAAAAATTACTTTAAATTTTGTAATGCCATTGGTGTTTACGCGATTATTTTTAGACTGTAGTTTATTTGCGTTAGTAACCATAAATTTGATAGAAATAGAATTGTGATTTACTTTAAGTCTGAATAATCCAAAGAATGATTTTTGTCTACACTCATTAACCAAATCTCTTTGTAAGGTATAATAGTGTTTTAATAAGAATTTATTGCGAGTGTATTTTACTCTTAGTTTTGCTGTACTTTTCTTGCCAGATATCTAATAATATTGCATTGCAGTATTTATACCAAAGGCTCTTAGTGTGAATGAGATCGTAAAATATTTTTTTCCCTGATGAAGTTATAGTGACATAACCCACCGTATACTCTGTGTTTTCTAAGTTTTCCTCAAGTAATATTGTAATAGTCACAAAGCTTTGTTTGTAAATTGGTATCTAAGAATAAAGAGACTGCCTAACATTATTTACTTTAATTTTCAAGGGGTTTTTTACATATTGCAATCTATTCCTTATGGATATCGACTAATCAAACTTAATATACTTCATTCTTTTCTACCCGAACGTTCCTCAAGGCTCATGCCTCTCCCTATTCGCTCTATACGAGCGGTATCTCAAAAGGCCCACAAGTCAATCTCGTGTCGTTTTCGCTGATAGCACATCCTAATAATACTCTGATTAACATCTCGACCAAGTCACTCACCGAGACAATCGGTGGGCAAGCGAATTACATACTCTACACGAACGCGGTCGAGGTTAGTTCGAGGACATTACACACACCGGGGATCCTGCTAGGCAATAATCACCCTTAGGGCTAACAGACAATATGGATTAGTTCAACCTCGCCTACGTTCATGGCGACGAAAAACAACGCATACAACATGTAAACTCGCGTTACAGGGCGACCAGCAGCCCTTTGAAAGAATGTATGTGTACGATAATTGCTATATTTTTTGCTATTGCATATGTATGCTGGACATTTTTAGGGTTCCGTACCCAAAGGGGAAAACGGGACCCTATTACTAAGATTCTGTTGTCTGACTGTCTAACACCAGGCTGTATCTCACAAACCGTGATAGTTAAATAGTTGAAATTTTCACAGATGATGTATTTCTTTTGGCGCTATTACAACAAATACTAAAAAACAGGATAAAAAGTATTTAAGTGGGACTCCCATACAACAGACATTATTTTTTGCAGTTTTCATATTTCTGTGCGGAACCCTACGTGCGCGGGTCCGATTCGCACTTGGCCGTTTTTTCTTTCTTTTCTGCGACCTATTTGTTAGATCAGCTGGACAATCTTTACTTTCTTGGGTTCACGCAAGTCACTACACAAACAACGCTTCTCCTCACCCCTCCTCTCAAAGGTTGCATGTATATATGCGCGACCCAAAGAGTACTTTTACATATCTGAAATCTGTACTTTTATATATCTGGCGCGACCAGACGTCTTAATAAGACCATAGTTATTGAAGCCTCAAAGGGACCCATGAATCTTTTAACGAAGACATTGGAGACTAGATTAAATAAGCAATTTAAGCGTTTGATGATACACGAAAACAACTAAAACTACCACAATTTGCCTACATATCCAAAACGTCTTTAATGAAGATAAAAACATACAGTTTAAATAATACTCTATTTAGCTTTTTGTACAATCAATTTCAAAATCAATACATTAACTTGTCTTGAGTAAATGATGCTCAAGTCGCTATGAAATACGAACGAATCACATACTCATATTGCAAGGATGTTCGAGCAAAGGCAATATAATAATATATTATCTAACTAGATGATATGGTAAGTCAAAGTAATAAGTATGTAGATGGTATGTATTATGAAAATGTGCTCCTGTGAGGTGGAATCGAATACATAATATAATCAGCTATTATTTTGGTATCGTAAATATGTTTTAAAGATGCATAACATATTTAACATCACATTTATTAGTTTCATAAGTTTTTAATATTTCTAACGACTATTTGTATTGTCATGGACCTTTGATCTTGAAAAGTATGCAAAAATTCCAATTAATCTGACTTTTTGGATGTGGGCGAAAAAAAATAGCGTTCGGAAACTTTGTTATAAACATAACAAATAAAATGGGAGTATGAAGGTATGTCTGGCTTAGAACTTAATGTAACTTACGCGGCGAGTGGAAAAAAATAACGTAAATAGAACACGCCACCGACATAGCTATGATTGCGAATATGTCCTTATTTGTCCCCCGATAAAGAAGACGTTATATTTCATCATATTTTAGTTTATATCAAATTGGTAATGTTGCACGTGGAAAAAGGATACATTTCTATCACTTTCCACAAGGTGAAATTAAACAAGAAATAGATTAGTCTTAGTAACTTTTACTATCGCCGTTTTTTAACATTAATGTAATTCAGCAGACACAATTTTCAATCAATCAAAACAAGTTTATATAAATCAACAAGCACAGAAACCAACATTCCTAACTGACAATAAATTATGAGGATCATCCAAAACCACAATTTAACTTTTATGTTATAAATAAATAAATAAGACTACCACATTTGGTAGTATTCAATGATTACGTTCTCTTAAAGGAGAAACGACGGTCTGAATGTTTTCTTTGCCGATTTTGATAGTTTTTCGGGTGACTGAAGGCGACTTTGGCGTAACCTGAGACTGTTCCATTTCTTTTTTCATTTTATCCATCATAGACGATTGCTTAGCTATCATCATAGAAAGCTCTTCGTTTTCTTGACGAAGCAGAGACAACTCGACAACAAGCGATTGCTGATCTTGTATCTGAAATATCATCCATATTAGTGACAATAAATTTATTGATTAAATTTTTTACATTGCCCCCATACAGTACGATAGCATTATCGTGTGTTACGTTTTACATGCATAAATTTCACGTAGACAAACAACCAGATCCGAAACAACTATCTGTGGGCCATACAAATATATATATATATATATATATATATATAGTTAGTAGATAAATAATAGTTGGTAATCGAATCCACGTCCCCCGACGCCGTAGCCAATACCTTAGTAACTAAGCTATGGAGAATATTAGAATATAGTGACTGTAATTGCATGCAGGTTGTAGGAACGTGGAAATACAAAAAAAAAATATCATAGCTTATGACAATGCAGGTAAATCCAAAAAAAAAATTGTTTCATAAATAAATATTTCTTATGTTAATCACATAAATACACAGATATTGTTACAGTTACATAAATTATACATGAAATATACCATTAAAAGGGCAAATATTCGTCTACAAGCGCATCTTTTGCGTTTTAAGTAACCAATTCTTTTCTTAACTTACATATGCAGTCAGATTATAAAATAAATATTTTCTAAAGTATATATAAAATACGGATATATTAATAGATTAAAATGTGATACATACCTGTTTTTGTAGGCAGCTATTTTCAGTCTCAAGCCGCGAAATTTCATTGGCAGCATGTGATAAAAGCGCACGCGACTGTTCTGCAGCTGCTGTGGCCTGGCCAGCGTGTTCAGTAGCCAATTCACACAGCATTTGTTTCTTTTCCACCTTAACATACAAGAACGAACAAATAACAAAATATTTTATTAAACACTAAAATTGCTTATATTAATTGCTCTGGTAGTTGTTAACATTAGGGGCACGCGCCTTTTACGTTTACTGGTAATTTAAGCGATAAAGAAACATTACCAAAACAATAATTACGAGGTAAAAATAAGCCCAAAATTTGGAAAAAAATAATTATATCTTATTTTTAGTGACGTGACCCCGCTTTGCGGCGCTCTTTAAAGAAATGTACAGCTAACGCTAACCTATCAGTTTGTAATATATAATGTTGAAACTAATTATCTTATTATAAGCAACTAGCGACCCGCCCCGGCTTCACACGGGTTCAATGCTGAATGTTTGTTTTCGACATCACATTAGAAACCTCTAAAATTATCACTGTATCTATATGATGCAGGAATTATATTATAAACCTTTTAACATATAAATCTTCCCATTGAATTACTGCATCAAAATCCATTGTGTAGTTTTAAAGATCTAAGCATATATAATCCAAAATGAAAAATTGAAATTGCAATGTTTTAAGAAACCATCTATACAGATAAATAAAATTGGAGTGTCTGTTTGAATATTAAAATAACCGCATTTTACTAAATAATGTATATGGATGTATACATGGTACATATATCAAAATAAAATTGTTTTTAATTTTTGTCTGACTGTCTGTCTGTTTGTTCCTGCTAATCTCTGAAACGGCTGGATCAATTTGGTTGGGATTTTCACTGGAAGATAACTGATGTAATAAGGAGTAACTTATGCTACTTTTATTTTAGATTTTTTATTTTATTTTAAATTCCACGCGGACGAAGTCGCGGGCACAGCTAGTATTAAATAAAAAGCAATGCATGAATCAGTGTATACACATTTACTAATTCTCTCTATACTGGGTTTTTTTTATTCTACCTGTCTCTATAAAATCAGTTACATAGTATTTTTATCTCCACAGCAATAAAAGTTTGACTTTAAGACTTGTCTTACCTCTTCACGAAGCATTTGAATTTGACAGTTGGATTCCTTCTTCAATAGCTCGACATCTTCAATAAGTTCAGTTTTTATACTACCAAGTTCACGATATGCTTCCTTCTCAACATTCTGAAGACTCTCTATAAGGGTAACATTGTGCTCCATTATTCGGGTGTGTTCCTTAGCTAATGCTGCTTTAGACTTGAGAATATTTACTAATGCATCTTTATACTCATTACATTCCAAGATAGTATTGTCTAAAGTATTCTTACACTTTAAAAGTTCCGATTCCATATCTTCTTTTGACTTAGACAGCGACTGCACTTTACCTTCCAAATGTTCCAATTCAGTATCAGACTCCCTCAGACGCATTGTTAGGACTTCTACAATATCTCTTGTTACCAATAAGGACATTTCAAATTTGTTCTTCTCCTTCAATGCCTTTTCAACTTCGACAGTCAACCTATTAATTTTATTTTCATATTCAATTGTGGCCTTTTTAGATTCTTCCGTCAATTTGTCTAGCTCCTGAGCAAGTTTTGATTTTTCATTTCTTAAAGCATCCTTTTCATTTCCTAAAAAGATAAGCTGTTCATGTACCTTCTTATTATTTTCTTCATTCAAGCTTTCTTTATATTTAAGATCCTTTACCTCATTTTCTAAGCTTTGAATTTGACTATTTTGCAGAGTCCAATGTTCTTGAATGCTCCTACTGCGCTCCTCAAACTGTATTTCACATAATTTTAATTTCTCATGAGCTGTCTCTTCAATTTGATCACACTTTGCTTTCATTTCTCTCTCCTTAGTAACTAGCTTTTCTTGTAAATTCGAAATAACAGCATCTTTTTCTGCATTTATTTGTTCTTCAATTGTAGTAATTAAAGATTTATAATGGTTCATAACACTTTCTTGTTCAACCTTACTTTTATTTATAATTGCTTGCTTTTCTTCTTCCATTTTCAATTTCAGAGCTTCCAGTTCTGCTTTATATTCCCTTCTAATACTTTCATTTGCTTCTAATGCTAGTGCATGATGACCTTTAACCATTTCCAGTCTTTTTTTGGTTTCTTCCAGGCAAACACTGATATCATTCAATTTATTCTGCAAATCTTGACATAAACTATCCCTAATAACTATAATTTCTTCCAATGATGTGAGTTCTACTTGTTTGCTACTCACTTCTTGTTCTAACTTCTCACATTGTTTCTCTAATGTAGCTATTTCTTTCTTTAGATTAACAATGATATTTTCTGCATTTACATTTTCACTTATTAATTCTATGTTTTTTATATATTTTTTATTATCAGATAAAGTTACTTCATGGAGTTTTTTATCTAAACTGTCAATATCATTCTTACTGTTGTCTATGTAAGTTAAAGTTTTTTGTAACTTCGCTATTTCATTTTTCAAATCTTCAATTTGTTTATTATACTCTAGAATAGTTTGATCTTTGTTCCTGGAAAAAAGAAACAATTTAATATGAAAAAGTTAGAAGATAAACCTTAGGGTTAGGGATAAAAATTATATACTTGCCTTATTTCCACCTCCTGTGCTTTAATGAGATCATCTGATGGCTGAGGTACACTTTTAGTAATATGTTCATTTCTGTTAGGAGTTGGAAGAACCTTTTTAGTGGAATTTGTAGGTTTAAATTTATAACACTTGTTGAGTTTGACTGGTTGTGGCTGCAAAATTAGTAAGTTTATTAAAAAAATGTATTTTATTTTGATGTTAAATAATACTCAATAATAATTGTTCATAACATACTGTTACAAATGATTTCACACTTGATTTAGAACTGCATAGTGATTGTAGATCAGATTTTTTCTTATTTGGAGTTTCAATAGGTTTTGTACATAATTTTGGTGCTGTCGATAATTTATTTTTCTCTTGAATTACATTACTCGATTGACTTTTTTTGGAGCCTGAAAAAATATTTTCAAATAATTTCAAAATATTTTCAATGGGCAGCAATTTTTAAAATTGACTTGCATTGCTTGAGCGGCTTGCATTTCTACTTCTTTCTACCACCATCCCATAATCATTTACCTCACTAATTTATTTATTAAACTTTAAAACAAATCTCGTGTAAAAACGGACTTAATCCCCGAGGTATTATAAATTAGGGTAAAAAAAATTAGGAATAAAGTAATTTTTATGAATAATAATTAGCAAATAAAACTTACCAAGAGGTTCAAATCTTTTAGCCTTTGAAAACATATTGTTAAAGATTATAAAATTTTAAAATGAAAACTTTTATAATGTTCATGTATGTAAAATCGTCGATAAAACACTCTCAAACTAAGTTTATCTAAGTTAACTTATCTTTTCTTTTCACCGTTCAGATTGGTTCAATTGTATAATTGATGAACGCGCGCGAAAATACAATAACTATGAGTTAACAATTTTTTAATAACTCCGCTCCGGTAACCGTTAAATTACATTCCGTTTCAAGAAGTACAAAACAGAGATTATTTTTCACGAACCTTGAATCTTTTCGATCTTTTTATTTTACAGTTTTCATATAAGTATAAAACCATAATTATGTAAAAATAATTTTGTAATCTACCCAATCTAAATTATATCACAATACAATAAGATTAAAATGAATTTCATGCAGTTTAATGTTTGCATATGTCTATGTAATTATTTTTGTATAATGACAAAAAAGCATCTGTTTACTTTCAAAATAGAGGGTTTTTAATTTTTTTTGTTTCAATCGTGTCTAGAGGTAACACATACATCAATCTCTTTTTTTTAAATTAATTAGAAATACAAGATTTGGTTTAAGTTTCCCCATTCAACTCTCTCCGCCCTGCAACACCTGGCCACGAGTTACGAGATGAACATGGCCTTTTAATGAATTTATGAAATTAAGTATGTTAATAAATATATCATCGATCTAGCATGGTCTCATCCTTATTTGTTGCAATGTCAAAATTGTATTGATATTAGGTTTTTTATATTTAGTATAAGATTAAGCCGGCACATAGAATATTTTCTCGTTTCATCGAGTGAGCCGGGTCCCACTTTTTTAGTTTGGTAACTTGGCATCTGCAATGCCTTTTGTTGTAGATATCCCTGGGCGGCGGTGATCCCTTAACATCAAATGAACCGCCTGTTCGTTTGCAAACTTTTCACTTAGAAACAAAAAAATAAGAAAATATTTTGGAATCGTAGCCTACAAGGTCTTGCGCTAACCCGACATAAACGATTATAGTCAAGGGAGTAAGTTTAAAGTTATTTCCTCAAAAAAATCATCGACTATCGTTACTGTCACTCATACCTTTTTTGGATGTTTATTGACCGGTATGTATATTCTGTCGGTCAATAACGAGGCATTGGACCTAAATTTTCGTAAAATTAATATGCATTATTATTGTAACAGAATATCGTTAAAAAAGTACATTTTTACTAGGAAACCCAAAACCGACTTGAAATCTCTCAAATATCTCATTCACTTTATATTTTATCTTGATATTTTCACTTTATAATTTATTTTCCTGGCGCCCATAATTTCTGGTCAGTGTACTTTGGGGAGTCCGTTACCCGAGCAATAAAAAGCATGTAGCAACGTCAAAGGTGTAGGTACAACTAAGCCGAGGAAGATGGGTTTTTCCCTAAGGGAAGGCTGTGAAGTGTGTGCAGAAGTATACAATTTCCACTTCACGCCAGCGTTCTGTGAAGTCGTGGTACTTACCTGGACGGATCTGCCCATTCGTGTAACACTTCGGAAGCTGTTGCGTGACCCATGTTAAAATATTTTTTAACAAAAATAGCCACTGATCCAAGTCATTAGAGATACTTTTATATCCAAAAGATAGAATATGTTTGAAACTACTTGAGAATGACAAATTATTTATTAGATGATCAGTCCGGTTGTCTTAAACTCGAGGTAATTATCGTCCAAACAAAAACTCATTTGGTTAGTAACATACAAATAAGTGTAGACTTTTACACTAGAGCTAATTTAGAGTATTATGGAACAAAACAGTTTGTAACCATGTGTTGAAAACGAGGCCAAAATGCAAAGAATGAATGATAACTTGAAAACCATGATGTTTATATTGAACACTTTCTGATTAGTCGTGGATATATAATTATCTATTACTTCCGTCACATACTTCCTTTCTGTGGTAAAGCTAAAGGTTGGGGAAGTACCACGGCCTTACGTAATACCAGATTGAAAATAGCAGTGAGCAAGTACTCGTTTCAATTTGAGATTGGAGACGTATGTGGGAGCATTATTACATTTAATAACTTAAAAGTAGAAAAATGGATTAAGTTTTTTGTCGATCAACGGCCCACGTCTTCCGGATTCAAACTCATGTCGTTTTAACCGCTAAACTAAACGGTTGATTGCCATGCGACGAAAATCCCGATTGAAAAACATGAATAATATAAAATTAAAAAAATCTATAATGGCTTTTTCAATAATGATTAAACTTAATAGATAAAATAATTAATAGACTTAATAGATCAAATAATTAATAGACTTAATAGATTTTTCCTAATTTACATCTGAATGGTATAAATTCTAAAAAAAAAATCTATTAAGAGAAGTTGGACTCGTGAAAATTTTGCCGACGCTGTTAACTTTTTTTATGACAACTAAAAATTGAATATATACCTCAAGACAATATGTTATGGTCCACCTTCAAAATGGTCCTCAAGAAAAACCAAGAAAATGACCAAGGCAACTGCAAACTCCCGACACACTGTGATTATTTTAAAGATGTTACATCCGCTTATTTGAAAAGGCCTAGAAGTAGTTATGTCGTCCATACAATCACGACCTGCCAGGAACACAATCTATCGTTAGCTGCACTGTAATGTCGAGAGTCACAAAAATAATGGTCGCATTTTTTCAATATATACTGAGAGTATCCCTATTTGTTTTCATATATCTTTAAAGCTCATCAAAATTAGTAATTTTAATGATTACGCCATACAGGCTGCATAAATATACCTACATAAAAATATTAGACATTGAGCATAACAGACACTGGAAATAAAAATCTAGTGTATAATTGTATTAATAATTTGTACCTAAGTATTGTTTCATTGAATATGTGTCAGAGCGTCGATTGAGATGTGTAAAAGCACTACTTTAAGTTAAAATATGTAGAAAAAGTGCGAAAAGATTGTCGCCGCTGTGGGAATCGAACCCACGTCTTGGGCATTCGCGGCCTGACGCTCTAGCCACTGAGCTAAACGGCTGATTACCACACCGACGAATCTTTTAATGTTCAATTTTTAATGTTTTCTACATATTTTAATGTTCAATCTTAAGTGCAAAAATTAGCACTATAAACAATTTAAATTTCTAAAAAAGCAATGGCGACATCTCTCGTTCGAATTATCGTTGTAAAACGATATTCGAAGTTGTTTGTATGCTGGAAAGGATATAACAATAGATGGCGCCAAGCATTGCTTCAAATGCTAAGAAAACAATGTGGTAGAATGCGTTAAGATTTTCGTCAGTGTGGTAATCAGCCGTTTAGCTCAGTGGCTAGAGCGTCAGGCCGCGAATGCCGAAGACGTGGGTTCGATTCCCACAGCGGCGACAATCTTTTCGCACTTTTTCTACATATTTTAATGTTCAATCTTAAGTGCAAAGATTAGCACTATAAACAATTTAAATTACTACTTTAAGTTGTTCCCTTGCTTGCAAAAAATTATAATGATAGGAAGATAATGAATGTAATAAATATTATGATCAAATTATTTTTTATTATCAAAAATCTATTACATGGACGGTGGTGGAGGAGGGACTGGCAGCAGTGGTGGTGGAGGAGGTACACCCATAAGTGGTGCCCCTGGAGGAGGAGGAAGTCTAATGCCATGGTTCTCCCACATTTTGGGGGGTGGAGGTGGCATTCGTAGAGGCTCAATTTTAAATGCAAACTGCAAAAAGAACTGTTTTGTGTCCTTGTTCCAGTGAGTCCAAAACTTGGAATCATGTTTCTCAACTTCACGGCTAGGCACCTTAAATGCTATTGTTTCATAAGGCTCTGCAGCAAAGAGTAAGTACTGCCACCTGCGATCCGGTGGCTCTATCTTCTGTTCATATGCTGACATGAATCTATGCCTTGGTTGTACACCTTCAGCAATTTCTGAAATAAATAAGTTGTTTAGTAGTTTGTAGTAATGTTTTAACCCTCTGTATATATCGGATACAATCTAGGGCAACTTGAAACAATTTATGCTTTATATACATTTAATTAAGTTTTACTTGTAAAACCATGGATATAACACAACAAATAAACAAATATACAATTCAAAAATTCAGAGTATAGTGTGAATTTAACTTTTTAAAGTAAGTTAAAAATAAAATCAAATAAAATACTCTAACATGATTTTTAAATTTCTAATTTTAACAACACTTTGAGCCATACTGTGCATAGAAAGGACACCCACCAAGGATGATCCTTATTTATTTATTTATCTCTGAATTTAATTCGACATAGCTTAAGGCAAGGCAAGTTGCAGTGGGCTGGCCATATCGCTTGCACAGCTGATGGAGCGGACAAGTCCTTAAGTGGAGACCATTTAGAATGTAGTATAGGATGTTGATTGGTAATCTCAGATTATACATACTCTTTTGATATCAACTCTGATCTTCTTGGTTTATGTATTGTGTTTAAATTACTTTAAATTAAATTTAGAATGTTAGTTTTATTTGTTCAGACTGAATTGTGTCATATTTGATTTATTCCGTAAAAATCGTTGTATAAGTAACATGTATAGCTGTCTGACATAACTCCTGTATTTTATATAAATTCAACAATGATTATGTTTGGTCCAAAAATAAGTTCAAAATGTTTAAGTTGAAATATACAGTTTTCCTATCAGTCCTTAGGTGTCTTTTTGGTTTGAGAGCGATCCCATGAGCCACATCCACCATTCAAGATAGGATGACTAGCAATCAGCTGGAGGGACTTATTAGGGGTAAGATTGATAGCAGCACCTACATACAAAATGCACCAGACCTAGCCATGGTGTTTGCTAGGAGAGGCCCATGTCCAATAGTGGATTACCTAAGTACCTTTTTGTATTTTTCAAATATTCCTTTTGGTAAAAATTAATAAAAGCCTTAGCAAACCTGGATAGTCGACTTGGAAAAGCAGACTTTGTTGAGCATTTTCTGGGTCCTTTTGCTTTGTAACTCTATAACCTGGTCGACCAATTTTTACAAATTTCTTTGGCTCAATTCGTGGTTTCTCCGGTGCCAGCTGTTGTGGTGCTTCTTTAGCTTCCTTGGCAGCTCTTCGAGCTAAATTGGCTTGATGTTTTTTACCTTGTGTGTGAGCTAAATAACTGCCCTCGTTATTGTGAAGCGTTAAACATAGTTTGCATTCGTAAGATCCTAAAATAAATATATTTTGCTTATTACCGGATGCACATAATAAAAAATTATATAAACTGTACTAATTTAAATGATCTCACCTAAATGATTTTTCATAAAATAAGGATCTTTATTTAAATCTATAGTCTCTAACGCAAGTTGACGAAGCCTTTCGCGACGATCCCTGTTGCTTTCCGACCATGATGCTACGCCACCACCGCCGGTTTTCCCACCAGGTCGATTTTGGAAATCCATTTCTTCTTTACACTTTTATATAATAGTTACAAATGTATGAGGTATGAAACCAAAACCATTTATTTATACAATTTCATTCAGAACCAACAATGGTTTAAGATAATACCATTGGTTTCAGTATATATGCATGTTCATACATGTCTTATCTAATATCTATGGTTAGGACCATAGATAAGACATATATACTGTTATTTTGTAACAGGTGTTTGTCACTGTTACTTTTAAGGAACAGGAACAGACATAACAGATACTCGATTCGATTTATCATATTATATCTCATTCTTAACATTGGTCGCAATTGTCATTCACTGGTTGGCCATGCCAGTGGCCATAGTTATTATATGTATAAATTAACAATAATATGGGTTACCAACTCCAAAAAAATAAATATTTGTCAACTGTCAAATCTGTTTATCTTACCCCCATGTTTACGTGGATTTTTTTGGATTTATGGCCCGGTATCAAGATACGTAGTGATTACATTCTCTTTGAGGCCAAGTTCTATACGTGTTTATTGTCATAAATAGTAAGTAAAACTTAAAAATAATGAGAAAGTTTATTGTTTTCTCGTAGTAATTTTATAATAATAATATTTGAATGGTTAACGGTTTAACGGTCAGGTTTTGAATGGTTAAACATAAACTTGTTCCTAATAATTTATATGACGACATTTTTATTTTTCTGTTTGTATTATTATTTATTTTATGTGAAAATTTGTCAAACGAGCAGGACATCTGCCACATCCGAGGGTTACAGATGCGTTGACAACCTTTTGAAAATTGGGCTCCGGCTACCTCACTCACCAGACAGAGTATTATACTTCCACTTTACGCTGGTCTTCTGTGAGGTCGTGGTACTTACCCGGACGGGCCTGCCCATTCGAGCAACAGCCGAGGCTGCTACGTGGCCCTACCACCGTAAAATGTATACAAGTTGTATCATTACACTTACAGTATTTTCCTGCATGCCCACGCAACAGTCTACGCTCATGCACGAACGGACAGATCCATCCGAGGGAGTAACACGACACGACCTAACAGCATCTCTTCGCGTCCAACTCGACTTTGGATGACCGAGGAAAATTAACACCAACAATCCCGTGTTGCGATGCTACGATGCCGGAGGTTCAATTTCGGCAAAGTGCAGTTCGCAGAGCACTCTTTTCCATGGACATTCATAAGTCGAGTGGGCCCGATGGTATCCCTTCGATCGTGTTGAAGATATGTGCTCCGGAGTTGGCACCGGTTTTGACGCGTCTTTTCCGGCTCTCCTATACTCTAGGCGTATTCCCGAAATCCTGGAAGGCCGCTTTAGTGCACCCGATACCTAAGAAAGGCAACAGCTCGGATCCGTCCAAATACAGGCCTATAGCCATCACCTCCTTATTCTCCAAGATAATGGAGACCATCATTAACTGCCAGCTCTTGCGGTACCTAGAGAAGCACCAGCGGATTAGCAACCGCCAGTACGGCTTTCGTCGAGGTCGCTCAGCCTGTGATCTTCTAGTTTACCTGACACCCAGATGGGCAGAAGCAGTTGAGAGCAAAGTGGAGGCGCTTACAGCCAGTCTGGACATAGCGAAAGCATTTGATCAGGTGTGGCTTTTTGTTTTTTCTGCATATCAATGATATGTTGCAAATCAGCAGCGTTCATTGCTATGCGGATGATAGCACTGTGGATGTGTCGTACACTAGCCGTGCTAACATTTCTCGGGAAAACGTCTACGGGAGCCTGAACAAACTTGTGTCTGAAGTCGAGACTTTGTTAACAAAAGTCTCAGACTGGGGTCGACTAAACTTAGTCCAATTCAACCCCAATAAGACACAAGTTAGCGCGTTAACCGCTAAAAAGTCCCCATTTGTCGTGACTCCTCATTTTCAGAACACTCCCTGTCTGCCACAGCTAGATCGGAATACTTGGCGTCGAAATCTCGAGCAATTTCCAGTTCCGCGGTCAATTGGAAAGTAAGGCCAAATTGGCCTCAAAGAAGCTCGGTATGCTCAGCAAGGCAAGACAGTACATCACGTCGGCTCAACGCCTAAACCTTTATAAGGCGCAAATTCGGCTCCACATGGAGTACTGCTCTCACCTCTGGGAGTCCCCTGTTACCAGCTTCTTCCATTTGACCGCATCCAACGTAGGGCAACTAGGGTTATCGACGATCAAGGTCTTTCCGATCGGCTTGATCCTTTGGCTGTGGGTAGAGATGTTGGATCACTCTGCATCTTCTACAACATCTATCACGGGGAGTGTTCCGAGGAATTGTTTGGATTGATTCCGGCGGCTGAATTTCACCATCGGACATCGCGCCAAAACCAAAAATTTCATCCACACCATCTCGATGACCAGCGTTCCACAACAGAGCGATTTTCAAGGCATTTCCTGCCTCGCACAACCACTCTGTGGAACCAGCTGCCGCGGGCGGTCTTTCCGAACCGTTACGACCTGGGAACCTTCAAGAAGAGAGCGTACTCTTTCCTAAAAGGCCGGCAACGCATTTGTAAGCTCTCGGGTGTTGCAGGTGTCCATGGGCAGCGGTGATCACTTACCATCAGGTGAGCCTCCTGCTCGTTTGCTGCTTTTTTCCCATAAAAAAAAAAGCGTACTATACTTAGCAAAAAAATAACATTAACGGGATCATTTTAATACTCTGGCAATAATATTAAACGTCAAAGCCCTCTGTTCTGAAATTTGTCTTTTCTTTTTAGTTGTCAAAATAAGCGGAAGGTAATTTTTATGAAAATAAATCTACTATTATTTTATGAATCTATGAACAAAAGTTAAGAAACTAAAAGAAAAATATTTGATATGTGATGATTCAGTGGAATGTCAAACTTATTTATTAATTTTAAAAACGATATTTGTTTAAAAAATAATCTGTTTTAGGTAGGCGGTCAAGATGTTGATGCCTAAACAAAATCGTGTTGCTATCTATGAATACTTATTCAAAGAAGGAGTTATGGTAGCTAAAAAGGACTACCATGCTCCCAAACATCCAGACCTTGAAAAGATCCCCAACCTTCAAGTTATTAAGGCGATGCAGTCTCTAAAATCTAGAGGTTATGTTAAGGAACAGTTTGCGTGGAGGCACTTTTATTGGTATGTTTTCATGTTTCAACTTTATTCCTTGATTTCACAAATTAAATAAGTAATATATTTAGTTAAAAGTGATCTATTTAGTTTTAAAATTAATTTGACGTTGAGTAAATAAATTAAGGAAAACATTCAAGAATTTTATGCTATATATCAGGGTTTTTGTATATTTGAAAACAAGTTTTAAAACAATCAAACCTTCAAATTTATATTTATCTCAAAAATAATATGGAAATGATGTTGATTGATTTAGACATTGTAAACACCAGTTCTATAATTACTATGAAGTTTATTATTTTGTTTCAACACTAAAGTTTGGAAGCTGAATTAGGTTGCAATAATTATTAAACCAATGGCTTAAAAGCTGTATTCTTTGGGCAAAATATTTATATGTAAAAAATGTAGGTATTTTTTCTTTTAACTCTGGGTGTTTTTCGACCTAATAAAAAATTTATTTGGTAAAGAAAAATCATTACTGACATAATCACATAGCAGAATTTTCTGGTTGTTAATAGTTTTAGAGAAAAAGAATTAAAACTTGATAATTACACTAAGAAAGTCGACCATTTCGTTAATTTGACTTCAAAAACTGAATACACCGTAATGCCAACAAGATAAATATAGAAAGCAAGAGATGTCATACTCATATCAATTGTTTAATTTTTTTTTATTTAATGAGTCGCAGATCTAACATAGAGCAATCTGACTCTGATAGGTTATGTTAGAATGTTGAAGGTAAACCAGATAGTTCAAATTTTCAGATAATTATTGTTTCCTTATTCATTTGTAATAATTATATATAACACTTAACTCTGTAGTTTCATTGAAATTTACATATATACTTGTTCTTTAATCGGGTATACATTATATAATGAATGGTTGCATTGTTTTCACAGGTACCTAACTAATGAGGGCATTGAATACCTAAGGATTTTCCTTCATCTGCCACCTGAAATTGTACCAGCAACTCTGAAGCGCTCTGTTCGAACTGAGACAGTGCGCCGTGGTGCAGTTGGCAGGACAGATGCTCCAGCTCGTGCTGCTGAGGACCGCTCTGCATATCGCCGTGCCCCTACTGCACCTGGAGCTCCACACGACAAGAAAGCTGATGTTGGACCCGGGTCTGCCGATTTGGAATTTGTGAGTCTATCATATTTTTTCACTTTTAGAACATGCACGAATAACAGGAATATTATATATATATAATTATTAAATATATTGTCTTTTGGCAGTGTTGTTCATATTTTTCTTTTAATTTCAGAGAGGAGGCTATGGACGTGGCAGGCCAGCTCCTTAAATAAGTGTAAAATAAAATGTCAACTTCCACTTGTTTTGTTTCATTATTTAGGTTTTTCACTAACAATTTTTCACATTTTAGTAGCATCATAATTCTAAAAAAAATAATTGATTTCGAGTTAACAACTAAAGTTATTGTGTCAAATTATAAGTAAATGCTAAACGCACTTCGCTCAAAATATACATGCTGTTAAATATTGATGAACAATACTAGAATAATGATCAAATTATCCATTATGGGCCATGTACACGTATTACTAGTAGATAAAGTCAATCGTTCGCAGTCCCCTGTCCACTCCTCCAAAATAAGGCAGATTTTATAATTTTTTTTCGTTAAAAATTAAAGCATAGCGACTTGAAAAATGGGCCATAGATTTTATGAAAAAAATATTGCTCTCGGGTATTATGCAGAGAGGAAACGGGAGATTAAGTTTGTATAAAAATGCCCTGATGTTTTCGTGAGATAAATTCGTACTGTGGAAGGTTTGCCTACTTTCTATACTTTAGTTGCAAGATATATCTTGCTAATTTTCCCAACATACTTCAAGAAACTTCAGGCACCTAGTGCAAAATACAATCGTCCAGCTTACAATCGGTTTAAGGTGGTATCAAAGAAACTCCAACCCTGCGCTCTCAATACAGAGAACTGATAATAATAAAAAGGTTCTTTGATATATCCGAAAATATCCCAATTGTTTGGTGGTAAACGCTACATAACTGACCCATCATGATCGGTCAGTCGCCAACGCTGTTCGCTTAATTCGTTGTCTAGTCGAGCAAGGGGATGAAAGTATTTTGGAACCAGCGAGGGCATTAACATTAGTGTGCTGTAACTGTGGTGTTGGTCTTTCAACTACTTTATCTCTGCTCTGCACGGCAAACATTGGGTTCGGGGACGGTTCTTATCTTTCCGATTACATGGCTTGCAAACTAGACCCAAAAGACCCGTAGACGTTTTTTTTTATGTACGCATGTCTTCATGTGATGCTGCTTTGAGAAAGTATATAAGGCATTAGAAAACTTATGCTTTCTATGGGCTGTGTATATAAAATCTTATATAGTCTCTTTTAATTTGTTTAAATTTTATATAGTGTACGCTGCGGATTAAATAACGAATATCAAATGTCAAAAAAGATCAAGATAGTCTTTTACGTCTCTCACTTAAAAATAACCGTTGTCCAGAACTGTTGGTGAGTGAAAAAACTCCAAAATGATAAAAGTAAATGAAAAACATTTCATTCATACTCAGTAACCATAATTTATTGAATTTATCTACAAACAGCATTATATGTTTAATTACGGGGCAATGCTAAGGCCCATTAATCAATGACTGGTTTCGGCTACTGCTTTAACACGCTTGCACTTTGGGGTTCGGAGGTCTAGGGAACTCGCCAAGCTTGTCTATGTAATATTGGTATGCACGGAAGGGCTTCAGTTCCCATGGCACTTGATCTTCCATATGCGTCAACACCACGCCCAAGTCTTCCAAAGTGGGTACACCAGGCTCAACTCGGTCCGTTGTGGACTCCTGAAATAATTTTGAATGGGTCTATGGTTTTTTGGGCCTGTGAACTATTTATGGTTTCCAGGGTTCCATTTCAGAAGTTACAAACAGTTACCGCATCATATGACATAAGACAGTATGTCAAAAGAGGAGGCGGTAACCCTTATATATTATGGTATTCATGGCAGGTGGTAGTTATTAGAGTAATGTACACGACAGAAACTGTCACTATACGAGGTTATACAAGTGCTTTAAGTATTCATCATTTAACTATTTGTGACGAAAAGTTACCTTTTCCAAGGCCTCCCAGTGCAAACCGCCGAACGGATAGGCCGGCGAGAGGATGTTAGCGGCGGCCACACGGAGAGGGAAAAGTATCGGGTCGTATTTCATGTCGTAGCGCATGTAACTCCACTTTTTGTCTTTACGCATCAACTTGTAGAACCAATCGAGAAGGTCGCCCAGAAGGTATCTCTTTGGCCTGAAATTATTCGTCAAAAGATTTGTATGTTTATGTTCTGCAATAAATTAGGATGTTAAATATTTAACGAAAAATAAGTTTATACATACAGCGTGTCGTTACCATCGCGACAGTAAATGAACGCACATATAGGGGAAAACTTTTTAAAGTTGTATTAAACATTTAAATTCTTTAAACATCAATTTTTACAGAGTTATTAAATTTTCCAAAACAAAGAATTTTAGAACACCCTTACCTATAAAAGCGTAACGTAAAGTTCATTTGTAAAGGTCACAAAGCATATGAATGGGTTGAATGAATTTAAAAGAGTCGAAACATACTGTTAGAAGGAAAGGAGTGTAATGCGACGCTGTGGCGCGAGTTGTATAGGATGTTACAAATTTTGTTTCTTTTTTACTTAATTAGTTTGTTTGAAAAATATTTTTTTTTAATTATGGATTTTGTTTAAAGTTAATATTTTTTTATGATTATTGGCAAGTAGCGTTACACGTGTGTTCATTTATTGTCGCGATGGTAACGACACGCTGTATATAGTTTTTTTTAAACATTAACACAGGGTGAAAAGTTGGAAACCTTTGAACATCTTATATTCGTGGGCTGTTAGTATCTTTTCTAACCTTTTAGAGCGGGGCCTGGATATTTTTATAGCAACTGATATAGCAGCGAGAAACAAGATTAGTACTAATTTAAAACCACTCACCCAACGGCTTGGTAAATCTGACATCTAGTGTCAGGATCGCGAGCGGCGTTAACGATGCCCTGGGCCACATCAGACACGAAGACTGGCTGTTTCACAGTTTCCATGCCATTCTTGTACACGGGCAAGAGGTGGCCATGAGAACGCCAGCCAGATGCAATAGATCTAGAATCGAAGTTTTTTATCTCAACATGTCTATGATCACAAGAAAAGTCCTGCTAAATCTCATAGATATCAGATAGTTTCATCAGAGCCCCAATTAAATTTACGTTTACTTAAAATTTTGGTATTTTTGCTTTTAGTCAGAGTAGACAAGCTTCATCGAATTCGGAATCGGTGATAGTCCAAACTAAGAGCTCAGAACGGCCCTCCGTGTTTGGGTAGAGCCGTGCATGTGTTCACGCGTGCGTTATTCAAACATGATGAATGTCTTTTATGGCGTTGGGTACGGATCGTGACCTTCGATGGGAGTTGACTGTATTAAACGGAGATTGGATTTTTTTGTTACCTATTGTTTTGTAGACAAATTTTTCATAATGCATACCTCAAAAATCTATCCTCGGAGCCGTAAATATCGGATGCGCGAAATATGGTGGCTGTTGGAAACTCTTCTTTCACAGCACACTCACCCAGATACTTGCTGATTTTGTACATCGATGGCTTTTTCATAACTAAGGGTTTTGGATTTTCTTCAGCATTCAAATAGGACACATGAATGAATCTGTCCACACCCATCTCACGGCAAATTCTACATTGAAGTGAGATATTATTTTAATTTAAAATTTTTGATATTACAACAGGGAATTTGATTTTTTTTCGTTTTAACGTCAGTAACGAGTTTATTAGAATTCAAAATGATTTATAAGTACTAAAATATAATGGATAATATAAACTAAATATATTTTTAACTGTCGTAGGGCCATGCAACAGATTCTGCTATTGCAGGAATGAGCAGGCGCGTCCGGGGAACTACCACGCCCTCAGGAAAGGCCGGCCTGAAGTGGAATTATTAAACTTTCGAGTTTCATCTGGTGAATGAGGTAACCGGGGCTCACTTTTTTAAAGGTCGTCAACGCATCTGCAAGCCATCGTATGTCCTGGATGTCCATGTGCGGCGGTATTCACTTAACATCAGGTGAACCGCCTCTTTTGACAACTTTTCACATAAAAAAACTAAAATCGCATTTTCACGCTGTGTCGTTATCTTGCGATGCAAATGCAATGATTCAAGAACATAATCTAATTTTGTACTACAAGTTTCTAGGGCAAATAGCACACACATATTTACACTAAAATACATATTTTAGCCGCAACTGATACTCCGGTCTTGTCTAAAGCATATTTGTGATTTTAGTTGCTTGCTGTTATGGATAGTGTATTCCAAGTAATACAGTGCATTAATGCGAAAGGCTGCCCAGTCAACTTTATATAATACCAAAGTAGCTAAATCGTGTCGGTTAGCGATCAGGTGAGCGTACTCAATGAGATTCTCTGGAGCGATTCTGAGATACCCACAATAAATCTGTGATGAGATTGTGGTCACAAGGCTTCCTTCAACTGATATCCTCCAACTTATTCACTCCAATCTAAATATATGAATCATGTTTTCCCATATCCTCTTTATGCAAATGCATAGCTCTATTATTCAAGGCTTACATTGCCAATCGCTATCCAGTATGCCATTATCGAAAGATTGATCAGCCGTAATCACTTTTGTGCACATGTACGCGAGTTCGTTGTTCTCCAGCTTACCCAGGCACAGCTTTGTGCGCGGGTTTTTTCTCCTTTGAGAACGTCAGTTTGAAAAAAACATCATCATATCTTTTTCTCGATTACATTTCATTATAGTCTTATTATACATATTAAAACTTTTTTAAAGTCAGCGGCAGGTAGGAAATGTGGCTTTCTTTTGCATCTTCTCCATGGCGGTCGGTCTTCCCTTTTCAAGGAGATCCATCAAGTTTCGTAATGCCAGAAACTCATGTTGTGCTTAAAACAAAGCAAAGCTCTCATCCGAATCATCCGACACGGTTTTTAGCCATGGTCAAATGGAATTTTTGCTGGCCTACCATGGGGAAGTTTTTACATACCTTTTTTTTTGTCGTGGGAAAAATCCTTTATGGATCCCCTGCCACTGGATGAGAGAAGTGGCAGGGGTATGTGGGAGTCCCGTTAAAAACGGCTACCCACTAAAAAACCCACGTTGCACCTGTCTCTGTCGCATCACGTGAACGCAATCTTCCGCGACCCCGGCGCGACTATGGCCCGTTTAAGCCTCCTCTACTACATAGTGCTGTGCCCGTGCAATTGGCACAGCACACGTCACGAGCCCCATATTGAGCGAGTGTTTACATACCTGCGCTTTTTCCTAACGCCCTGAAGAGTTTCTACATAATTTGGCATGATAAATTTATCAGCGAGCTTCAAACATATGGCATATCTACAATTTTCTAAATTAGGTCTCTTAGAGGTGTTGTCAAACTCAGTTTTTCCAAAACTATAATAAATTAAGCGGGGGTTCCCACAGTAATCCTTTCATTCGACAACTCTCTTAATGTATATTGACTACCTAGACTGATTGACCCAATGCAAATTCTGCCAAAATCTGTGTGTCTTCTTAAAAGAAAGCTAGGTAATTTATTTAAATTTACTGTTTTAAACATATTTGTTACATAATCCAATTTATTGTAAACAAACCCTCAATTGATTATTAATCCTAATATTTTTTTACATGAAAGTTGTGAAGGGAGCAGGCAATTCACCTGATGTAAAGTGAATACAATGAACATATACAAAACCTGAGGGCTTTTAAGATGTGTTAACAACGTTTAAAACAGCAGGCACTGCTTACGTCACTCACCAGACGAAACGTGAAACCATAATACATTGACTTCACTTTGTCATTTCATAAGATAATTAAAAATAGATAGTATAATACTCCGGACCAGCTTGCGCATTTGTGCAACAGTTGAAGCTATTTAGCAGGGCTACTACAGTAAAAATAGCCATTACTTCTAACACTTACGTTTAAGAAAATATTTGCATTTGAGATAAAATAAGATTTACCTTGCAATGCGCCTTGGTCCTTCAACATGGACATCCATGTATTTAAAGTTCTTAGTTTCATAATCGCGTCCTATCAGGTTTATAACAACATTGGAGTAACGAACGGCCTTCGCAATGGATTCTTCATCTCTGATATCAAATGGGGTAAACAGAACTTGACCAAGATCACCACATACTTTAAGTCTATTGACATCATAGAAATCACTGCGGTATGGTAATATCATCTACAACATTCAAAGCTATGTTAAATATATATATTTTTAATATTGATTTAAAGTATTTTTTATCTTGACCCAAGTAGGGATAAAACAATAGGGATTAAACAATACCACTGAAGTATTATCAATAGTTTTACTTGATACAGTATTAGTATTAATGTTCTTATTCATATGGATAAATTTAATAAAAATATTAATTAATTTTAATTAATAAATATTGTCAATTAATATGAAAACAGACATAAAAATAAGACAATGTTAAAAATCTGTTTATGTAGTGCTTGTCAAAAATCGTAATTTGTCTTTTATGTAATGTTTGCCTTTTACATAATTACTGGGTGCAGAAAGATATGCGCCAGCTTCAGAAAACAGTCTTTGACAGGGTTCAGAGGTCCTAATAAGATTTAAAAATATTTGAACTTTGAAAACTTTTGGAAAGACAGGTGTTTAGTTAGGTAGTTATAAAATCAGTAGGATAAATCACACATGGTAGAAACCAAACAGGTGCTACTAAAACATGTATCATTTTACCAAGCAGTGTAGTCACTGGGTAGTTCAGAATTTAAATAAAACTATAAATAATACATATTCTCAAATACCTACTCTAAGATATATTTGAAATCAGTGAGGATGGGTGTAAAAGCTGTATTACTTTTGACCGCTCTTAACATTCACATGCATAAGCATTAAATGTATGTATTAATTAATAATAATAAAACTGAACTTACTTGTGTACCAATTTTGCCAAGCTTGTTGCAAACATACCTTCCCACAAACCCGGAGCAACCAAAGACAGTGGCAACTATTCCGTTAAAACTACTGCGACCACCCGTTCCTCGTTTGTACGCAGCAAGATTTGGTTTACCATCAGTACTATACGACGATGACTTTATATAAATAATGCTCAAGGCACCATTCTTGGCTACAATAAATATTTTAGTTTATCGGAACATATCGTGTTCAAAATATTTTTCGACACATTTTGTTGCCAATTATGTAAGACGTGTTTTCTAGGTATTCATTTGAAAAATCTAAAACGGTACCATACTTACTTATAATCTTATTGGCCAATTGACCTGATAAAGCTACTGTAGCCATTTTCAGGCCTTTAATTCGAAATTTATTTTTAGGCAATACAATATTCTGTAAATTCTAATTTATTAGACTAATAGCAGATATTGTATTATTTGACATATGAAAACAGATGTTGCAGATGTACGAATCTGTGAATGTCAATTTAAAGTTTGGTGTTGCTTTCAGTATATATGTCTTATCTATGGTGTTGCATGTTACAATTATTATTCTATCAAGTCATTTGCAACGATCGTCCGGACCGCTCACTGCTCAGGCAACGCAGCGGATTTTTTTGTATTGTAGTTTGCTGCTACCCTGGTGATTTCAACAGCTCTGTCGGAAGAGGTGAAGAGAGGTACAAGATATATGAGGTGACGTTGTGCACTCCGCTTCATTTCCGACTTCTGTTAACTAAAAATATAAATAATAAACATAAGATTTATGGCATGAAAATGTGCGGAATGTGATTAAATAAAAAGCAGAAATGTGCTCACTGTTAATTGTATTGATCAGAAGTATTTTTACATAATTTCACAATATTTTCACCCTTAAAACAATATTATTGTTAATAAAAACAAGTTGATGGTTGTCTTCGGAGCGGCGAGCGTCGAGGCAGAGGTAGCTCCCCGGTCGCCGACCAATCAGAGGCGAGTCGTTTGCAAGCGCGAGTCGCACGCTTTTGCGCGCTAAATTTAATATAGACGCGGCGGTTATTTTCATCCGCCACAGATGGACAATTCGTCTCACTAGGATAGTAAAATAAGCGGAAAAGCAAAGTAGTTGAGCACAAGTTTGACATTTGTTTAATTAAGAAAAATATGCTACATTCAACAATGCTACGTCCAATATTCAAAATGATTCGTTATAATTCATACCTTATTTGCTCGTGCATGAAGTGAGATAATAGTTGTAAGCTCAACACCATGTACGGAGCACAAACGTTTTTGTTTACAACTTTTCTTTTGGAAACTTTCTTGTTCTTGTATTTTATTAATCTAGTGTAATAAGCCTATATCTAAATTTAAAATCGATTTATTGAAAAATCGATTATCTATCACTTATCGATATTATTCACAATGTAGATTGTCAGTACGTTGGCGGTTGGCGACTTGAAATCCATTGTAAGAATAATCATTATAATCGCCCGCAGTCTGTAATTCCATCCTTATCAATTATAATAGATCAAGAATATAAAATCAGCAGCAACCAGGGGTCTTGCAAGTGCAGAGCAAGAGTCATTTCCACACATCCTTGTCCTCAATGTATTCTTGGACGTTATGGTAGGCCCTTGCCATTAAGGTAGCTTTTACAAATTGTTTAGGTTAAGGCTAAGCACCCTCACGTACCAGCTACGCTCTTCTCCCGTATCCACTGCTTTTTTGCCTGCGTGTGTTATAGTAAACTACTCTAAAAAACCGGCCAAGTGCGAGCCTGACTCACGTGCGAAGTGTTCCATACCATCTATAAAAACGGAAATAAAATAATATCTGTTGTGAGGGAGCCCCACTTAAATACTTCTTTTATTCCGTTATTTAGTATTTGTGGTTATAGCGGTAACAGAAATACATCATCTGTGAAAATTTCGACTCTCTAACTATTCACACGGTTCATGAGATAGACAGACAGACAGACTGCGAAGTATTAGTAATAGGTAGCGATGAGACGACTGCAAAAATTGCAAAATCAATGTTAATCAATAGCAACAAGAAGAAATAAAAAATATTACTAAAATAATGTCTACATAAATGTCTCGAATCGTTGTTTCTCTCTCATTCATTAGGCATCACGCTAGCTCGCTCGACTCGGCGTCGACTCCGAATCGTTGTTTCTTTCTTACTCTGACTCGTTCATTAAGCATCTCGTTAGCTTTTTCGACTCGGAGTTGACGTCAAATCGTTAGTAGTAGAAAATCGTAACGCGAACCCGAATCGTGAGGCAACTCAAACTCGAACCGATTCAGTTCGACTTATTAAAAAGTCAGATCGATTCGACGACTTCAAGCGTCACGTCGATTAAGTCGACTTACGCAAGTCGATGCGCCCATCGCTAGGGTTCTGTTTTACTCTTTGGGTATGGTACCCTAAAAGAACGACTAAAATGAACTGTTTGTTGTTTTATTACTAAACTGGTAGCCCTGATACTTGTCAATTCGCGACATTTATCTTATCCTTTAAACGAGCAATTCTTGTATATATATATATAATCGGAATCTCGGAAACGGCTCCAGCGATTTTCATGAAATATAGTATGTGCGTAGATTCGGGGGCGAAAAATCGATCTAGCTAGGTTTCATTTTTAGAAAATGTCCTTTTATCCCTGTTTTCAGGGAATGAAAAATATCATTCGAATATGACGGTAAATTTCGCCGCAAGAGAAAATGTCATAATAGCTCGGTCGGTAATCGGGCGGCCCCAAAACAGACGGCCGTGGTTCACGTCACGATCATTATTTACACATTTATTTTTTACTTTTTTTTCGATTCCAGATCATTGCTTTCTTTATTTTTAATTTTTTGTCCATTTGTTATTTTGTTATTTTTTTCCCTTTTTTTTTAAAGTTCTTTCTTTTGTGAAAAACATCAGTTCATATTTTCTTATTATTACGTCGGTAAGATCGAAAAATATTATGCAAATTTCATTACTCAGTAATTTGTATATAATGTAATTTCCAAAATACAAGATTTACCAAAAAAAAAGGTCCTCCGGGTACTTAGTATTAGTTGTCAAGTTGTCTGTTGTCAGTTTGACACATTCATTTGTATTTTTTTGATAAAAGATTAAATAGGGAGTATCGGTGAGTTATGTACATAAAGTGATCAAATTAATACCACTGTTGTAATATATTAAATACCGTACGGCATTATCAATAATTACTTACTTACGCATAAAATGAATGAGGAAGATATTAAAATTTTATCCGATGATGATAAATCAGAAGAATCTAAACATGAAATATTGGAATTATTTATAAAAAATGTGAGATTTATAAATAATTTTACTACAAAAATGTTACTCTTAACGAAACGGTCGGTTAACAAAATTACTGATTTCAGAATGAAAATGTTTTTACTTTTCCCGACTTATCTAATAACAATAAAAGAGCTATGTTATGGGCAGCATTATTCCAACAAATACAAAAAAAATCATCAGATACTCTACATGGTTTATGTTTGGCTGCGCTCAGAATATTAAGGTATGTCGTTAGAGAGTATGTTAATAGTTTGCTTTCAGAGTTTGATATTGTTGAGATTCTGGCTTTTGATCCAAAAACAAATTTTATTTAACTGGTGACCACACGTTAATCACAACAAATCCATTTTCCGGTTCCATTAATATTTAAGGCTGCTTTGTTTTTTTTTAATTGAAACTGTGTTTATAATTAAAAAAAAAAAAAATATTATATATTGCTTTTTAGCCGGGATAAATCTGAAGTTGATACTATAATTACTGAAAAGTGGATTATTATATTAATAGAAAAAGCTGGTCTTCATAATTTTCTGAAAATTGATGATGAGTGTATGCCAGCAGAAATAATACCAAAAAAAGAAGAGGCTGTTGAAGCATTGAAATGTTTATGTAATCTGGCATTAAATAGTGAGGTTGCAAGAGCCCTTTGTGCTCATACTGCAATTGCACAGGGCTTGGTGGCGAGACTGAGATCTTACAAAGAAATACCTTACAAGGATGATATAATGCTCTTTGATATGAAACTGCTCTTTATATTGACAGCTTTAAGGCAAGATATAACATCAAAGATAAAAACTGAATTACATGGAATGGACTATCTTATAAGCTGCTTGAATGAGATTGTTCTTGAGGCATCTATTGAATCTGACAGTGCAGGTGCTTGTATGAGTAGTGGTGCTTTAGGGGATCACCACTGTTTCCTTAAAGTTAGTAATTCAAACAAATATATATAATTAGTATTTTGGCATGTTATATAAATTTTAATATTTTAAATTATAGGATTATCAACAAGCCATTGTATGTGAAATATTGAAAATACAGTTCAATTTGACCCTACAATCAAATTCTGATGATCCAATTGATGAGGCAGAAGAAGCTGTCTTCTTAAAACTAATGCCTATACTTACTATGCTGCTTAGTGCACATTCTTCGTCTGAGCAGAAATTGATGGAGTTACGAAGCAATATAACTAATTTATTGTTAAGGTAGGATATAATTTTTACTCTGTTTATAATAATTATGTAGTGTCTAAGTTGTCATCTTATTTTTAGTGTGCCATCAAAATTCTATCCATATTTAACACCTGACTTAAATGAAGGAGAAAAATCACAATGCATCTATGATGGAAAAAATATGGATGCGTTGCAGTCTCTCATCCAGTTCCTTCTATATCGTTTGACAATTACTACAGTAAGTATACTTAACTCCTTAAGCTTTTTTTATTATTGTTGTATTTTGCATAATTTTACTACCTGATGTGCAATATGACAATGTTCAAGAGATTAAAAAAAAAGTTTACATTATGAATACTATTAATTGAAGGTTTTGTATAACAGTTGCTACATGTAAATCAACTAATTTATATGTATATATACAAATACTTCATAAATTGTTAATAAGACTCATTCATTTTTCTTGCATAAACTTACAATTATAATGACTTCGTTTAGGCCTGTGGTGTTCATTACTTACCGAAATCTGATTTCCAGAAACTATTCTCTGTTTCAAATATTTACAGCTAATTCACAATGAAGTTAAAAGTACTTTAAAGTTTCCTTTTTTTAATCTTTTGTTCATATGGTCGACCACCGTATCTACACATATATTTTTTTCAAAAACATATTTGATAATGGCATCTTTTTCTAGAGCTCAAAGAATCAGTACGAGAATCTGTCCCCTATACTGACGGTGCTGAATAAGAGTGCTCGTGGGTGCCGAGCCCATCGTAAATACCTCCGCCAAGAAGTGCTGCCGCCCTTACGCGACGTCTCTCGACCACCCGAGAAGGGCTCCACCCTCCGCAACCAGTTGTGCAGATTGCTCACAACTCCCGTCACTTCGATCAGAGATCTAGTTGCCGAGTTCCTGTTCATTTTGTGCAAAGAGAAGGGTGAGGTCCTTATTTACGTACCCATTCAAATTATCAACGGTAGCCTTCGAGATCAGTGATGGTCTACTGGCTGACGTTGGATGTGATTTGATTTGATCTTTAGCTCGAATTCCGATTCAGGTCCTAGAAGGAACGAATTACGCGCACGAATCAGTTTTTCTTTTTTTTTCAAACCACTCCCGCATTTGTTTCTGGCGAACGGTTTCTGGTACACTTAGTACACAAGTATACTCAAGTACACAAGTACCCTCACGTAAACTCAAGTACACAAATACCCTCAAGTAAACTCAAGTACACAAATACCCTCAAGTTCACAAGTACACTCAAGTAATAAACGAAACACCTCACAGTCGGGCGCATGGTGAAATACACGGGCTTTGGCAACGCGGCTGGCCACCTTGCCCAGAAGGGACTCCTGGCCGGCGGCCGCGGCCACGTGGTGTACTCCTCCAGCAGCGAGGACTCCGACACGGAGGAGTACTTGGAGGCCCAGCCGAACATAGACCCGGTAGTGGGATGCACCAGGCCGCCCCGCATCAACCCGTTCGAGGGCATGACCGAGGAACAGGTTTGGGATACATTGTTTATGTATTCTCATCTATCGCCTTCGCTTTGCTTTATAACTTCTGTGCTGTAACTTTCTAGTCAATTTACTCGTTTATTAGTGTGTATCTCTAATAATTGTGACGATATACCTAATGTGTTTCTATTACTATGTTTAACTTAATAATCCAGTGGGGCCCTCTGCTTATTTACCGTGGTGATAACGCCAGATTCCTTTTCTTTGTTCTTTTCATTGTAGATGTGTAGTTGTTTGTTAGTTTTCGCTATTTGTTCTGTAGTATAAAATTTATTGGATTACATTTGTTTTGTGGACATGTCAAGCCTTATAGCTGGATACGGTTTGCGATCTTTGTGAAGCAATTTTTGGATATGTTATGTGTGAAAACTATCGTCGCGGTCTTGACTTGGTTCCAGTGTCTATATCATAACGTTTAAGAGACGCGAGAATTTTGGTCTTCCATAGAAGTATTTTTGTATAAAGGTTATAGTTTGCTTTTTTATTTAATTTAAGTTAAGTTAAAAGGTAATCTGCGTTATAGTGACGCAAGTATGTATATGATTTTAGCATTTTGGGATATCATCGATTAAAATTAATTTTGATAAAAAAATATGTTGATTTCGTAGATATATTTTTTGTTATCTTCAATCTATACGATTAAATGATATAATATCAGGCGAATCTAAATAAAAAAAAAAATTCTTATTTTTCGTTTTGCACTAAAGTTACACTCACATTGACGTGGTTAGTTTTGAGGCTTGGTCAGTAATTAGATATAGATTAGTTACCAACCGCAAAACTTAATACGATTACAACATATCGTATTGTAATTCTACTTGTAACCTTTCGTTGGTTAGCGTATTACCACACATCGGACATCTTTAAAGAAGATATTAAAATGCGTAAACAAGGCATAGCCAAGACATAGCTAAGACTAGCCAAGGTATTTGTTTTTTGTTTTCCTGTATTTGGTTGTGGGTTCGATTCCCACACGAGACAACTTTTTGTAGGACCCACATATAATTATATCGTATCTGGGTGTTTAAACTGTATATTGTAGGGTTAAACGTCCTCACAATACAGATAATGTTATACAAGTAAGGGGGTAATGTTTTCCGAAGGGAAGACTACAATAGAAATGTATTTCTAGGTCGATATTATAGTGGTCGTTGGGATTTAGTACCCAACCCCTTCCACACAAAATACAAAACAAGACATTTTTAATGGCCCCATCTTCATGTTTACGATTTTTCACCATATTTCAGTACCTCGTTTTCATAAAATATACATGCATACTATTATGCATGTATATTTTAGTAGCAACAGCTCTTATCATAATTTCAATCGCAACGAGTTATCACATAAATATTATTGTTCAATAGTGTTGTCGGTTCGCCATCCATACTAATATTATAAATGCGAAAGTAACTCTGTCTGTCTGTCTCGCTTTCACGCCAAAACTACTGAACCGATTTAAATGAAATTTGGTACGCAGATAGTCTAGAGCCTGAAAAAGGACATAAGCTATTTATATTGGATTTTTTTTAAAGAAAGATATGTATTTAAGGGCTTCAACTTTTTTTATTTTTTTTTGTAGAAACAAACAAAAAGGCCTTATTGTTAGGAGAAATATTGATTATGCCTTTATTTCACAGAAAGAATACGAGGCGATGAAGTTGGTCAATCTGTTCGACAAAATGGTGTCAAAAGGCGTGGTGAAACCAGCCAGGGTGGGGCCCGACGGCCGGCCGCAGCCAGTAGAGCACGTGCTGGAGATGCGAGAGCATCCGCCCAACAGGCCACAATCCTAGATTAATTATTTTTAATTTGTATGTGCTAATTGCTCTAACGATTACAGAGTGTATATTGTTTGCAATAAGGGGCGTTCTTTATAGGTATATTTATATATATTTAAATTGAAAAAAAAAATACATGTTGTCGATGGTTCGTCAAAGTTTCAGGGTGATAGGCCGTTATTATCTACACGTATCGTATACACATTTACGATTTTATTTAAACACTGTGTTATTCGTATACATTTTCAAATAATAAAAACATAACTATTTTTCAGATGAAATAGAATGACTAAATTCTTTATTACTGTTTTCGTTAGCATAATTTTCTTGTTTTATGTGTTCATGTGAATTTTACATTTATATGTATTAGATAGATTATCTTATTTACTGTAATCCGTTCTTTTAATAAAGTGATATATTTTTAAGTAATTGTAATGTTTTACAAATATTTAATACATGTGCGTTTATTATTATAATTCAGTGTATTTAAATTTGCTATTGCTGTATATGCGTGACGATCTGCTAAATGATTGATCGTGTAAAAGAGATTAAGTGATTTACAGCACACGTTTAGTGCTGTATCCTAATTAAATGAACCTATGTTTATGGATTTTTTTACGTTTTTTTTTAAATTAAATTCCGTAAATATCAACATAGTGGACTTAAATTTATGTATTTTAAATATTGACAGTACACCGGACGCATTAGTTAGAAATTGTTTATAACAAATTATGTGCAACGACGGCGGTTTAAAATTTACGCGACAGTTCATGTGACATTTAAAAAAAAAACTAGTTATTAACATTTAATGATGTATAGGTTTAAATTAAATTAAAAATATTAACTACTCATCTAGGAATTGTTGTGAACGCTAACATTTTACTGAATGTCAAATGGAAAAGAATATCGCTTTTAGTCGCACAGTAATTCTCAATATTGTCGCGCATACATATAACATGATCAGTTAATTCTAATCCGTCATCTCGTTTGGAAGGACTATCGTGCAATAAAATAGTAATAAAAGTAAGGTGAATACAAGCAGAACTTAGTAAGATTAATGAAACGATGTTTTTACGATATTGTATGTAGTATTATTAAGTTTTCAAATTAATCGGTAAATGTAGTGGGTTTAAACGTTACCAAGCAGCCTCGTTGTTCTGAAAGAGCTTCTTAGAGAAAATACTTTTTGGTTGCAACGTTTTGCTTTTTTAAGTTCATTAAAAAAAGAGGTTTTCTATTCGTCTGAATATTTCGTATGAATGTGCGAAGATAATTTAACTGATTGTCCAAATTGAACTATTCTTTTTTGTTAGGATAGAGGTATGTTGTGATTGTAATGATGAAATGAATAAGATAATCTTGGTCAGTTTTTTATAACAGAAGGCTCGACTGTGTTAGATTCTTGTAGTTTCAATTGTTGGTTTTTTTGCAGTCGGTTTTTTAATCGAGTGATCGAATGATGTCTACTTTGTTTCACCTCAACGCTAAACGTTTTGCTTGGGAGAGTAAGGTACAGTAGAATCCCTGTTATCCGAATAAAGTAAAACCTTGGGTATTTCGTAATCGAAAATCCATATAATCGATTTCAAATTTTTAAATTTTAATAACTTTTTTATTATAGAAAGGGTTTTACATATTTCATTTAGACAATACGATGTCAAAAAATCGAGTAACCCATGTAATTTAACACCAATTAGAAGCAGGAATACCTACACGTCGGAAGCGGAAGTTGTAGTCTCATGCGCCGTTACAACTTCCGCTTCCGATGGGACTTCCAAATCATTTCTAAGTCGGTTATTATAAAGTGGAGAAAAGTGTGAAAAATACGGATAATCGGATATCCAGATAATCGATATTCGGATAATCGGGATTATGCCGTATAAAGAAAAAAATATTTATATCTGTGTATTACGTTAAACGTAAGAATTGTAAAAATATTTAAGGTTTTAAAACTTTTTAAAGCAAATATCTTTGTGTGTTCAAAGTGGATAATGATAACGTATATATAATGAAATAAGCTACCTGTCGTTTGACACGTAGTTTGGTTAAACTTGGCTAGAGTTAGTTATCTCAGACTATCTAGTTATTAAAAGTACTTTAGAACTTTCAACATGTTAAGTATAATTTGGTTGAGTAGCTTTAAATGAAACAAATACATCACCAAAGAATTTCGCATCCATAAGGACGTATGTTTCTGAAAAGAATGACAAATGTTGAGAGATTTAATTTTTGTACATTGCTAACAAGTTTATTAAGTATACTGCCATGCTCACTTTACGGTTATAGTTTTTTTTAACGAAGAAGTAAAATAACTTAAGATATCTTAGAAGCTAAATTATAATTATTGTATTTTTAGTTTATATTTATTAAGTTTTTCTCTATGTGATTGCATTAAGCGAAGTTAATATTAAAAAACGGCTTAAATATTTTTAATGTGTTCGAAAATTTTTTAGACGTACACCTTTTTAAATTACGTAGATGAAATTTTCTGAGTTTATCTCATGAATGTATTGAATGCAATGCATAATGTTAGTTTTATGCCTAAATATTGTAATAACTTATTATATATTTACATATAGTAGAAATCTTGAGAACTTGAAAGGGGTTGCGTCTTTTAATGTGACTATTTTTTCCTAATCTTTTTACTCTATTTTCTTGTAATTTAAATGTCTTTTCGAATAAAGTATTAGAACAAAAACATTTGTGTATTAATTATAAAGGGTACCTCGATACTTTTTTGTTTTCACCATTTCCTTTGTACTTTAGTAATGTTTAGTTTCCACGTGGGTAAGGTTTATTTTAACTTCCTTACCTTTTGATTCAATGTTTTGTAACCTTTATTTCAATATTTATTATTTTTCTTCATTGTTTTTTACTATTATTATATACAGATAAGTTATTGTAATTCTATATGTATTTAATATAATTAAAAAATAAAACAAAATGCCATAGTAATTTAAAATTAAACACAATAAGTAGCGCAAAATAGATAGTGCAGTGCACTTATAGAAACAACAAAAAAGTTGTAACGGCAAATTTTTTGTAGTTTGCTGACCACACAGTTAAATTATTAAATTGCATCCTTTTAAATTGAATCGTCAAATAGAATCAGAAATTAGTAGCAAATAAGGATTTATTTTAATAATCTCATCTCTCAAAAATATTTTATTCCATTGTATTTTCACATAGTGACATCGTTAGCACTATATTCTTTCTTACATTGACCGAATTCTCCCATACGCGTATAGCCAAGCTCGAGAGTCGCCATTAAGGCTTAAGTTTTAATTACGATAGGGCTAATGAACCAATTGTAACGGCATGTCTACAGACATTGCGGCACGAAAAGCCTTAAGTCTCATTTCACTGACACAGTTGTATCCGCGAAGGCGCCTTGGGCGGGCGGATTGGGCGCATAAATTTTCGCTGAATTAACATAGAATAATTGATTTTATTAGTTAGTTCTCCGCATTTCTTCGACGGTTGATGAAAAAATATTATGTTGTGTTAGGAAATAGCGACAACAACCAAATAATAGGTGAGTGACCTTTTTTTTCTGTAATCTACAACGTAGCGAATGCATCCTTCTGTGAATCCTTTGTTGTAGAATTATTACCATTGTTCGTATGGATTATAGATATATTAGAAGAAAACGGTAAACGTATTGATCTAATATATGTAAATATAACAAAGGAATTTTAATCGGACCGGCGCCGATAGACTATTATTTTTCAATATAAGAAATGATTGTTCACACTTTTATATATTTGATACCAATTAATATTATGAAAACGATTGAAATTACAATTGTAATCACATTATTAGTAGTGTATGTTAAACATAAATTCATATACATTATATTATTGTGCTCGACTTTATAATCAATTTCTTTCATAAACTTGTAGCAAACATAATGATTTAGGTAAATTTGAAAATCTTTTCATTCCAGTTTCTTTGTTTATATGTTAATCAAGGTCAAAGAATATGATGTTGCTGGTAGCGCTCCTTTTGCTTGGGGGTGCGTATTGCACTCCAGCACCCCCCACAATGAAATGCGAAAGGGCACCTCCTCACGCTCAACCAGCTGACAGGCACTACCGATTGAGTATCGCCGGGGATCCAGATCTATATCTTCCTGGAGAACTATACACAGGTAATCGACACTATTACCACTTTGTAAACAATATATCATACTGTTAGTATGCGATTGTGTGTACGTTTTTCTTTATGCATCGACGGTTGAATGGATTCGAATAAAATTTCGAACGTTAATTATTTGTTAAACATATGTATGATTCCCTATAGGCCGCATAATTAATTGTTTTAGAGCAGCTAGAGTGTATGATTTGATGGCTCCATGTGTGGTAAGAGAACAATTTTAAATTTGTATCTATCTAAATTAAACTTCATGATTGAAAAAAGGTAGAATTCGATTTAAAATTTATTGCGAGTATTAGGGCAGGCTATTTAAGAAATCGAATATTTTCAGTTTCCTTACAAGGCGTCAATAGTGGGGAAGGAGCTACACCATTTACAGGATTTACGATATGGGCAGAGGTCTATGATCAACAGGAGGACATCGATGATAAGGAAAACAAAGATTCCTCTAAGCCGCGAAATCAGTCTTTGGGTGTGTTTCAAGCATACGACACCCAGACGAAACTTAGAGACGATTGTAAACCCGCAGTAGCTAACGCTACTGCCCACCCTAAGACTGATGTACAGGTTTGTTCATGTCTCATTTAATTGACTGCCTTCAAAGTAACAAATTTTGTTTGATAAATGCCATAGAATTATTCCTTAACTTAAAACTACAGAAATTACAAGGCCGAAATTTATAGCGTGGTAATTTCATCGTCGCATGATTTCTGCATATCGTCGTGGTAAAGTTATGATCGTTTAAAAAATTTGAAAACAAATTCTATAAATGAAAAAAAAAATTTTTCATACAAAGCGCAAAGGGCTATAGCGGCGCAGCTTAGTCTCGTTTAGTACTGTAAGAAATTTGTGGTACTAATTTTATGCAACAACAGTAACATTAATTTTAACCCCTGGAGAAAAAGGTCAAATACTTAGGAGGCACTTTCGAGTCGCGTATATCATTTACTACGCACAACGTTTGTAATGGAGTCGCGTTCGTCTCCGGACAGCTACACAATTTAACTAACGCTAAAAGTAAAATGCCCTTAAAGCACAAATTATTATTATATAAGACCTGCGTACGATCTATTATGTCCTACGCATTCATGACCTTCGCCCACACGCACCCTACTCGCTTGTACAAGTTGCAAATAGTACAAAATAAGTTAATCCGCCGCGCAATGATTCCCGATGATTCGCGAATATTTTAAGGACCTGACCAAAAGGTTCTTCGATAGAGCCGAACATCATCCCAATCCTCTGGTGGTAAGCGCAGCAAATTACCAACCCGATACAAACGCAAACGTCAACAAGCGTCGCCCGCAAAACGTCCTCATCGACCCGGTCGAGGAAGGGTACTTAGATACGTCGGGCCCACCGTCGGGGGTACCGCCGGATAACACTTCACCCACAGCTAGTGTGACAACAAACACAATAGTTCGCCCTCGCCTCCGAGCACGGCGAGACCAACACAACGCGTACTCCAGGTACACTCGCGTTCCAGGGCGGTTCTCACCGCCCCTAGCCACCAATTAGTTAAAAACACAGTCGACGGCCATCGGGGTCTCGGTCCGAACCGCAACCTCGATGGCCCTTAGATTACATACCTTAGGTAAACGTACGTATGAGCACATGCGCGGCCCTACCCACAGCGGAGCTAGCCGGTGGGCTCTGCGTCAGATGAAGCTTTAATAGTCTCGGTACTGAAAGCAAGAACATCAGTTAATACAAGATTAATTTTAATCAACAAGAGCGGTATCACCACCGTTTCTTCGTCCCAATCCATCGACTTACATAATTATTTGAAATATAGACATCACTATCATACCAACGCGCTGCACTCTGATGCGTTTCAATTTAGAGACATAGCAAGTGAGGTATATAGAAAGTGGCATAGAAAAAGTGCGGCAGCGGTCCAACACGAAACGTCTTGTAAAATTTTAAAAGCCTTAATCCGTCGGTCCGGCCCCTCATAGAATTTTTGATTAAAGAAATAAGAATGTTCGAGCAATTAATCTATGATTATTTATTCATTTAGCAGTTTCTTAAGGAACATTAAAATATATTGTAATTAAACACCGCTATATGACACAAGTGCATTGGCGGACTAAGCCCTTCTGAGCTTAAGAAGTTGGTCTAATTTTACAAGCATTTTTCTTTAAAATTTCTTTTCACATACGTATAAGCATTTATGTTTATTTAATTAAAATTTCACAATTGAAATTTATATTGGACTTCGATAAACATACATAAAAGAAATTGATTTTACTGAAGTTATTGAAGAGTTCAGTAAAGTGAAGGCACGAAAACACTAATAGCTACATACTTATTGGTTGCAGTAAGGTAGCTTTTTAAATCAAGTTTTTCATGTAATGCATGATGCTAAAGTTTTAAATTTATCATTAATTTACTACATCTCGCTAGAAAGTAATATTATCTACTATTGATTTCATGTCATTATTGCACAAACGTGACAAACCTCGTGTATGACATTGTTATATCGTGTTGTTAAATTATGATTTTTTTCCGGAAAGTAGTACCTAAGAGAAGTCCATTTTATTTCCCTGTAGCCCGGAGCCCCCATAGCATTGATACGGCTGAAACGGCGATAGCTACGCTCCTGATTAGCAATAGTTGTAATTTTATTCATAAATTATAAATAACCAGTTCAGACAGTATATGTATAAATAATATTTGTATGGGCCAACTCCAACTCCAACCTCTTAGATAGGCACAAAACATAATTTTAAAGCCCTGTTCAGGATTTTTTCAAGGGAACTTAAGACGTTTGGGTGCCCCTCAGGACCAGGGGCCCGGGGCGGGCCGCCCCTTCCGCCCCCCGGTTAGTCCGCCACTGCACAAGTGTGTGTCAACTTACCGTTTGCTATTAAACAAATAAATAAACAAAAAAAGAACCTTTGTTTTATGGTATTTGTATGGTAGTTTTTTTTACATTGTGAAACAAATATATGGCTAAAAGGTTATATGGAGCGCGCCATCGGTTACGCTAGATGGATGCATACGAATTTGTGCACGCGCCAGACATGCTAAGGCAAAAGAGGATGCTGAGGAGGAAAGTGTTTGGTCGGTCCTTGCTCGGAAGCTGTGCCCAGCGCCTGTGACTGCCGTTGGGGGTAACCGCCAGTCGCCTATAGTAGAACCATGCTGCGCCTGCGATGAAGCTAAATACGAGGTATGTATTTAGAAATTTTGCGAAGGTATTAGTTTATTAAAAAAGTTTTTAAAAAATGTTCTGACCGATGACAATATAAAAAACATAAAACAGCTTAAAAACGGAAAGAAAACTTAAAATATATAACTTGAATATAGCGGTGCAGTAAAATGTTAATCAAATTTATAATAAGTTCAGATTGATCACATCCTTATGGATTTGCAAGTGGTATTGCATCATAATAATTGCAGTATATCTGATTTTAATTATTGTAGTAAATAAGTCATCAGTAGTGATTCAAAGCGTAAAAAACTATTATCCTATTTATCATCAAGTTTTATTTTCGTAATACATGAACAAACTTCCAAAAATAAAATGACTAAAAATCTCGTTACTTGCGCTAAAGCCAGGACTCAAAAGGGTTCATTTGAGTTTTAGCTTTAGGGCTTTATTAGCCTGAACGGTCTGCAGGTAACCTTTGAGGGTCTTTGGTCTCGGAACATCCATCCTCGTGACTTTCCACCTGAGGACAGCCCGGGCTCATTTTGGTGACGTCATTGGCGCCACCCACACAGCGCAGTACAGGGTGTGGCAAGAGGGCAGGGTTGCAAGCGAGGGCCTCAGGCGGCTTGCTGACAATGGGACCACCACCGCCCTCGAAAAGGAACTTAAAGAAGAGGTGCCTAATATTTTACTTTCGAAGAATGACGAGTCTTCTTAATCTTTTTTGTCAATGTATTCGTTTGATGTTGAAAAATTTATTTTTGCTTCGCTTTTCTAATCTATGCCGATATGCGTCCCTTTTTTTGGTATTGGGGGGAATTCTTCGTAAGATACCCTGTCATTTTTACTATTATGTGGGGTTCTTACCCACTAAAACTCTCTCGGTGGCCACCTTCTGTACGTTTGGGTACGTCTAGACTCCGGGATCTTTTACGGAACGCACCGGTGTCCCTCGGTACTCGGCGTGAGCACGCCTCGGAGAAGGATAAACCTTCCCCGACTGCCTCGTCATCTTGCAGCAGCTCGGAGCCACTTCGTGCTGCTGCCAATCTGTGTCCCCTCTTAGTCGCCTTTTACGACAGGCCATAACCTTAGTCCTATCCTAGAGCCCGGGACTACAGGGCTGACGGGGCAGCACGTCAGCCTCTGCCGGCCTGGCGCCGCCTTCTCCGAGCGTGATGATATGCGTCCTAGGAAGATCGTAGAGGTTTTAGTCGGTGCGAATTCGACATAACCTAGCCTTACATATGTATGCGTAGGCATTTCACCACGTTAACAAAACAAAAAGTGATAACTGCTGCCCATAGATCCGGGAATAAAGTGGGCCTACTTCATTCCCCGGACGACCATGTCCCACCGTGCAACAGGAAAAATGCTGGATGACCTGGACAAGGTAGATAATTCTTCATTTTAATATAATGTATTTGTAAAGTTTAGGTCTTTGTCCACAGAGTGAACACATTCGCACAATAATCAAGGCTCGCGGCATATCGTGGAAACAAGTATCCAGTGGTGGTATTCCCAGCACTTTAGCGGTTTTTCGTGTAGACGCAAAACACCATCTGATGTCGTTGGCCGCCAAGTTGGCGCCATCACCGGACTGGATCGTAGGGGTGTCAGCACTGGAGCTCTGTAATGCGAACTGTACGTGGACCAGGTCGGCCACGCTTCCGCTGTACCCATACGACGCTGGGACCGACAGCGGAATAACTTATACGGTACTATTTATTTGTAGTTTTTGTGCAAGTTTTGGCGTATGGACCTGACAGGACTCTCTATTCTATAAAATGTACGACAAACATTTTAGTTATTGCATTTGTCCCTAAGAGATATGATAGGTGTAGTTGGTCAGGTGCTTTGATGCACCTTAATATTATTAGTTTTATTTTATCATTGTCAGAAATAATTTGATCCATCGTAAAGCCATTAGAGCTCAGTGTAAGGCAGCTCACTTTTAATTTAATGAGCACGAAATGGTTGATTGTAATTTTGAGTGCTAACTAAACACGTGCTCAACGATGAATGAAAACATCGTGAGGAATCCTACATATTTTCAAAATTATAAAAAATATTAACTTTGATGATGTGTGAGGGTCCTGTCATGGTTAAGGCTAACTACACTCTAAACAAGGCCTTTTCCCAGCAGTGCGAGATGTATATATAGGCTGTTACTGTACTTTACAATTGTTAGAATTATATTCATATCCTCACGATTTGCCTTTAGCGTTTGAAAACATATTGGTGAAACTAAATTTGTAGAAAACATGAAAATTTGTAGAAAATGTACGAAAAGATCGTCGCTGCTGTGGGAATCGAACCCACGTCTTCGGCATCGCGGTCTAACGTTTTAGCCACTAAGCTAAACGGCTGATTGCCACACCGACGAAAATCTTAACGTCTTTTATCTAAATTGTTTTTTAAGCATGGCAAAAGTTATTTACCATCCATCACACATCTAATAAAATGATGTGCTGGGTGGTGTTTATAGTTTATCTGATTCCTATTCCGCCGGAATAGTCTCAGCGGAAGCCGACGTCGCCGCCAGCTCCGGTGCGGGCTCTGCGGCCAGACTGGCCCCGGGACCCTCGCTCCCCTTTCTACAACGTCGCCGGCGAGATGAGACCATTCGCGCGCCTGAGGCTCTCACGGCTGCGCCTTTACGAGAAGAGTTGCGAGCCGTCAGGTCAGAAACTTCTGGAAGGAAGCAACCGATATTTACATAGTATAAAACAAAGTCACCCCCGCTGTTTGTATGCTTTGAGCTATTAAATTACGCAACGGATTTCGATGCCGTTTTCATCAATATTAGCAATCAGTGATTCCAGAGGAAGGTTTATATGTAGTCTTTGAGCTTTTAAATTAAGCCACGGATGTTAATGTAGTTTTCACCAATAGATAGAGTGATTCAAGAGGATGATTTATAAGTAGTATACGTGCATAACATTGTAGAAAGTCTAGAAATTAATAGACTAGCCAAGAAATTTAACATTTGTAAAGTGATGACGTAACAAACATATTTTTGTGCGCTAACATTCCAAACGCTGGCTAAACCTGAACCAAGATGAATATATGGTAAAAAATTACATTAAAAATGACAATTGCTACCCGTGCGAATCCGGGGCGGGTAGCTAGTATGTTATTAAATTTATATTTTTCGTTAATTTTCGTACTGAAATATTTTGTATTGTTGTTATTTGTAAATGTTTCATATTGTGCTAGGGCAACGCAGCTGCATTTGCTATTGCATGAATGGTAGGCTCGTCTGAGGCAGTACCACGACTTCGCAGAAGACCGGTGTTAAGTGGATGGATTGCATTTCGACTTTTCGTCCCGGGACTGTGGTAAACAGACACACGTTTTTTTTAATTCAACCGCAACTTTACAAGGCAAAGCATCTGCAATCTCAAGGATGTTGCAAATGCCCATGAGATTGCTTGCCATATTCTCATAAAAAAAAAATTCTGGCATAGTCTACCGGAAGCAAAGTATTTATTTGTTCTGGCATGTACGAAAAATTAAGCTTTCCTAAAGTATTCTGCCACGCAATAATTTTGCTGTTGTACGAATGGGAAGGACCATCCGGGTAAGTACAACGACCTCACAGAAGACAAGCGTGAAGTGGAAGTGTTAAACTTTTGCGTTTCGTCCGGAGTGAGGTTGCCGGGGACCCGCTTCAATAAAAGGTGGCAACACATCTGTAACCGTACAAGTGCAAACGCCCGTGGGCGGTGGTTGTCACTTAACATCAGGTGAACCGTCGGCTCGCTTGCCATCTTCTTACATAAAAAAAAAATATTGTTTCGAAACGTTCGCATAGAGCCTATTGGCGAGCCGGTACCAGAAGCCGCCGGCGGATCGTGTGCGACGCAGGCGTGGGGCTTGTGGGGGCCGTGCAGCGTCACCTGCGGGCCAGGGCGGGCCACGAGGCAGCGGCACTTCGTGTGGCCGGCCCGCGCTCTCACCGACGGCTGTCGCGCCGTACTCACCGAACACCGCCCTTGCCGTGGGGTCAGGGCTCATTGCAGGTACAGCATTTCTCGGATTCAACTTGCTTTTTGCCAGCGTTCCTTGTTTTGAGCTAGTCTAAATGACTTTAGGCCTACAGTCGTATTGCCATGGTCTCCGGCCTCATTGTGGGTATAGCATTTCTCGGATTCAATGCGCTTTTTGCCAGCGCCGCTTGCTTTGGGCTAGCCCATATTAGGACATCAGGATTTCAAAGTCAATACTTGTTTTGAATAAATACTTCAGGTCCTCGCTCAACACAACTTCCTTCTTTAAGCGTAGATAACTGATAAATATGCTTTTTGTTATGTAAATAAATACATATCATAAATGTATGTGTAAACATCCAGACGTAGTCCGACACTAGCCCAAAGCTGTGACTGTTTTTTGCTCGGATAAAATCCGCATATTTAAAACCGATCTCATCTATTTATGTTTATGATGTTCAAAGCTTCATCATATCAATACCCGTGGATGAGATCAATTCCATTCTAACGATCACAGAGAATTGACTGCTGTTAATTCCCCGACAACAATCGGTTCCTCCTTCAGATCCTTTCATTCTAAGCGTATTCATGTAGCGCCTGTCAAGTGTAGTGAAGGCCCCGATCAAATCACGTTGTGAGTGCACCTTTGACAAGTGGTAAAGACGCGGGAACTGTTGGTTGTGCCCCAACACGCCGCGTAATCATATAGCGCCTGTCAATAGTGAAGAGGCCTCGATCGAATCAGATTACCAGCGCGCTTGACAAGTGATAAAGTCGCGGGGCCTAATGTATGGTGAAGGCGTCGATCGAATCAGGTTGTCAGTGCCCCTGACAAGTGGTAAGTCAAATCAAATCAAATTTTATTCATCGAAATAAGAAATGTACATTTCACTTATCGATAGTCATTTTTCTAAATCTATCACCGTTTCGTAATGAGGTTCCTTTAACGGAGAAGAAACAGGCGATAGAAACTCCTTAGGTATCATCTTCTTTTTCTCAAACAATTACATTGTTATACAGTACATAATTCTTTTTTAGAAACAGCTTATGAGCGATCATCTCCTTCCCAGGGGATGTTATCGTTAATGTATTCATTTATATTATAATAACCCTTTTTTAAAATATTTTCTTTAATAAATATCTTAAACCTGATAATAGATAGGCTTTGCACATTAACTGGGATTTTGTTGTAGAAACGTCTACACCGTCCCATGAACGATTTCCTGACTCTATGGAGTCTGGTAACTGGTGAAACAAGCTTGCTTTTGTTCCTAGTAGTAAGGACGCGGGGCTTGATGTACTGGTGGTGTCTTAGGGCGCCATCGGAGTACGAGCCGGAGTCGGCGGAGAGGTCGGGGCCGTGCGCGGTGTCCGAATGGGGCCAGTGGTCGCCGTGCGAGGGATGCGGCGTGCGCGCGCGGACCCGCCACTACTTGGCGCCGAGGGCCCGGAAGCGGTGCCACGTCGGCTACCGCGCGAGGACCGTGATGAGTCAGGCCATCCCTTGTGATGCCGGACCTTGTGCCAAGTCAGTCAGAACTCATTATCTCCTTTTTTCTAGGCTCAATCGTCATCATCATCATTTCTGCCTGTTTGAGTCCACTGCTGAACATAGGCCTCCCCCACAGACTGCCACGAAGCGCGATCCTGAGCCACCTGCATCCAACTGAAGGCGTAACATTCAGACAGAAAGACAGATATACATAAAATATGTATATAAATTATAGCCTATGTGCTATACTGATGTATAAGCTATATTATTGTAAAGTTACATTAAAATCCATTCGGTAGCATTTGCTTGAAAGAGTAACAAACATCCATCCATACATACAAACTTTCGCCTTTATAATATTAGTAAGGATTCATTATTCAATATCAGTTGTAGTGTACAATAAATTATATTTCATTCATTCATTCAACGCTGTCCGCGATTCCCAAACGAGACAACAATTTGTGTAAAGTAAAGTAAAGTAAAGTATCAGCCTATACAAGTCCCACTGCTGGGCAAAAGCCACCTCTGTACAGAGGGCATAGTCCACCACGTGGCCCCACTACGGATTGGCGTACTTCACATATCTTTGAAATATTTTTTTATTGTTATTTCGAAAATATGCAGGTTTCCTCGCGATGTTTTCCTTGACCGCTTAGCAAGTGATATTCCAGCACTTAAAATTAACAATTTCATTGGATACTGAGCTATTGCGGCTCCAGTCACACAAATTGAGAGAAAAATCTCTCAATTTGTGTGACTCGCAGATAATTGTTTCGGATCTGCGTGTTTGTCCAAGTGAAATTTATGAAACGTCCTTACAACACAGGATAATGTCATCCTACAGAAACGACAATGTTTTTTTAAATAACAAAGAAATACATTTTCTGTACGTAAATTTATTGTGCCCCTTTGTTGTGTATAGTTAGTTGTAGTTGTTTTTTTGTACAATATCTATTGTTTTGTTTAAATTATTTTATTACTTGTGTTTGCACAGACCACCCGAATATCTGATAAATGCAACCGACTTCGACTGGTTTTTTGTGGTGAGTTCTTATTTTTTCGAAATTATAAAAAAAATGTTTAGAACATATTAGAACTTTAACGTGAATTAAAGCTATTGAGAGATTTAGAGAAGATCTAAAGTATTCTATAAAAAAACATGTTTCCATGTACTTATGTATGTAGCACCTAAGATGTTACACTGCTTTAGCGTAGCAAAAGAATATGAACTAAAATTTGTTTCCGTGCCCGTTGACAAAAATGCAGTTGATAATAGTTTAATTAAATGACTTGGAATTATATGTAAATGTCAAAGAGTTGTTATTGTCATGGTAACACCACAAAATTGGTGTCACTTTTAGGTGTCGCGCATCGCAAGAATTCTATCTCAAAAATTTTCCCAAAAGCGTTCATAGAATGTTGAGGGATCATTGAAGTCTTAACTTTTTAATTTCACGTACCGACTTACATAAGCAGAATATGTAAAACTTTTCTTTGTATCAATAATGGCTGGTTACAATCATGATGATATTTTGATGACTCCGTGGCGCAGTTGTCAAAGTATTGGCTTCGGCGTCGGGTGTCGTGGGTTCGATTCCCACACGGCAAAACTATTTGTGTGACCCACAGATAGTTGTTTCGCATCTAGGTGTTTGTCCGCGTGATATTTATTTATTTATAATTTATGTACACAGAGATATGGCAGAGATGTAAATAGATGAAATAATTTTTACAAAGTAAAATTTGTACAAAGGTCCAGCTTATTTCATAAGAAATTTCTTCCAGCAGACCTGTGACTGGAAATTGGTTACAGATGGTAGTTGATTGTGTACATACATCAATTAAAATACACGTATTTATGTTTATAAAACATCCTTACAACACGGGATAGTGTTATCCTAGAGCATTGATTCTCAACCTTTTTTTGTTGCGGCACATATTAAACGATTTCAAAGTTTGGCGGCACACAAAGAAAAAGATAAAAATTATTTACTTACTACAACACACTGCATAAATAGTTTATGACAAAAATTTTAAATATACGAAATAAACTAATATATACTACAATAATAACTAAACGTTTATTAAGGGATTAATTACAATTACATAATAAAAATATTTTTAATGCGAAATTTCAGCTTGATGTTTTTTGATAATTTCATTTATATTTGGTCGTAAAAATGACAATGCTCTCATATCGTCTTCTACATTTAACAATTTTGATCTTTTTTTAGTTTTAATATTGGCTAATGCCAAAAAATATTTTTCTTTTTAAATGATATAATTTAATAATATTAAAATTATTATATATTTGCAAAATTTGGCGGCACACTTTTGAAATTTGGCGGCACACAAAAGTGCCGCGGCACAGTGGTTGAGAATCACTGTCCTAGAGTTATGGCAATTGTTTTTCAAAAAAAAAAACACAAAAAAAATTATTTGTCTTTAAAGGACAACCATCGGGGCGAGTGTAAGGTGACGCCGTGGGGAGAGTGGTCACCGTGCACTGCGAAATGCGGTCGCGGCCGAAGAATCCGTACTCGACTGTACGTCGCGAGCGATTCGAGAGTGCAACGGCTTCTGACGCGGCGGCTCTTGCACGAATGGAATCAACGGTTCGCCGAACTGCAAGAGCTGGTGAGACCACTTCCAGTCAACTTGTGTTGTTAATCTAGAGTTGAGGTCAAGAGAGGTGAGACCACTTCCAGTCGCGTAATGTAGAAGAAATATAACCGGAGATTTCCGTTTTTGAATGTTGGCAATGCCTTTCGAATCCTTCAAGTGAAGCAGCGCTTCTTGGGCTATGACCAGTTATCATCAGTAAGCTGTTTGTATAGGTATTGAAGAGCAGCTAGTTGATTGCGAACTTTGCTGTTTTTTTGTATTATGTTTTCAGTTGTTTATCTTGATTATTTGGATAGAGATTACTTCTTGTTAACACGCCGTTAGATCCCTACAGTATATGAGATATCGTAAAAACTAGTAGCAGAGCTATTATTGCGTTAAGTTGCGACTCATGTCAGAAAAGTTATGTAAGATTTTCTCGCATTTTGTGTGACATAATGCCTACGCTTGGCATGCGTGTGGAGAATCGCAATTTCCTTTGGTCGCCTCCATTTTTTATGTGATAAAGTGGCAAACGAGCCGGTGGTTCACCTAATGTTAAGTAAAAACCACTGCCCATGCACATTTCCAACACCCGCAGGAATTGAAATGCGTTGCCACCTTTAAATAAAAGTGTGCCCCGGGTACCTTACTCACCAGACGAAACGCAGATGTAAAACTTCTTCTTTACGCCGGTCTTCTGTCAGGTCGTGGTACTTACCCGGACAGACCTGCCCATTCCTTCCTACCACGGTTGAAACGGCCTCTTACGACACCCTCGAGATAAAAGGGTAATGCTGACGACACAGGTTGCTGCAAATGACAGAGTTTCTCTTTCTTAGTTGATGATAATGATGATGGAAATTTTCTCAGGAAATACCAGCGGTTAACATAACATACGAGGACCCTGAACTGGAAGGCTTGGTGCAAGAGCATCTGGAACGGTGTCAGTTCACGCTAACACAGCAGGAGGCACTCTGCGACGGAGATGAGAGCTGTCAGGATATCACGCCGCAAGGTATGACTATTTGACGACGTTATTTAAATACCTATAAAATTAAGTAAATTAAGTATTAAGTGTATATAATTTACTACTAAGTGCATAGTAAATAAGTTTATTCTTATCATACACTACTGGTGGGCTTTTCTTTTGGAAGTGGGATAATTTTCGGTTCTTTAATAGATATTTATCTAGTGTTTGCTTAATGTCAGGAGCCTGCATTCGCTTTGCAGGTTTACCTTTCTTTGTCAACATACATTTGTAACATAGATGAATTAATTACGGATTACTTGTAGTTTTTTCAAATGTATCTGACTTTGTCTAATGCTTTTGCGAAATCGAAAAATCGCGTACCAATGCATAGCGGAATTTAAATTAAATTATAAGAGTTAAAATTAATAGTAAATTTTGTTAAAGGTAATTAAAGTTAAGTTTACAGTTGGACAAAAATCTAAATTGACTAACAGAAACATAAAAGACAATACATTTGATATGTATTTGCTCGATTATATTGAATTATCTTTAATAATTACAAACAATCAATAAAGACATAATTTTTTTTCGATTATCACTTTTTGAAAATCAATGCTCGAAATACCTATTTGTAAGTAGTACAAGTTTTGACGTATGTGGAGATCTAACGCACAACATGGCGCTCAAAATAGACTAGATATTATGGCACTTATATTTTCTTCATATCTACCTTTATTTTAATTATCTAAAACTTTTATGGTTTTTTTATCGATATTTTGGTTGATATTTTAACATGTTATTTACCATTTTACAATTTCAATATTTAGAAGATATCGTTATAAAGTAGCCATCTGTATGACGAATATTATCATTTATTATTCCATACTCATAACCTTGCATCGTATGTATACAATGCACTATTGTTAAAGTCCCGTTGACTTGTTCTTATCGTTAACCTTGTTTAATTGTCTTGTTGTATGTCACTGTATTTTTGTTTCGTTTGATGAAATTCGATATGGTCTCGTAAGCAACCGTTCACCTTTCTTATCTGCTCGCATTATGATCTTATAATGTGGTTGCTCAGCTTGATATAGTTCTTTTAAACAAAAACGTGAAGGATTTAAGTTGTTTTAAATTAAGAAAAAGTTTATTAAAGTGGCTAAAGAGTATAAAATAGAATCGTTTTTCAGGTTGTTTACTAAATTTTAAGTCCGTGTTTAGGCTTTTCTTTCTTTGCGGATTATAATTGCGGTCCCATTTGATTATAATTGGCGGCCACTAAAATCACTGTCGTAAAGGTCATTGACGACTTCTTGTTGTGAGCAGACGTGTACGTTTTATCTGCAGGCTCTAAAAGACCAAAGTTGATAAAGGCGGCCTTTAAAAAACACCGCAGCGTTCATTATTGACTTTTTATTTTTAGCAGACGTCTGCTCTCTACATCTGAAAAGACCGTCATAGAGTTCATTGACAACTATTTGGGAGCAGACGTCTTCTCTTTACCGGCGGCTTTTAACAAAACACCGTAGAGTTCATTATTGACTTCTTTTTTTGAGCAGACGTCTGCTCTCTACCAACGGCCTCTTAAAAGACCGTCATAGAATTCATTGTCAACTACTTGGGAGCAGACGTCTTCTCTTTACCAGGGGCTTTTAACGAAACACCGTAGAGTTCATTATTGGCTTCTTATTTTGAGCAGACGTCTGCTCTCTACCAACGGCCTCTGAGAAGACCGTCATATAGTTCACTGACGTCTTCTTGTTGTGGGCAGACGTTTGTTCTCTCCCGGCGTCGGTGGGCCCGTGCCGCGGTTACGAGGAGCGTTGGTTCTACGACACCACGCGCGGCTCCTGCGAGCCCTTCGGCTTCACCGGCTGCGGCGGCAACGCGAACAACTTCCCCACCAGGGAGCTGTGCCAGCGCCAGTGCGAAAATACCAAGAACGATACTGGCGGCCGAGGTGAATGAATCTTCTCTTTTCTTTTCAACCGACTTCAAAAAAGGAGGAGGCTCTCAAATCGGCGGTATTTTTTTTTAATGTTTGTTACCTCAGAACTTTCGACTGAGTGAACCGATTTTGACGATTATTTTTTTTATTTTGAAAGCTGGTGCTTCCCCTGTGGGCTCATTATAATTTCATTGGTGTTGGATCTTGGGCTCCGGAGATACTTAGGTAATTCCTGAAAATCAATTATAAAATGATTACAGGGCGAGATATTTGAAGTCGGTTAAAAATGGTTGCTTAAACAAATACTCCGTGGTAAAGTTGCCAAGGTATACTAATAAGAGCGTTAGTATTACCACCAATTGATAAATTATTACTTAATAGTTTTACGTTTTATTATATGTTTTCTATTGCAGTTCAAGTCAGCAGCGCTGAGATTAATTTTAAAAATCTTAAGCCAACCTCTTCCCACGGTGACAACGATGTTATGCTGAATGACGCCCCTGTTGCTGAAGGTGGATAAAAAACATTTTGTATTATCTTTTGTTACGATTTAATAACTGTTTTATTATATTTTATCTACAATAAATTTTAGCTTTTGTCTCTTATATATCTTTGATCACCAAATTGATAATTTTATAAGAATAATATATTGTTTTTTAATAATAAGATGACGTTGATTGCGTGATGGGTCCGTGGCTGGGATGGAGTGAGTGCTTCGGGAACTGTGACTATGGAATTAAGCTGAACTATCGTCTTGTTAAGGTATGTTAATCTTGAATTAAAGCAGTTATTAACAATATCAATAAATGTCACGTTGTGATACGATTATCATAATTTTTATTCCAATATGTACATACTGACATGTAACAGTATTGACTGTCGGTATGTACAATGTAAAAGTGCATAATCACTACCTTGCACCAATGATGTTTTAATAAAGATCACGCATGTCTCTACTGCTCGACGTTTAGAACTTGTTCCGATTTACAATTATGATATATATAAGTGAGTGTGACAGATGATATACAGAACTTATGATACGGAAAGAGATAGCAGTCTATAGAATTTATATTTTCTTAGTCTATAGATAGTTTTTCATAATTTGAGCCTTAATTACCTCTTAAACAAAACCTTTTTTTTTATGCTTTCATGTAATTGTTGTTTTGAGAACACTATTCAATCTTCGGATTATGTGCTGTGCAAAACATCAAACATTTTCAGGATTAGAAAAGGAAGAAAAAAAAATGATTTTCCACTTTTAAATAAATGGACATAGCTCAAAAACTCACTAACATAGATTTTCTTTGCGACAGCTCTGGATTCATTAAATACAGAAAAAATCGAAAGTTGACATTTGGACGTTGTCTTTCAGTATATAAACTTGTCATTGATTCCAATTATTAATCGACTCCATAAATGAACTCTGTCAGAGTGTCTCTAAAGACAGATTCGGTCGGCTAGCTTCTGAACGTAATGTGTTTGTCACTATACATTGTACCCGAATATGAGATATCAATCCATATATCAGCGTCAGTGTGGGCTGGCATCTTAACTATAAGAGCAGTGACAATTACTCTTCGAAACTTGACAGTGTATATTTTGAATATAAGGAACTTCAAAAAAAAACTGCGTTACTAATTACGTTAAAAGACCTTGTATTTGTACAGCTTACATCGCGTCAATAACTCTTCTTTCAGATTGCTGCTATGGGATCGGGGAAACCGTGCGCAAAGTTGATTAAGAGCAGGACTTGCACGCCCGGCCATTGTCGAAATATATTCATCTTTACCAATAACCCCTCCTTTGAACTAGAAGCTGCACATTGATGATAATTAGATTTCCTCCAATTAGATTTGAAGTCCAGTTTTTATTGTACTCTTAGTCAACTTGTAGGGCTTAGGTGAATACCTTATATACACCAATAATAGAGCAGTAATGTTAAAATGGTTTATTTTATCTCACAACAAATATCAACAAGTCTTTGTACACAAGTGTATCGTTAATTCATCAACACGCGTAAATATGTAGGTACTTAAATACTTGAGCATGCTATCAAGTTTATAACAATCAATCCATTTAATACTGTCTAGGAACATCACAGTCACATTTAAATTGTTTAATTTTTTTTGTCATAATTCAACTGTCTGTATGAAATGTTACGTCAGAATTAAAAAATAAACCTGTAACGAAATTATTTATGGGGGATAAAGTTATCTGTTTTTAAATCAATGTTATGTTTTTGATATGTAATACTTTATAAAATTTAATAGAATCTCGTTTATGCGTATTTAATATGGACATTTCTCGTGTGACCATTTCGGTCATGAGTCGATTGGTCTCGCTCATTTCAATAAACTATTTCTCCTTAAACATATAAGTATTGGTGGGAATTTCTTTGACAGATTACACACGTAACAAAATTCTAAAGAGCCGTACCTCGAAATCCGCACCCCAAAAGCTTAAAATTAACTTTCTATCAATTCTAATGCTCCGTATTGCAATTTGTGTAGCTATAATAGAAATACATATTAGAAATTCGCGTTGGTGATGAGTAATGCTCTTAACTAGTGAATACATTCATATCTATGTGATTATATTAGTAATAGACATGTACTTATAATAAGAAGTCGGTTAAAAAAGGTATGTAAGTGATTAACGAAGCTGAAACGGCGATCAGTGAAAGTGACAACTTTGGAATTGGCGACGTTATCACCACGCTAAGACTGCCCTTTTTACATTCAAACTTTAGATATAAGCTCAAAATAATAATAGTATTAGAAACATCGTGTTTATGATATAGCTGAATTCGTCTTTAATAAACATAAATATGAAAACAAGAAAAGTTTTCTTCATTCATTCCCTTGATATATCGATTAACACTAGACTATCATTAAATCAATAGCTACATTTCTAGCTCATTTCGGCAATATACATTTGCACATAACTTCAAAAGAGGATATACAGGAGCTAAAATGATTTGTGTCTACAATGTAGTTTTGGGCGATTTAAAAATTTGCATCTTTGATAGACTAAAACAAATTTACATAATATAAAAGTTTTCAGTCAGATTAATTTCATTAAGTTTCGTTTTAACACTACGGAACAATTGGAATCGGTGAAAGAATTATTGTTATCATAGTTTAACGTTTTCGAATTTCTCCATACAGACATCGAAAGTTTATTCTTATTTTTATTCCGTTTCCCGCCATTTTCCATTGGTGACAAGCCGTGACATTGACATTGGAAGGTAAACCGTAAACTGTTGGTTAACCATAGACGATAATCGTTAAACTGTCATAGACAACATTTTGTCGTCGTTCAACAGCATCAGTCTAATGAGAGCGTCGGATCGGGTTTGAAACACTTTCACTCGCCCGTCGAGTGCTCGCTCCAAACGCCGGCTAGAAAACACCTTTCATAACGAGTAGTTCTTTGGTTGGACTAATTTGTAGCGCTTAACCTAGTTCCGTTTAAAATTCACTTGACACACCTCTCGTACGAATGCGACGTTCTGCGTTCAGAGTCTCTCTTATTCGTATTGCGATACAGCTCACTTTTGTCCGCGCCGGTGTTTTCTCACTATATGCGCGTCACTAGAGGCCTCCGCGGTGCTTCACAGCATCTAGGCGCCGTGCACTCTTTAGCGCATGGACAGGAGCAAGCCACGTTGGCGAAGTCGACCAATGTCTTCTTCTCTTCGTCCGTTCCTATACAGAAGAATTATTTGTTTATTTATATAAAACATGACAAAATAAGCATTAACAACGAAAAGGTTACAAAAAGGTTGTACAAAGGGCGGCCTTATCGCTTGAAGAATGTGTTCCGAGGTATTTGTATTGTACAGTGTTTTGAGTGGAAGAGGTTGGGTAGCGACTTCCGACGACCTGATGACCACTGCGATTTAGAAGGTCTTAAACATTGCCCCATTATCACATTATAACATTATCCTGTGTTATATGGACGTTTTACATATACAAATTTCACCTGAAACAACTATCCGTGAGTCACACAAATAGTTTTCCCGTATGGGAATCGAATCCACGACCCCTGGCGCCAAATTCAATACCTTAGAAACTGTACCCCTCTAAACGTTTATTTGATAAACATTTATATTTATCCGTTAACGCGTCGCCACGCTAAAATCTGGTCTGACTCTAGCAGAAACAATTCCCTGTGGGTCACACAAATATTCCCGTGTGGGAATCGAATCCAGCGCTAAGCCAATACCTTGGTAACTGCGCCACGGATCATATTTGTCATAGATAACAGCATCTGCTGTTGCACGAATGAACGTGAAGGGCAAGTGTTATACTTATGCGTTCCGTCTGGAGAGTGAAGTTGCCAAGGGCCACTTTTTAATGGTTGGCAACGCATCCGCAAGTCGTTGGTGTTGTACATGTCCATGGGCGGCGACAATCGCTCAACAGCGGTTATCCGTTTGCTAATTTGCCAAGTTTATACATATAAAAGCATGTACGCATGTAAGAAGTTATACTTCTTTAGGGTAAAGGTATTCAATGCAATTGATAATGGTTTATTTATGTAACTTGGATACCGTGGGTAACCTCGTCATGTCGTTGTTTTAGGTTCGGTGTCGTAAAAACTTCACTCTCATATTTTTTTCCAAACGTGCCAAAAAGAGTATAAATATGACTTTAAGAAAATATATTTTTTATTGATAATGCTAAGAGAATTAAAACCAAATGTTTAAACAAAAGATATCATTTTTGAGTGAATTCATGTGGAGTGGAAAATCCACTTAACATGTCTTACCACCAATTGCTGTGAGTGTGAACTCTGGCTGCAGTGTGACCAGACTTATCCCGTGGCGTTTGAACACGTCGCAAACTAGATCGCAATTGCGCAAATAATCCTGAAATGGTAATTTATCAGTAAAGTTACGATTCTGATAAAGATATTTCTAAAATGATCAACATTTCTTCATTAATTAGGGTTCCGTACCCGAAGGGTAAAACGGCACCCTATTACTAAGACTCCGCTGTCAGTCTGTTTGTCTGTCCGTCTGTCACCAGGCTGTATCTCATGATCCGTGATAGTTAGACAGTAGAAATGAAACGGTAGTAGTGTTTTTGACAATCAATAAGTGTAATACTTCTATATTGAATAAAGATATTTGAATTCGAATGGTACGTAACCCTTCGTGTGCGAGTCCGACTCGTACTTGGTCGGTTTTTTTAATACCACATATAACAAATAAAACGGAACAAACAGACTGCAAAACATATGAAACGTCGGGAATTAAATATAGAAATGGTAATTGCTTATAATAGAGGCACGCGCGTTTTTCTTATAAAAATATTTATAATAAAAAATAAATAGGGAAACGATAATACCGAAACAATAATAACGAAGCAGTTATAACGAAGCAATAATTATGCGCCAACATTTTCAGTAGAAACCTCTCTATGGTTAAGCTTATAAACGAACTTAATGATAGTAAAGTGACAAAGACGTCTCTGAGAATGGCCGTTAATGTAATGTAATATTAATTTTGCATTTATGTTTGCGTTGTAGATTGTGATTGTAGGAATAAAGCGCTCTTATCTCACCTCGATTGGCATAGTTGCTGAGAGGAGGGGTCGGCGTCGCAGGTCGTGAGTTCGATTACCTCCAAGATCGAATATTCGAATGACCTTCGGACAATTCTATCGGAATTGGTAGCTGTTTTCTGACAATTTGTTTTAAAATTTCTCTAAAATGTAGTATGGTGTTGTTAATAGAACTGTTTTATAGATTTTATGGCATGTATCAGCATCTTCATGTTAACGCCCGACGCTTCGAAAATTTCACAGCTGTACCGTGAACATAAAAAAGTACAAAGTGCGGTATGCTCGTATTTGTATATGTACATAAACGTGTATATAAAAGAAATCAGGACAGGATCATCTTATTAACAGCCTATACAAGTCCCACTGCTGAGAAAAGGTCTCCTATGTACGGAGAGTATTGGGGTATAATCCACCACGTTACCCCACTGCGGATTGGCGGACTTCACATATCTTCGAAATATTTTTGTGGTATTATTTCAAAATCATCGGCCCCGTGATTTGAACTCAGGTTGCTAGAGTATATTGAATTAAAAGCGATCGTCTGGATTACTGAGCTATCGCGGCTCGTAGGATTGTGATCAAATTATTCGGTAGTAAAAAAATAAAAATAAACCAGCAAGTCATCGCCGAGGAATAGAACTCACTTCGTGCGAGCCGTAAGCGATGTGCGCCGTGGCGACGATCTTGTCGCGGTGAAGCTGCCACACGTGGAGCTCGTGGATGGCGAGAACGCCGGGCACCTTGAGCGCCGCCTCGCGGAGCTCACAGGCGCCGAGACCTTCGGGGACGGTCTGCAGCAGCACTAGCCCGGCGGACCGCACTGAAAGACCAACCAGGTGGAGCCGCGCGGCAGCCGCTAGTCACCCACGGCCTGGCTCAACGGGGAACTATTACGGCCTCACGGGAGGTCGATGTTAAGTGGTTAGAATACTTTAGTATATTTTACCACCGCCCGTGGACTATTACAACTCATGATGACCCAATTGGCGTAGTTGATATGACCTTGTTTCTTGTCTTGCGCTAGTGTGAAGGACATAGTGTTTTTCTAGTGCCTGTGTGGTTCATCATCATCATCATTTCAGCTTGTTTGAGTTCACTGTTGAACATACGCCTCCCCCATAGACTGCCACGATAACGAAGACAGTACGATCCTGAACCACCTGCATCTGGGTGGTTATATATCTATAATATGTATTTATTTATAAAAGTACGTTTTAGTATGTTTATCAGGTTTGTATTCAGTACTATGGTACAAGCTTTGCTTAGTTTGTGACTAGATAACGTTGTGTAAATTAATGTCTCGAAATATTTATTATTATTCCTTTGGTGGCAGGCGCGTTGGTAACGACTAACTTTCAAATAATTCGGTCCTGGTTATCTCATTCATCAGATAAAACGCGAAAGTAGTACAAATACTTCTGCTTCGCGCCAGTACACTGTGAGGTCGTGGTGTTTCCTCGGACGAGCCTGTCCATTCGTGCAACAGCCGAAGCTGCTGCGTGGCCCTACCACATTCGTCTTATGAGTAAGGTAGTAAGTGTTTTTTATGCTGGTAACGCATTTTAAATCAGGTAGTTATTGGAGATGTCATTGGGTACTAATCACTTATCACTTATCAATGTGACAGAAGAGGTTCTACAAACAGCGCTCGTAAAACCAGCCTTTAACAGGCATTGTGTGTGAGATCAAAATCTACATAATATATACCTTACCGAATCATATTTAACCGGCAGTTAAAACGAGGCTTTACCTATTATAGATGTTTCAAATGTTAAAATAACGGGAAAATGTAAGCTAAAGAGTGCATCAACTATAAGTCGAGTTTGATTTATGTACGTCAGAGTGAGAGTAATTTACATACGCTCAGAGGAAACGTTTCGCTTTTTAAGAGGCCTACGCTAATGTGTATGATTGAAAATAATGATTTGACTCAACTCCCTAAGATGCGAAATGCTCAAGATTGACATAGGTACCTAAATATTTTCGATAAACTTTTAAGATAGTTTTTTATACGAACTCTTATTCTGTCTCATATTATCTATCTTTTAAAACGCATACTCAATACTTTTAAAGGTGCGTGTGATAAACCATTACAATATTAATTTATATTCAAATGTTGGTTCTTCTCTGAAGAGATCTCGATTTGGGAATCATTATCAGATATTGTGCAAAGTTATTGAAACAAGTCTAATTTGAAAAAAATATAAAAGTACTCGCAGTAGTTACTTCGGTTTCGAAATTTAACAGTTATACCGATTACTAGCCCGCATCTTCATTAATCTAGGCTTAAATTGTTCCACATAGTACGATTCTTTATCGTGAGTAACAGTTATAAACATAAGTATCACATTATTATGTAACGCAATACATGTTATGCTTACAAGTCTTTAGGTTCAATAAACTGTTCTAGACCGTTCCGTGGAAAAGTATAAACAAGATCATATATCAGTAGGATTTTACTTTCTACTTTTATGTTTTCCCATCAAGTTTTTTTTTTAAGTGAAAAGTTGCCAAGCGAGCAGGTGGTTCACCTGATGTTAAGTGATTATCGCCGACCATGGACATCTGCTACACCCAAGGGTTTGTAGATGAGTTGACAACCTTTTAAAAAGTGGGCTACCTCACATACGAAGCGTGATAAATTATCTGTGATAATATAATTAGCAAACCGAATTTTCCGATGTTAAAGTTTCAGAATAGACTTAAAAATTCTAGTAGTCACGAAATCCAAAATATAATACTTTCACTTCACGCCGTCGGTTTTTTTTGGATACGGTACCTACTTCTTCTGTTGAGCTTTTTTCTATTCGTACAAGGGCATTACAAAAATAACATAGTTGATGTTGATTTACTGTAATAACTACTATTGCATACTATAATGACTTAGTTTGAGCTTTTGATGGTTTTTTTTTGTCAAACTTCTTTTTTTTTTTAAATGTTTACAATCTTTATTTATCTAATATTTACAAGATTAAATCTATCTAAAATTACATATTATCTAATAAACCTAATCCACGCGGCATGGTGCCAAGAACACTAGCTGCATTTCCTTGCTGAATAGTTATGCTTAATAACTATTGTATTATTTGTCAAACTATATTAAATAAAATTGTGCCGCTGAGTTTCTTTCATCGGATCTTCTCATGTCAGTGGCTTTTTTCCGAACTGGTAGTAGTGTTTGTTGACGATCAATAAGTGAGTGTAATGTTTCTATATTGAATAAAAATAATTGAATTGAATAATAAGAATAGTTACCATTGTGTCAGGCAAGTACATTTTTATTAACAGAAAACAAAACTGACTTCAAAAATTTCACTGACTTATATATTTTTTAATTTATTTTGATGAGTTACTTGATAAATCTAAGATGTCTAAGGTCCAATACCAACTAGAAAGAATTTTTAAAATTAGTTTATAAATGAAGGAGTCCTCATGTAACAGACATAACAAAAACTACTCCTCTACTACACTACTACACTACTACTACACTTTGGTACTACGGTGGTAGGGCTACGCAGCAGCCTCGGCTGTTGCACGAATGGGCAGCTCCGTCCGGGGAAGTACCACGACCTCACGGAAGACCAACGTAAAGTGGAAGTATGACAAATACTTTCGCGTTTCGTCTGGTGAGTGAGGTAGCCGGAGCCCAATTTTCAAAAGGTTGTCAACGCTTCTGTAACCCTCGGGTGTGGCAGATGTCAGAGAAATAGTAAATACAAAACCATTTAATGAAATCTCGTCAATGATATACGATAAAAGCAATTCGTGTAGCTGTTCGACGTACAAAAACGCCATTTTGTTTTAATAACATCACTCTCGCGATATCATATTATGTAATTTGCATACAACACGCAGAGCGATGTCTTGCTTCTTATTGCTTTTTTCAATGCTCCTAAATCACGCAATGATGAATGAGATACAGCCACTTCCTCTCAATGCCAGTTACGCCTTTTAGTCATTTTAATTCCAGCGTTCGTTCAAGTTCACTGCGTGAGTCCTGACTCTGGAACTGCGTGTCGGGTCAATGACCTTGCCAATATTCCGACAGATAATTAATGAGACGGAGGGAACATAAAAAAATGAAGTCGATAAATGCTACGCACGCTGTAGGGGAAAACTGATCGATGTGAATTATTTCTTTTTACGTGATTATTTATGTTTAATTTTGCCTTCTATCAACGTTCATTTATTCATCGTACAGTACGATGAAATATTTTTTCACTAAAGATGCTTTAAAAATATTATAATTTGTGGTACTTAATAATGATTGTGTGTAGACTAAATTATAGTGGTTTATAGTCGTCTTCGTCTCTGAACTCTCACACTGAGAAATACCGAGCATAACGCGCTTCATAGCTCGCTGAGCTGAGGTTTCTGAGACACTCTCCTGCCCTTATCCCACTTAGGTGGGTTCGGGTGAATCATGTTGCTAACGTAATTTGAGACCCAGAACAATTATTTACGAGGCACACAAATACTTGGCCCGTGTGGGAATCGAAACCACGACCCTCGGCACTGAAGCTAATAACTTAGCAATTGTGCCACCGAGTCATCTAGTGGTTCTTAAATGTATAATTGTAAATAAAAAAAATGTATAATATTTTGCGGAAGGGTCTAAGGAATGGGAAAGAGTTTGATATCTAAATTCAATTAGTGTACAGTATCGTTTGAAGAGAGCATTTATATTCTGTATTTCTGGTATTTTATTATACGGTTGTAGGGGTACTATTAAACTCATTACAGGTAAAGAACGGGTAATAAAAACCTATCAACTCTCGATAATCGTGAGGTAACAACTTTTATTACAGGTTAAAAAAAGGACGATGTATGATAATAAAATTGCGATTAACAATTGTTGGTGCAATTACCGGATTAAAGGCGAACACTGATATATCATGACTAAGAAGGTAGGTAGCAGAAGATAAAAAAAAACTGTAATTTTTTGCACTAGTTCAGAATAAACCTATTCGTTCTTATATTTTAGATGCTATAATGCTATTACACTCGTATATTCGATACAATATTTTTAATTATTTTAAAAATGCTATTAAAAATGTATTAAAAAAATGTTTAAATATGTTGATCAGTTACACTAAGAAGTACCCATAATTAATCGGGACTAGATAACGTTGTATGAAAGTATGACTTGAAATTTTTGAGAAAAATAGGCGTGGCTATCAGGCGTTTCGGTCTGTGATTAAAGCCCTGGGCGCGACGCTGGTTCGATCTCGCAGCGGCGAAAAACTTTTCGTCCATTTTTCTACAAATTTTATTAAATAGGTTACTCACTGAATGGGTAGTTGAACACTACGAGTACAATGGCGGCGCATGCCGACAGCGCTGGGTCAGCAATGCGCGCCACTTCTGGTTCCCACTCCGAGGTCAGGCCGGCCCCGATGGCGAACAGGCTGCCTGTCAGGAGTATTTTTTTTTGGAGAAAGGACGATGTATATGCTTGGGCCATATCTCTATGATAAGGCCAGGAGAACCCACTGTTTAGTTTTATCAACGCATTCCAAATGTAACACTTCGGACGATTGTAAAGGAAACATGTTAAAAATGGAAAAATATGAACATTAGAATTTATTACAATTGCGAGGTGACTACATATTACTAGATGAAACAATTTTTTATGGATTCATCGAGTTTATTTTTCGTTTAATCTCTCCCGTAACCATGAACGCTGTAGTGTTCGAAACGCCGTGAATTATAGTTAAAAATAAACTCGATAAAACCGTAAAAATAGTTTCTGTTAGTGAATATGAACTTATTGAATTTTTTTATGGAGGAATGACGCACGTCCTGGCGGTTCAACTGTTGTTAGAAGATTACCACCAACCCTCAAACCAAAAACCCAAAAACCCTCATGAATTGCATTCGCGTTGCAAACATTTAAAGGAAAGCACTTGTCATCTCAATCATGAGGAACTTTGTACATTTCCCATTTATATTTAGGAATACTTCTACTTTTCGCTGGTCTTTTGTGAGGCCGTATTCCCCGGACGAGGTAAAACATTCATAAGTTGCTATCTGTGTGTGCTACGGTAAATCTAAGGCGTGTATTAAAAAGTTGGCTTGTGTAAACATTTCTCTTAGAACGTGTCTCAGGACAGTTGATTCAAATAATAATCACTCATCTAGAGTGATTATTATTTGAATCAACTGTCCTACCGAATTATAGGGATGGATCTTAACAGAGTATCATCATCTGACATGAAAGAAAGCGTTAATTCACGCCATTACGAACTGGTCATTTAAATGTGTTCCGAAGGAGCTGCCACATTGCGGAACTAATAACACCAAGATATGAAAATTATGTCACGAAATAATGACTGAGCAAATGGATTAATTTTCATCATGAATTTGTGTCCAGATGGCCTATTAAGTTAAAAGCTTTTTGATTTTGTCAATACTGGATCATTATTAAACCACTTAGAACTTATACTTTACACGTTTATATGTATGTGAAGGTTAATCTCATTACTGTGTCGTTTAGCATTTTTCATAAATGCAGAGCTTCCGGCGGATTAGCAGATTATTAAATACTGAGGATGTTTAATTTTTTTATCATTTTAAAATGCCCAAAAGATCAAGATCTTATCTTTCTAGAAATAGTTCCCAGGCGAGGACATTAAAAATACGTCATAATGAGGAATCTTTACCCGGAACTGAAAATCGTCTTACAAGTCGGAGAGAGTCAAGTGTTTGCAGTGGCTTGAAGAGTATAATAATATAAATATACAAATTCACACTAGGTAATGGAGGTCTGAGCGTTCCCAACGTATACGAGATTAGAGAGAAAGATAACAAACGTCAACGACTAGAGTTCGTGATCGAGTTTTAGCTCACAGTAACAGATCAGCTTTCATGCATTTTGCTCAACAGTCTTCCGTCCAAATCGTAGCCACGAATAAGATCTGCTCTAAGTGTTCTGCCAAAAATGGTTCGATGAACCAAATGGTATGTGCTGTGCTTCTGGAAAAGTTAGTCCCCCCAATATTGAGGAGCTGCCACAACCAATAAAAAATCTTTTTACAAATAATAATTCACCATCAGGACATTTTTAACCAACATCCGAAAGTACAATAGCCTCTTTCAAATGACTTCGTTTGACGCGAACTTTTAAAATAGAGGGACAAGTATACAATTTATCATCATCCTCCTGCCCCTATCCCACCTAGGTGGGGTTCGGCACAACATGAATCATGTTGTAAGTGGTTTTGCCTATATTTTTACAACCAGCCGCCTGCTTGACGTCAACCCTCCTTGGGAAACAAATACCCAGATCAAATTTCAACTGTGTAACTATCACGGTTCATGAGATACAGCCTGTTGACAAAGGGACAAACAGACAGCGGAGTCTTAGTAATAGGGTTCCGTTTTACCCTTTGGGTACAGCATCCTAAAAAGGCTCCAGAGATATAGTGTTGCACGGTAGACACGGCCAACTTAAAAGGGTCTCTGAGTTACACCAATTGTATGATCCATAAAAATATCCCTTAATAGTCTTAATAGGAGAAGACGGTTAATATTTGAATATTCCTCAGCAAGGTACTGTGCGTAACAAAACTATGACATGCATGCAATTGTATGCATTTAGGTCGATGGTTAAAGCTTCCTGTTTTAAGCCATTGCATTATTACGGGGACTTATCAGGGTTCCGTACCCAAATGGTAAAACGGCACCCTATTACTAAGACTCTGATGTCCGTCTGTATGTCCGTATGTCTGTCCATATGTCACCAGGCTGTATCTCATGAATCGTGATAGACAGTTGAAATTTTCACAAAGATGAATTTCTGTTGCCGCTATAACAAAAAATACCAAAAAAACAAAAGAATATAAATAAGTGGGGCACCCATAAAACAGACATTATTTTTTGGCCGTTTTTAATTAATGTTGACAGTAGTAGAGTTTTTGACAATATGTAAGTGTAATACTTCTATATTGAATAAAGATAATAAAACATGATTTTTTTAATGTGATAGAGTGGCATACGAGCTGGCGGTTCACCTGATGTTAAGTAATAACCGCCGACCATGGACATTTGTAACACCTGTAGGGTTGCAAATGAGTTGGCATCTTTAAGACATTGGCTCATCAAATATCGGTCAACAAACCAAAGATGGGATGATTTATGTCCGAATCTATGGGAGACCAGACTTATTTGTCACTTTTACGTGTAACCCCGAATGTCCCGTAATTAAAGCGGAACCATTATCTGGTCAGCGGTCTTTCGATCTTCATGACGTAATTTCAAAGGTATTTCATTAAAATATGAAGAAATTCATAAAATTATTCACCAAAGACGAACTATTCGGAATATTTTATGTGTATGATAATTTTTAGTTTTAAAAATTTTGTTAAATACCCGTGCGAAGCCGGGGCGGGCCGCTAGTAATCAAATAAAATACAACGTCTTTCAAGCTACGTGTTAGAAAAAAACCGGTCAAGTGGGGGTCGGACTTTTATCCCTACTATAATTTGTAAACACGGCGAAAAAATCAGGTCTGTTGTATGGGGGAGCCCCATTTAAATATTTTTTTATCCAGTTTTGTAGTATTTGTTGTTATAGCGGCAACAGAAATACATCATCTGTGAAAATTTCAACTGTCTGATTATCACGGTTCTTAAGACAGCCTCGTGACCGACGGACAGACAGACAGACAGATAGACAGACATACAGACAGACAGACAGATAGACAGACATACAGACAGACAGACAGTCGAGACAGAAAGTCAGCGGAGTCTTAGTAATAGGGTCCCGTTTTGCCCTTTGGGTACGGAACAATAAAAGGGGCAACAAATGTTTCCAAATTCATGCTCCCACGATCTATAAACTGAAAGTTTTTGGGCTCTTGAAAGTCCCTATTTTAAAACGCACATGAAAGAAATTTTCTGAGACATAAACTTAAGTAGACATGCTCTCATATTATCCCTTTAGCATTTTGAGCTCGTTAGAAAACCGTAGAGATGACCTACTGACGATGTCGATTGGCGCGTGTGCCAGCACCGGCTCCCCGGAGCCAGTCTTCAGCACCACCCCGCCGCCCTCCGTCATGCTCAGGCGACGGCTGTAGCTCAGCTCTCGACCTGAAGTTGGATTCAAATTTTAAAAGTCGTCTTTTTAACTGCAATTTCATAGGTACACAATAGTCTTCGACCTGAAGTTGGATTAAAATTTTTGAACGTTTTTAACTGCAATGCCATAGACACACGGTGGTAGCGCCGCCCAACAGTCTTTTCTGTTGCGCGAATGGGCAGGTCCGATCAGTTAAGTACAACGACCTCAGAGAAGACCGGCGTGGAGTGGAAGTGTTATATTTCCGCATTTCGTATGGTGAGTGAGGTAGCCGGGCCTACTCTATTAAAAGGTGGCAACGCACGGCTATTAGAAATGTCTATGGGCGGTTATCACTTAACATCAGATGAGCCGGCTTCTCACATAAAAAAAAACCTCAGCTTCACTGCATAGTATAAAACAAAGTCGTCCCGCTGTCTGTTTGTCCCTATGTACGCTTAGATCTTTAAAAGTGCGAAACGGATCTTGATGCGGTTTTTTTACTAGATAGAGTGCTTCAGGAGGAAGGTTTATATGTATAATACATGCATAATATAGTAGAGTATATTTAGTATCAGCATTGCACCTGGGCGAAGCCGGGGCGAGTCGCTTGTTTCATATAAAACGTCTAACGCACACGTCTACAATGTACGCATGCGCAATCTTAATATATCGCTCGCTCTTTTCGTTGTATCCATCTTCTGTGTCTGTAAGTGCTTCGACAACCTTAAAAAATGTGGACCTTTAATTGTCCCCTCCACAAAACGCGAAAGAATGATTTTTCGGGGCGAGGCCTGCCCATTCGTGCAACAGCAGAAGTTGTTGCGTGGCCCTATCACACTAAAAAGTAAGTGTTAACATGTAAGGTTAAAAGTCATTGACTGTAGGAGTTGTGTTTTTTATTTTGTCTGTTTTTTAGGATTACAGTTGTATATATTTTTAATAATTATGGTTTGTTATAATTTCGCACTGGATGCTATTTTAAATGACATATTTCGGTGGACAGTTTTATCTGTGCTGTGGTATATTCTCGGTTGCTCACACACTGCTGACCTGCTCTTACGCATAAACACAATGTTATTTTTGTAACGTGGCTTGAGGCCGACAGTGTGAGCACTACAAAGTTTTATCACGCCACAATAACGTGTGTTAGCGAATATTTATACACTACTGTATTATTGCTTTCGATAAAAAGCAATACAATATTGTATAGTTGTGAACTTTCCGTCGTTTACTTCTTTCAACTGTAAAAACTCGGATGCAATTTGTTAATGTAGGGATAAAAAGCTAACGGCCGGGTTCAATATTCTATCTACGCATATATTTGGTTACTGGAGCAATGATATTGTATACAAAGATATGATATCAGCGCGCAGAAATTCGAGACACTAAAATTACGCCAATTGGTGTAATTAGATTGCAACTCTATATACTCTATATCTCTTTCCGAATCATACGTTCTATATCATCTGTCACATAAAATGTCTCGCTTTCATATGTCATATAATGTAAAGGGGTACAACGCAGCGCAGTATCGACACGCGTCGTCTATATTATTAAACATCATTGTACTGGAGATACCTATCGCTGATGTCAAACACCTATCGCCAGTAACCAAATCGATCTGTATGTATATACTATCCGTATATCGAAATCGTAAGTTCACTTACCGGCCAGCAACATGTAGTTAACCGTGTAGAGCAGCAGCCCTAGGACGGCGCTGCCGACGATGACCTTGGGGTACCGGGGCGGCTGCACGTGCGACGAGTGCACGCCCAGCTGCAGCGCGTTGACGACCAGCGCCAGCGCGAACGACGCGAACAGCACGTGGACCGACAGCCGGCCGACAACCTCGATCCGCGCCCAGCCGAACGTGTTGCGCAGTTTCCCCTCACGGCCGGCGCCCTCGTCAGCGCGCTCGAACTGTCGAAGTGGCGCGATGTACTCGCATTCGTACTTCTTTAAATTTGTTCCACTCTAATCTTATACAACATTTTTGGCTTCTTATTTCAATTTGTTCCGTTCTAATCATCGAATAAAAAGTTCTTAACGTGTATGAATATTGTTTAATCTTAAACAATATTCAAACCGCAGTCAAAGTGCTTTAGCACCAAGGGATTACATTCAAATAAATGAATATAACGGTTAAGCAGCATAAGCATAAGTAATTTTTTAAATTTAAACTATGTCTGCATTGATCCTGTTTTTTTTTAAATAAATATTACTTAGTGCATTAAATTGACATTTGAAATTATACAATTTTAAAATGTTATTGTATTTCATATTAAATTTGATTTTTTAAACTTTACCTCGTCTAGGTACAGTATAAGTCAATTGTGTAATATAAATGCGTTTTAAAAACACAAATAAATATTTTTTTTATTCAAAGATTCAGAGAGTTTTATATACACATAAGGTACGAATCGATGTAATGACTCTACGTGGTATCATAGTTAAAGTTTCAGCAACTCTCCTGCATGAGTATTGTTCGGTCGAAGCTTGTTATTCGCTACATATTAACTCGTAAGACATAAGTAATTCGACATAAATAAATCGTAATTTGCCTAGTGTGAAATTACTATCGATATGTTGTGATTTTGTTATAACTTAAAATATTTTGTAATCTTATTTAAATTAAGGGCCATCGTACATTTATTATAATATCTGTTTTCTTTCCTTAATTATTGAATAAAAGAAAAACTTTCAATTGTTCACAGGGGTAGCATATAAATATTCCGTTTAATAAATGTATATTATAATAATAAATATGTAAATCATGTCACATAATACTCACACATATTAATCACTACACTATGTGGCTTTCATCTCTGGGTTCATACTAAACTCAGGTCAATGATATGAAATTATAAGAATTATAGTTTCGGATATATTACACAACTATATTTTCGTATAGTTATTGACTGTCCTAATTTGTTTTCAATTTCTTTTTTATTCTAATTTGTCGTGTCTAAGGATTAATCATCTTAAAATATGGATCATCGATCTTTTTCCAATGATAATTTAGTGTTATAGCCGTCCAAATTGGTTATAAAAGTTTTCAAATGGTGTAAACTTCTAGCGAATGTTCTGAATATACTTTTTGGGCATTTATCGGGCACAAGGCGTTTACAAATTTGGTTTCGATATCCACTTAATCGTGTTAAACTACGGTCATGTCAATTATGTAACACGATTTCTGTTTAGCTGCGACCGAATTCGATTTGAAAATAGAGATGGATAGACTTACCTTGTAAGAGAGAAGTGTTGTAATAAGACCGACGAGCCTGCACAGCGAGTGGCAAGTGTCTACCAAAAGTGTGGGCGAGTGGGTGACGTAGGAAGCGAACAGTCTACCGCTAAAGCCTGTCACCGCCAAAACGAGCGCTAGCAGTGATCGCGGTGGTGGCAACCATTGTAGCCATTCCTTCATTGCCATACCTGGAGGCAGATAATTAGATCAATATATTATTTGCTCGAGTCACAGACGTTTGATAAGTAAGTAAGACTTGTTCACATAAGTGAACCTTATGTGAAAAATTATCAATCACAATTAGTAAGAATTCTCCACAGGTGACGTTGGTGACTATAGATAAGAAAGAATTTAAGTAAAAATAATTAAGACCCTGTGGAATGTGGATAGGGCAAGACAATGCTAATATAAAGTTCCAAACACTTAAAGATGTTGCCAATCGAACTTATTGGGAACTATTGTTGCAAAACTGTGCTGTTGTATGACGGCTCCACACATAGAAGTTAAGTACCGTTGTTAAGAAAACTGGCGGAAATTGTTAATTGTACTATTGTGTTCGCTCTTCTTTTTAATAGAAAAACGATACCGAATTTAAAGCTGAACTTGGTTTTATAAGATGTATCGAAAGTTGTTATGCAGCTAGAACCGAAAGGTATGAATCCAAGAATGGCGACGCGTATCCTTCAGACGGGTTTGCTAAAAGGCATCGTAGCTTGGTTGGGTCTGTTTGGTATTCTAGAAACACTACTTCGATCATCACACGGTTTGGATAGGTAAAAAGAAATTAATGAGATTAAAAGGACATCCTTTCATAGATCCATAGAATATTAATCTATGAATATAATCTTCAGCCTATGTATTACACATCGAAAATGAGAGAAACTACATTTATTCTTAAGTTATAGAAATAAAATAATTATACAATCGTTATGTATCTATAGTTTAACATTATAAATTAGCTATACTATTTCATATCGGGGCAGACAAGGAATAACACACAATAAAGAGATTAGATTACAGTTTAAATTTAAGATAATAATAGCTATTGTTTTTATGGCTTAAAAGAGAGTTCCTTTCGTTTTCGGCGTTTTATCCAGAGCTTGAAAATATAATATCATCGACCCCGTTGTTTTCAACGTTATGTTATAGTTGCATTAGAAATACGGAACCTTTTTTTTTATTTAAAATCCAAAAAAAAAAAATACTGAAGATTAAAAATTTCTTTTAGCTTAGAACGTTTTCGGTACCGTCGAAAAGATACTATTATATTCGTAAAGTATTAGTGGAATTTTTTATAATTAAATGAATTGGTTTATTACAGAGAATTATTTTGTTTTCAAGGGAAATTTTTTAATCACTAAGAAAAAAGTCATGTGTGAACAATGCGGGAGGTGAATCAAAAAATTAGGCACAAACCTGAAAATAGCAGACACGAAGTACATTCAGGCACGGAACAACAATTTATGGCTCATGCAAATTTTTGCAACACGCGGTACGGCGCGGAGTGGCAGTTTGCAACATAACCACTTCTATAATATTTGAATGAATAGCCAAACAGTAAAATGTGAATTTATCTTGATAAAAGAACAAAAACTTTCGGCGCTGCGGGATTCGCATCTGCGTCTTCCTGGAAAGGACACCCAGACGCTTTACCACCTAAGCTAAGCGGTCGAAAACTTCACGGAATCTCGACATCTCTCGTCATCACGTGCTTTAATGCATTTCTATAAATGTTTGGCGCCGTCTAGTGTGAAGACTTTACAATATGAAAAACTTTACAAAGAACATTAACGATGAACATTTGTAAAGTGAGAGAGACATCTCTCGTTTTCCCTCCCGTATCCCGCAGCGGCAAAAGTTGTGTTTATTTATCTATAAAAGCTTACATTTTAAGTTACATATTGTGTGCAGAGACAAGCACTAAAAATATAAACTAATCCAAATAGTTACCAAAAGTATTGCTTTTTCCGAAAATAATATTATTTATTTTAATAAGGAATATTTATAAAGACAGATAGCTGTGTCCTCGCTTACAATTTAGGATAATCGAACAGCTTAAGTTAAAATTCCGGTGTCGGCACCAATGAAATTGTTAATTTCAAATTTGTTTTGATTGAAAATTGTGTTGATTTGTCATCTCGGTGGAGAAAAATATCGTGAGGAAACTTGCACGTTTTTGAAATAATACGGAAGAAAAAGACATGTGAAGTCTGGCTAAGCAAGCTCTAATACCCAGCCAAGTCAATAACCTTTGTACAGAAGAGGCTTTTGCCAAGTAGTGAGACATAATTATAAAGGCTGCTACTTTTATTTTAAATTAAATATAAGCATTATGCTTAAATAACGCAATCTAAGCTTTATTGATAGGAAGAACTTTAATAACAGTCGTAACGATGTAGGAATGTTAAATGTGATAGTAACTTTAATACCGTGACATTGGGATGTTACACGTTATTTCAATTGGACCGTTTCGTGAACACATAATACAAGTCCGAGAATAATTGTTTATGCAAATCAATCAAACAAAGAAATAACTAGTCAACTGTTCAAGTGTTATTTTTAATTATTTGTTTACATTCCAAATAACTTCTGTTGTAAAAAAAGGTATCCATGAAAAAAATTAAATACATTTGTCATTCTTATCTGAACAACAGACAATTCTGTGTTGCGGCCTACCCCACACGGTTGAGAACTCGATTTGAGGAAGACCGCGCTCTGCACGTAACAACCAATCTCCGGCAATTGTGCGGAGAGAATAAGTCCCACGATACGCTTTAGTTCCATTCATCGTCGGCATTCGCTAGTTTTGACTCGTCATCGGTCATTTAACATAAGAATCTAAATCAAACTAAATTTCCGGATTTTTAAATATAATTTTCTGAAAAGGTTTCGAAACGTCGAAATATAAAACTTTAAAAGTAAACGTGATAAATCCATAAATACAAACTGTAAAATACAAGAAATTTTGTAAAACAAAGTCCTTTGAAATTTTGTATCTGTTGAATAGCAGTAATTTATTGTTATGTGGTCAATAGTAGTTGGCAATCGCAATTGTATCTCTATGCAAGCATTTTCAGCCGCAAAATTTATTACCCAGCGAGCCTATAAATGAGCGCCCCTTAAGTGGCTAAAAGAGTATAAACGTAGAACGGAAACTCCTTTTGACTGCACAGCGCTGACGGATGGCGCAATTATTTAAGTGTTCGATTAGCCAACTGTCATTGCATTTAATGTTCTGGGTTCGAAATGTAATGGACTAAATTATATGACCCACAAAATTGGTGTTCTGCCCCTCGGTTGCCTTAGTGCCTTGGCTCTTGCTTGTGATTGTGAAAAGGTTTATGATTTACAATAAATAAATTATCTAATTTTAAGTTGCAGTTCCACCTGTTACAATGTTATTAAGAAAATTCGTACAGAATGAAAAATCTAAATAAATTTGTTGTCTCTTTTTATTGTGAACAATTACGGGACATGCCTTTAATACACTGCGTGAATCTTTCACAGTATTTGTTATCAGTAAGTTAGAGTTAGTTAGTCTTAATGATATCAAATTTGTTAGTGACTCAGATATGTCAATTAACTAAGTTACTAACATTACATTCGTTTTTAGACGTTGTTAACAAGGACGCCACTTGCTTGTGTTGAATGCTATAATTTAGAAAATTTAATGCCGGTCAAGAGATAGTTAAGGTCAGAAAGGGCGCCACAACATATATTGCTGAAATTACTGTATTCTGATAAAGTAACGGATCATTGAAAAATATTTCAACAGAAATGATTTCTTGGCGTTCTTGTTGTCGCGGATAAAGAAAAAACCGAGTTCGGTTATTAACCTATTTCTTTTTTGCGCCGTTGAACTTTCAAAAACATTCCGGTATGTAGGTAAAGAGACTGCGCAGCGAGCTAGAAACTTGGACAAATAGATTTCATTGTATATTGGTGAATCAGGCATGCTATAACGGAATGACGGAAAACAAACGTTAATAAGTCTACATGCGGAATCGGTGTTGTATATGAGAAAAACAGCGATGTGAGAAATAATGTGCCGGGTATTTTCGTCAATGCTGTGCAGATATTTAAATAGATCAGAGGTAGAGCGAGATCAATGAACTTCTATCGTCTATTACAAACAAACTCTACTCCTCTTAATGTAACAAAATTTCTATATATCTATTTGATTCTTATATCTTAGTGCGTTGTTTTTATTGAAAAGTTGTGTTTGCTTTCTTATATTTAAGAACGTCCACAGTTTTCATCACAAGTGTCTTTTTTCTACAAATAATAAAGGCTCGATCCAGAAAGAAGTACGTGATCTCTATAGATGTAGCCCTATGGCTTACAACACGTTTTATTTAATATCCCTTTTATTTTCGCAAATACTGCAAATTATGATATGAAACTATTTCATGGAATGCAATTATTTTCATAATCCCACGCTTCGAATTCATGACATGAGACAGACGCGGTCTACAAAATATTTTTTTAATAATGTCTATACTGTTTAAAATATTTCGATTGAAGTTTCACAAGAAAATTTCCATTGTATAGTGACAATGAGCTATCTAACATATCAAATTCATATCATAAACTACTTTGTAATAAGCACGGGTGCGTTTATCTTGGGATCGGGATTATCGTAATGTTGTTTATTACAACCACCGTTTCTGTCAATATCTAGCATGGAATCTAAATTTTAGCATTTTTATCTCCTTTAGCAACGATGTGCTGATACGGACTGCGTCGTCATTGAACATGGCGTGTCGTTGCGTTGTCAATGTATCTAAATAGCTAGTTTTATGTATATGGGAGATATCATTTTTGCATCACAAACGATCTCTACACCTTGTCAAGACTAAACAGCTGTTACCATTTGCAAGTTGAAATAATTACAAGTCGCCGATGCGGTAAGTGTTGAAGAAAATGTGTGCATGGTTCTATATTCTCAAACCAAGAATATAAGTTATTTTTGTGACAATTATGAATGACTAGGTGCTGCCCGCGACTACGTCTGTGTAGAATGGGCTGAAGGCGTAACATTCAGACAGAAAGACAGATATACATAAAATATGTATATAAATTATAGCCCATATTTTATTCTGATGTATAAGCTATATTTTTGTAAGGTTTCATTAAAATCCATTCAGTAGTATTTGCGTGAAAGAGTAACAAAGATCCATCCATATATACAAACTTTCGCTTTTATAATATTAGTAAGGATGTAGCTTGGTGTTACTTCCAGCGAACGGCCTACAAAGAGAGTTTTATATTGCTGCACGCTCAATTATCTTAGCAGTATGTTAGTAACAGTATACATTAAATTTAAGAAATATTTTTCATGTCTTGTGATTCACAGGATATAATTATGTGAACGCCGTAACTATATTAGGCTTATCGCGGGAATAGGTTATATTGACAGTTGCGGGCAAATATTTGCTTTAAAATCGTATTTCTGTAACTGTATACCGGCATACTCAACATGCACCTCATACAGTATGTATATTTAGATAATTTACTTAAATACGACATAAATGTGGTATAAATATACCAAAGATCACTTCTTTAACTTTTTATTATTACGTGTTTTTATAAAGTTTAATCCTAAAAAAGTTTAATATAATGTAGGTATTAATTTTTGTTACATAAACTGATAACTTATTGTTTATTTATAAAAAAATATGTCATTAGGAGTAGTATCCACACGATACTGACACAGAATAAACAAAGAAAAAAACAATAAATTCAAAGTCCGCACATATGCCTACGAAACATTAACAAAGCAACTCACCGATTTTTCACTCGGTTCGCTTCCGTTCGACCGCGCGGGTTAAAGTAAAAGCAATCCTTGTCACAACACTGTTTACTAAACACCCGACGGTTACGATCCAGGCGCGTAGCGGTTGTATAATATTGTTTATATTTGCGAAGCGTTCGCGGCGAGGCGTCGATGGTGCGCTGCGCCGGCGTCGGTCGCGGCACTGGCCCGTTTCGCCAGAACGCGCGCTCTTATCGACTAGTTTCCCGCGCCCGATAAGCACTGTCAAGAGATCTCGGCTTGGCGCGGCGGATTACTTTTTTTTTAATTTTCCCGATGCGTGGCACTGTTGCTAATGCAGATTTGGTTCGTTTTCATTATGCTAAATTTTTAATACCTCTGTTTTAATTATAGAATGGGATACGGCCTGTATGGAAATCTTATATTTGACGACCCGATTGGCGTAGGGAGGAGTGACCCTGCCTCTTGCGCCAGAGGGTGTGTGTTCGATCCCCACTACTGGACAAATATTGTGTGATGAACATCGTGTTTTTCCAGTGTCTGGGTATTTATATATGTATAATATGTATTTATTTACAAAAGAAAAGTATGTTTAAGTTTGTATATCAGTTTATCTAGTACCCATAGTACAAGCTTTGCTTAGTTTGGGACTAGAGAACGTTGTGTAAAAGATGTGTCCGATATTATATCAATATCAATTATAAATAGGAAAACTATGACGTATCAATTTTAAATAGACGTTGTAGTGTTAATCAGAACTCTTGTTATTGATTCGCATACTTAATAGAGACATTTTATTTTATTATTATTTATTTAAAATGGTTTATCAACAATTGTTGTCACTGGATACTTCTCAAACCTAACAGTTAATAACTTAAAGTTAAACATATATGAGTATAACAATTAATTAAAGATGTGTTTATCTTTAATTAATGTACAAATAAACGTATTAACTAAAATCACTAATAAATTAAATAACTTAATTAGACCAAATTTAACAGTAGGCTGTGTACGGACAGTCAACATAAAAGCTTTCTTGATGATAAGTTAATAATATTGTTTATTACTAGCTATATAAAGAACTATACCTACATGGTTTTTTTTGTTTTTGATATTGATTTAATTTTATTAATGAATTTGTAAATACAATATAATAAAAATTTGTTTCATTATTTAATACTTTGTGTATTTAATACTTTGATGTATTTTGAGATATTAGGTCACGGCCGCTACATATTTCGAGGTGGCGCTGTCGTCTTAAATGATCTCTACTTTCATCTACTCTGCGCTAGTTTCGAACCTAACGGGTATCTGCAAAACATCTTTATTGTTCGATTTTTATTTGTTTAATATTCTTCATAAATGTATCAATGGAAATGTCTGTTATAAATATTAGCATTATTTAAATTATTTCATTTCACGTAAGTGATAACATTTCAGTGTTAACATTTTGCCCATAATGAATGAATAAATAAACAAGTCAAACGTATCAGTTATGTTAACTTCCCAACTAGCAATTTCATAATATTTCAAAAAAAATAAAAATAATGTAAATACAGGCCGACACGAAATGTTTATGGTTAAATGCAAAGATTTAAATCGATTTAAATCTTTGGTTAGATGTGTAAATAACATCTCATTCATTTATGTAATTAACTAATAATGATCACTAATTGCGTCGGCAAATTACTTTAAAAAGACATTTTAGAACTTCATTGATAAGCCAATATTATTTGAATGTTGTAAGAACAATACTAATATTTAGACAACTAGCTGACTCGGCAAACGTTGTTTTGCCATATAAATTATTTCTAGAGGAATCGGAACGCACGCATAAAGTGCTTGACAGGTTACACAGACATAGTTGACAGGTTGACAGGTACAGTTTGTATGGGAAAATAAAATTGTCGCTATTTAGATTTCCCATGCAATATTTCCATAATTTCTCATCGTTGAAACCTTCCCTAGACTGCTTCAATTATTTCAAGTAAAAATTTCCATTAGTTTCCGGGTGTTTTCGACCAAAGAAAAATTTTATTCGGTTAAGAAAAATCACTAATGAAATAATCAACAAGCAGAATTTGGTGGTCGCTTATAGTTTTCGAGAAAATAAATTATTTAAAACGTAATTTTCACTAAGAAAGTTTTACCAATTTGACTTCAAAAACTGAATACACAGTACTGCCAACATGATAAATATAGGAAGTGGGCGAAGGTTGAGTATTTTATTAATGATTTTCCTTTACCGAATAAATTTTTTTACGTCGAAAAACACCCGGAAACTAAAGGAAACGGATACCCAAAGTGGACCCAAAACGGATAGCCAACAACTTCGAGTGAGCTATATATTAACTATGGAAAGGCTGATTATCTGAGGGGTAGTTCTCCTCGAGCTGGCAGTTTACTCTTACAATTGAAGTCAATTGTTGTCGGTTCGTGAATATTTTTTTTTATGTGATATCTTGCCAAACGAGCAAACAGTTCACCTGATGTTAAGTGAATACCGCCGTCCATAGATACATCCGAGGGTATGCAGATGCGTTGACAACCTTTTTGGAACTTGGGCTCCGGTTACCTCACTCACCAGACGAAACGCGAAAGTATTTGTCATACTTCCACTTTACACCGGTCTTCTGTGAGGTCGTGGTACCTACCCGGACGAGCCTGCCCATTCGTGCAACAGCCGAGCTGCTGCGTGGCTCTACCACCGATATGCTTCTACTACTGACTCTCGTAATGTAAATTAAAAGGCCATGCACGCTTAATGCTTTGAATCAGTTGCCAGCGTTATTTCCGGACAGATCAACCCAGGTACATTTAAGAGCGTATTCTTCCTACCTATCGTTGACCTAGAGCGCAGCCGCCTGCACGTTTGCTATCGTTTCTACAAAAAAGTTGTCTATTTATCGATCGAGTAATTTATGGGCGCTAGTAATCGCTATAGAGCTACATTATACTTTTTTAACAGCACTTACAGATTTTACACCCGGGACCACGAAGCCGATTGATTCGCAAATGCGCCGTGTCACCTCACCTATCCTGATAAAATGAACTAAGAAACGTAGGTGCATAGTTTTATTTTATTTTTATTTTTTATTTTTATTTTTTTAGGTCGAGACTTTATCCGAAATAACGATTACATACTGTCAAAGAAAAAACTTTCTAAATATCTTAAATAGATTAGATAATAGAATATCTTAAATAGATTACCAGCGCCCATAGAAGTAAGAACTGAGTTGTTGCGTGTGTGTTATAAACATTTAAGAGGATGTGCTGTAGCTCACGTGACTCATTCACCTCACAACCTTCAGGTTACCGAGTCACCAAATTAAAGGCAAACATAGAAACTTCTTTCTTATAGTGTCATTGTGGGCTCCGCCTATTTAGCAGCACTAGTGCATGAATCTACCATAGTAAGCTAGTATGATGTACGATACAATAACGGCAATAAGACTAATTATTTTCGTATGAGGTTTCATACATGTTTAATAGTTCCGGTTCATTTAATTTTTCACAGGAGGCGTTTGCGTCAAACTCACTACTTGGATATATTCTACCTTGTCGGCTTTTCTGTGTTGTCACTCAGGGCTTGTTATGTAAATGGATTCAGGGCCACGAGTCAAAGTACATATTAAGTTGTTTTAGCACATTGCAATATGCGTGAAGCATGTGGTTTGGAGAACAATGGAGATTCCTTAAACGGTTGCGTACAGTTCGCGTGACCAAAGAAGATATTAGTCTATTTTAAAATATTGATTTCCTAAATAATGTACAATCGTTCGCACTTTTTTACTTTTATGCCAGGGCAGATTTTCAGGGCTTTTAATCTCTCATTGTCTCTTAAAGTGATTTTGTTAGTAAAAGCAACATGTATTTAATAAAAGGTTTACCATGTTTTATATTTAGGCACAAATGTACATTTGGTTTAACAGAATCTTAAATTTTGTACAAATAAATGCACTTCGCGTCCCTGAAAAGTGGTACGACCACTGCAAGGGAACTTTCAGCTAGCGTGAAAAGGCCTTTTGATTGAAATCAAAAAAACAAAAATCAAAATCTTATCAATAGTTTTTTTTAATCTACCACCTCTTCATAATGAGTTTCCTCTAACGGAGAAGAAACAGGCGAAAGAAATTCCGCATGTACCATTTTTTGTGTACCGCTTAAAATAAATAAATATATCGAAACTAAGCAATTTTAAAAATTGTATGTATTTATATTGATACAGCGAAAATTTTCCAATCGTAAGTATTTACCAACGAGCAGATAACTTAACGGTTAATAACATCGGACAATATTGTTAATGTGATAAGATGGCAAGAGATTGGTTCAACTGATGTTAAAAACGAATACGAAATACAAAGAAGCCCTGCACACCCACTATGGTTTTCTGTGAGGGCGTGGTACTCTCATAGTAACTTTCTACATAATTAATTTTATTCAGTTTAGGCGAATAAAATATTTACAATCAATAAAACTATTATACATGATAAAGCTGTATCAGGACCTAAACGTCGTTAATTTAAAACCAAATGAAACCGAAAAAAAAATTTGTTTGTAATTTTCTATTTCTTACAATTGCGTTAGATATTTTCGTAATGGTCGTTAACCGAATTGTTGGGCGTTACTCGCTTACATAGAGCGAAACTAAACAGGCGACGTGAAATAATCTCGTTTGTAAATCGAATCTGTTCCGCAATTACAAGATAATTTTCTAGTTCGGGAACTGAGAAAAGAGGAATAACATAAATACAATTTAGAAAACTCTCGCCTATTCCGTTTCTCTCTTTTCCTCTAAAAACAATGTGTTTATAAACAATTCCGTGATATTATCAGCCTATTATTGCGAAGGTGATGGACATTAACTATATGTCTAATAAGTAACGTCAGTTTGGGTAACTTTGAACATTTTTTACAGAATTTGTGCTTTTACAATCTGATTTATACCTACTACACCTTTATCTTATTGAATGAATAGTGGCCTTTTGAGTTGGTTTATTTTGCCGACACAATAAATTTCACAATTTTCCCCCCAAACTCAAATTCAAAGTTATCGTGAGTTTAGCGTAACTTTCAATATAATTTTTTTTGAATGCAAAAACCATCATTATTCTAATATTTTAAGGTTTGGGTAAAATTACATGACGTATTTTCATTAAATAAAACCTTATCCCTAAAAATTACATCTAAATTAACGTATAAATGTGATATTGCGTTGAAAGTTATTTTTTTTTACTTTTTGTTATTTCAAAACATTTTACCGATCGTTTTACGCAGTTACGCTATTGAAATAAAAAATAGTTTTCGTGTAATAAATTAATAAATCTTTTTCACAACATTGTTCAAAGTTAAACCGCAATTCAAAGTTACCCAAAACGACTGTAATTAGTATAAACTGTTTTTTTTTTTTAGATAAATATAACGCCTATGTGTTCTTTCAGCAAGAATAGAGTACTAAGAATCTTGTAGTAAAACGCGGTCGATGTAGAAGATAGCCAGATATAGAGCTCTGTGACTAGAATTTCATCGATCATGCAATTTTAAATATTAAGGTTGGAAGCAAAGGTAATGCATCAGGTGGTTAGCTCATTGGCTGGCTAATTTGATTATACGGAGGAAATAAATGTTTTAGCGAATAAGCAGCTAACTGCAATTTGAGTGTGATATGTGAGCATAAATTCTATCGATCCACAAAAAAATTATTCCGAATCTGGGTGCATTGAATTGACAATGTTTTCATATTAATGCTTTGATAGCGAAAAAGTCATTCAATGCAGTTGATAACGGTTTAATTTCATAACTTGGAATTATAGGAAAATGGCAAAATTTGTTATTCTTTGTCATTCTAAAACCGTGAAGTTCGCCGTTTTGCAATCAACTTCGTCATGTCGGTGTCGGTGTGCAAGCGCATCGTAACAATTTTACTCTCAATTTTTTTTCCAAAGGCGCTTTTTTTTTTCAAACATAATTATTTACCTTATTTTAAATAAATTGTTTTATATTACTTTTTTTGTATAAGCGAATACCACGTGTATATCATTATTTTTTTGTTCTTCTAATTTAAAAACAAAATTTTAAAAGTTTACAAAATTAACAAAATTTTATATTATTTAATTTATTCTTCTAATTGTGAAACTTTTACGGGCTTAGTTTCTGTTAGCTGTTTCTTTCTCGGGAACCTCCCCGTCAGGACTTAAAGAATTGATTACTTCTTGTATTTCTCCTATTACTTTCATATTGTGATGTTTAAAAACTTAATCAGGCTACATTCATTAATAAGCATGTAATTAAGAATTTCATGCTTTTACACGCAGCGATATAA